AAGTGTTTTGCAATGGTCGAGTATGGCCCTCAGAGCGGAGATATCGCGACCGGGTCGTATCTCAAAGCAGGGCATCGTTTCGTCCTCAGTGCTGGGGAGCCGAGTTGGTTTACCGTCAGACAACCTAGGTCTGAAATTTGGTTGGTTTGTTGGTTTGAAAACCCTTGCAAGCGGCGAATTCTCTTGACACACTTGTAGAGTTCGAGAGGATGAGAGGAGAAATCGTATTGTTCCGACATTGTTGTAGCCTAGTGGCGTATTACATCACTCGATGCGGTCAGATTATCTAGTTCTCCCGCATGGGTTGGCGGCGTTGATGGCTCGCTGAGCAGCGACGAGTAGGTAACCGTGCCGCTTTTCATCCGGTTTTTCTAGTATTTCTTTGGTCCATCTCGAGAGCCGTGGCCACACTACATCAACCTTTATACGCTCAAAACAATAGGAAACGGGCGAGACTTTCCCTCAGTATTTCTAGTCCTAGATCCGACACGTTTCGTACAAGCTGGACAGGTCCAGGCCTCTGACCGACAACGCATAACTGTCACACTTTGGCCCGTCATCTTGGGGGTTTGCCGTGTGCAACTATGCTCACAGTCATGGGCTAGCCATGGCATCTTGTGGTGTCTGTCATACAGGCGGTCTTGTCTGTGCCAAAGAGAAAGCCAAGGACCAGCGATGGTATTTACGGGGTAGTGTCCAACGTGTGAGTTCGTGGCCCTGTGGTGAAAATATCTCATACCCAAAGCAGGCATGGCCTCCCATGTGTAAGCGACTATCATGCCTCGCACCGTAGGAGGGAACGAACGGTCCACCGCGGCTGGTCTTCCTCTATAGCCAGAGGCCTCAAACCGTTCCTCCTTCAACGGAGGTATTCAGTCGATAGCAGGTTGTTTTTCTGGACTCCGACTCGCATTTTCGAGACCACGATTGACCATCTGGGGATTGACAGAATGAACAAAGCTGCGTCGTTGCCTTCTCCTTAGGACCGTCCCACATGAATATCAGGCCCGTCAGATTGAGTAATGGCATCACGTGGTGTACATGCCAAAACTTGTGTGAATACCCATGATACGTTCCGTGAAACTAGCACCCGAGAGGTGGGAAACAGACATCGCATCGTTGTAGAGGTTCTCGGAAGGACTGTGACGGGGATACCTAACACCGTGACTAGCTTAGATGTCTCTCGTTTCGAAATTATCGGTTTGGAGTACGGCTTTGGCAGATGAGCCTCTTTACCAGTCTCATAGCAATCCGGAACGATGAACCGCCGTACATTGGGGTTTACGGGTGGACATAAGTACTGGCAAGGGGCTTGAAGGGATTTGGCTTTCGAGGCTTTTACTGTTTGGACAACCACTCCCACCACTCCCTTGGATACAGAGATCTGGGTGATATGATCATCATCAAAGACATTTGGTAGAAGGATGGCTACCTTGAAGCATCCGACATGACTTTGGAAGGGTTAGCTCAGACTAAGTCTTCGATATAAAGCGGACTCAGACCACGGATTTGTAAAGAATGAGGCATTTCATCATGCAATACAATGGTCCATCAATAGCGCCTCGTCACGATTTAGATTTTTCAAGTAGGACCAACTCATGCCATTAATGACGGGTTGAGATATATTGTATAAGCTGGGCAGACAACCACAACGTCGATGCCTCTTGGTATCCTGCAATAACCCACATGTGGCTATAATCCGAATTTTCTGCTTGTCTCTGTGTTGAAAGCAAACGACTTCTGAATACTTAAAAGGAAAAGCGGAAAAGCGATCGGTTAGGCACGTCTTGCTAGACTCCAAATACGGGAGTCTGATATCGGTGAGTGTACATTGCCTTTGGTTGGGAAGGCCATGGTGAAGTGGTACATAGGCCTAAAATAGAAGAAATAAGGTCCCAAAGGCTCAGAATTTGGCTGGACTGGATCGAGTACATAGAAGTCAGTCGAGAGAGGAGTTGGGGCCGTCTATAGTGTTAGACTTCCATGGCTACCGCCGGCTTGAAACATACCTACGTATTCACTCGAGAATGCGTAATGCTTGAACACGGGAAGATGGAATACTGAGAGGCGGCAAGGACGTGGTAAAGGTCTACTAGATACTTGTTAGTCGCCTTTGAAAGTCAGCGACGACATTGATGTTTCCTCCGAATCGCACAAAACGCGTCTTTACCTTGACATATCCGACGCTCGCTGGGTTTGGTTCAGGAACGGGGTCCGCATCTTGGCAGGAGGAACAAGACAGCTGTGTGAGTCAGTTACTGGAGATACAAACGCGTTGCTTTCATATTGCTATATCGAACGTCTCCCTCCCGAGATGAGAATCATACGGTGAAGACGGTCGCTGAATCGAAAACATCCCCCTTTTTGGTGCGCTGTCCTGGGTTAGTATTGTTAAGAACCAATTGCAACCCTTCTTGTATCTTTCACTCTCTCTGAAATCCTGACCATCGTCTTGCGCTTCTTGAATATCCTAATTTCTTGGTCGAAATGCGATTTCAAGTATCTCATTCTCAAGCTATTACTGACATCTTGAATACTAGAAGCACACAAACAGTCTTGTGCCCCGTTATTCTCGAGACATGAACATGATGAGAAATGTGCTACTTAGAATCTAGGTATTTTGTATACAATGCTTGTGCCTCTGGACCTGCAACGTAAACTTGATGTTCACCATGTCAATAGTTGTTTCTGTATCACAGCCAGTCATGTTGATTTCTGAATTCTGCATATAAGCCATAATCTTTCAAGTTCAAGTCATTCATCTTCAATTTTCGTCACTTGTTATGCCCTGCGACGCTACTACGAGAACCTCAACTGATCATATAAACACAAGACCACCTAGCGAACATTGTGGGACCATTCTTGCCCAGCCCAGCCGCATCTAACCCATGATTTCATCGCCTTTTCTACCAGACTAAAGCAGTCTTCCCCAGACCGCATATCGTTTGATCGCAGCCATCTCACTCAATCACACCCTAGGTTTAATAACAGCTTATAACATGCCGTCTACATTTCACCAATTACCGTTTTCCAAACCCATATAACCCTCCACACTCCCTGCACTCCACAATGTCCATTCTCCCCGGCCTCACTGACCACCCATCCGTCCAAAGCAACCAACACCAGTCCCCCTCGCCTTTCCTGCAGCGATTGCTAAACCCTTAAACTGGTGCACCCTCCGGCGGTCCCACCCCCTTCTCCGGGTCCAAGGTTACTCAAACCCACGGAAAACCAACACACCAAACTGCCTCGTCACCCATCAGCCTCCTTCTCCCCTTCCCTCCCATCCTATTGATCCTTCTACAAGCCGATCGCCATATGAATTGCTCCGCTGCACCTCCATATGAACAGTCAACCCCGTCACGAGAGCCTCACACACCCGAATCCTGCTCTCCGCCCAGGGCTCATCCCCCTGCCTTTTCGTTCCCGTTTTGGGCAAAAGCGTGTACGCGTCGACCCCGGACTTCCCGGAACCTTGATCCACGGAATACTACCTCGCCATCAAATACCTTACCTAAGAGCTGACCCCGTCCTCGTACCGCCTCACTACCAAACCCCATGAACCCACGGGAGACCAGTCTTGCGCTCGCCCCCTCTTCTCGGCACCTTTCAGCTCCCGGAGGGCCTTGAGATGCGACGGCCCGGGTTCCCGGGAGAGTCGAACCTCCCATTCCTACCCAAAAACATCGTCTCCCTATTTTACAACGGCCCCCTCCTCCATGCCGTTGCTATTCGGCCAGCACACCCTTCCACTCCTCCGCCAGGCCATGTAACCACGGAGCCGCAAGCACCGTCCCTCCACACCCTGTTCGAAAGAAGGAAGCCAAAGAAAAGAGTAGAAAAATGCGGGAAAAAAAGCACCATCTCCTTTGCTTTCTCTCCGAATGCCCATCTAAACCGTCCCGTCCCGTTCTGCGATACCAGAGGCCTCAATGCTGATATACTGAATGCATGCGTGCGTGCGTGTATCCCACCGCCACCAGAAGCCCCGGGTCGCAACCAGGCAAACAGGTGCGCGCGCGCGCGCGCGCGCGCATGCCAATTCCCTCTCTCGTACCCACGCCGAGCTCCCCCGCCCCCTCGGCATCTGCCATCCCGCCCCGCCGAGGGCGTGACTTCCCCAGACGCCACACACCTCACGCGGTGGTCATGACCTGCGCGACTTTCTTCACCAATCGGCATGCCAAGGCTGGTGGATGCACGGGAGGCAGAGCTCACGTCTCCCATGCCGCCGCCTCTGCTCTTGCGCCGATGACATACATACCTGAACCAACATATCGTCCCTGGACTCAACGCCAGACGAAACCCCTTGATACGTACGATAAAGTCTTGGCCGGCAGACTGGAGAAAGTGAAGAATGCCAGACGCGCAAGACGATCGGATCCGTGTGAAGCGCCATTGCGCCAGGTTCTCACGCGACACGTCGATAAAGCCATTATGTAGTGTAGGGCGTGCCCTACATGGATAGCACATATTCATGGTCTTTTTGTTTCATTGTTTATGACAGGCTCTGGTCAGCGTGTACTCGAGTCTGCGAACTCTTGAAATAAGCTCAAATCCCCTCAAGCGGGCCATATCAAGGCAGACGAGATGCCCCGTATCGAGACCCGTCGCTCAGCGACCAAGAATAGTAAAATCTCCCCCATCTGGAAGACCGAAGTCTCCTGCCTCATCCCAGGAAAGTCATGGCCCCAAGAGGCACGACCCCTACATGCCTGTTCATCTTACACAACCCCTTGGAAAGCACCTGTACCTTAAACTCCTGCGCATGCTAGATCGTTCCATCGTCAAGGGCCCATACCCGGAAGTGCCGTTGCCATCCTGATAATCTTTTCTCTGTCCTTCTCTAAATGTTGACTACCGTCCCCCGAGTTCTCTGATCCGGTTTCAGAAGAAAATTGTATCCAGTCAAAGAGGTATCATGCTGTCAAGAAATGGTCGCGGCCTCGGCCTAGGAAGCGGAGGCCGGAAAGAAGTTGTTTATATTGTCCAGAAGTTCGTTACTGTGCCGCTCCGGTGCCGCTAAAAAAGAAATCAAGCTCACTGCCGGGACCTCGCGCAAACTGGTGCTCATTCTCCGCAAGCTGTTCCAGTAGACTCAGGAAGGGGTCCTTCTCCTCGCCCGGACCAGTGCCCGTACTGCCGTTGTTGCTCTTTGTTCCTGGACTAGGCGCGGCAACCCCCGTCACTTTGTTACCTCCTTCATCGCCGTGCCAGGCCGCTGGACTCCCAAACGCGTTCGTGGGCAGGCCGCCAAACATGGGATCGTAGCTGCCTCCTCCCTCGCTGTTCCCGCTTGGCCCAGGAGTAGCGAAGCTAAACTGCGGGGAGAAGGCGGTCGAGGAAAGCGCAGGCACGTTCCCTTGATGATGAGGTTGGTGTCCGAGTGAGAACCCAGCTGCTGCCGCCGCTGCAACAGCCGCATTGTTGGCTGCCGCCTCGTCATAATGGCCATGAGATACAGGCATTGAAGGATGCTCCATCACCTCGGGGTGCGGAGGCAGCGACGTGGGTGTGGCAAGCAGTCCTGGGGAGGGGTGGGCGGCCATCGTGGGGGTCGGATGAGAGAACGAATGTCGAGCATGAGACGGCGTCGGCAGGCCGTGGGGAGGTGCCATGCTGGTGGTGCTAAGCGGCGAGAGAACTTTGGCATCTGGGCGCTTCCGGCCGGACGGAGCTGTGTTCTTTCGCTTTAGGTTGGGTCGCTCCATTTCATGCATACTGTTTGCGCGAGGCGCGTAGAGGTCATGACCCGTGTACGTATCCGTAGTGAAGTCAACAACGACATCAGAAAGGCTCAGGTTCGCTGCGTCAAAGTTGAAGGTCTGCCCGCCAGGTCCGCCAATGTTTGAATATCGATCAAAGAAATCCTCGAGATGGAATGCTGGAGAATACCGCATAGGGTTGTTTGCGAGGCTTTTAGCCAGCTCCGAGTGCGCGTTGTAGATGCCCTGGAGCGTTTCTCTCTGATGCTGGACGCTTGCCCAAGCATATCGCAGCTCGCTCAGTTGTTGCATTTCCCGAGACAGGAAATCCGCCGACATGCCGAAAACAGTCGAATCGCCGCTGCCATTCTTGTTGTAATGGGCACCGTGGATATGAACTGTGCCGGCGGTGCATATACAATATCCCACAAAGGCCGGCCATTCGATTGTGCCGGTCTGCTTTCCAAGCTCCACCAGTTCGGAGATCGCGTTCGCGTGCAGGAAGCACATGTTCGTTGCCTCAATTTGCCAAGATTGGTGCTGTCCGGTTCCGGCAAGCTCGGCCAGGTCGATCGGTAGGAAAGGTCGGTAGATGAGGCAGTGAATGAGGTGGTATATAAGCTTGCTCAGCACCAAAATCGTTGAGTCGGGTTGACCGAACAACGTGTCAAGACTTGAGAAGACGTCCTCAGTACCAGAAGCCCAAATATCCAAGTCTTGGCGGATTTTGGACAGATTCGATAGCGAGTGCCATGGGAAGTGAGAGTCGCCCTTTACACCTCCCGCTGCCAGGTAACGGTTCGTGATGCCAAGAATACGGCTGATATCAATGAGCATACCTGTACTCCCTTGCGACTTCTTACCGCTGCCCTGAAGGAACTGCAGGTTGGATCCGGATTGGAAGAACTCTCCGTCAATCGGGGGCACGGTAGGGTTAGGCGACCAACACGGCAACCGGAGGAGAATGGTCTTGTCACCGATGAGAGAGGGGCGTTTCGAACCGCATGCGAGAAACCGGTCCAGTAGATAACACGTCCAGAAAAGTCTCCGCCTCATTTCTCGCTCGACGGGCGTGACCCGGGCGTTGTTGTCCAACTCGCGGTGAGTCTCAAGAGCCATTGCCATACCCACTGCATTGGCTTGTGTCTGTTAGCTAAAGCTTCGATATTGATGATCCACCCACTTACTCATCAGCATGTAGGCTTTCTTGCCCTTGCCTGCTGCAGTGAAGGCAATGACGAGCAGAAGTAGGGCCTGCAGGGCGTCAACTGAAGGCTCATCTGTGTTGATCTCAGCCCTGGCGCGTGACGCGAACTCTTCGCTAAGTTGGACGGCTGATTGATATCCACTAGGATGGGGTGTATATCTTTCCAACAGGTTAGCAACCTCTCTCAGTCATCGGAGACATCTTTCTTGCCTCGCCGCAACGGCGTATATGCCGTGAACCAAGTAATTTGGCAGTTGGTTTAGCTGAAGCCGTTGCCGAACGGAAGATTCGTCCAAGATGTGGTATGGCTTGGAGTGAAATCTTGTGAAGTATGTGTCCAGTAATGCATCGGGCTGAACGCTGGGCGGCGAAGGCTCACTGGTAGCGTTAGGTTAGCGAACGTGACTCCTCCTAGCAGTGTGACCTACCTCGCTGGGGCAGGCGAATAGACGGCTGATTCATCGGCGTCTATTTTGGTGTCCAGTGCCAGACGTTTAGGATTGGGGTTTGGGTCGTCCTCCGGGCTGTCTTCTAGTCGCGAAGCGTCTTCATCCTTGATACCTGCTGTGGTCGGAGTAGTCGGAGTCTTTTCCCCTGCATTTTTCTCCTTCAACTTTGCCTCCAGACCATCCACTCTCTTCAGGAGCGCCTCCAGGACATCCGTCTTGGGCCCACGCTTCTTAGGTACGGCATCTGAAGACAGAAATGGGACACTCGTCAGTCGCCAACACCTTTTCTGACGCTATGGTCCGATTGGCATGGGTAGGAGGGGCTTTCTGCTCACCGTATACGCAAGGGCATTGAAAAACCTGGCAAGCCTCGCATGATGGGCGTAGCCGATTACATTTGATCTGGTCGTTGAGTTGAGTTAGACATCGGTTCATGCGTGGCAGAGAAACCTCCCTTGGGCTCGGTACCAAGAGAGGTACTCATGCTGTCTCACCTTGCGCTTGCGGCATGACTTGCAGTTCATGGATTCCCGAGGTTCATTGCTTAGCCGCCGGGTCGGTAGGCGCTCGATACCGACTTGTGGACGGGACATGGCCACAGGGTGAACTCCAGGAGGCGGTATTCCGTTCATTGGTTCGTAGACAGATGTCGACATTATCCAAATACCTCAGATGCTGTGGGATAGGAACAATCTTGAAGTCGTGACGGAATTCGGCACGGCACCGACCGATGTGGCGAGCAATGCACTTGGTTTCAGCAAGCTGAGTAGCTTAGCGTGGGCTCCTTCGCAGACAGTTGCGTCGTTCACGACATGTCGAGGCAGCTTCAGTTGGGCGTGCGAGTCGTCTGGCCAGTATAGACCAAGAGTGTGTGACTGGGTGAGGTCTGTGGGGAAGTGCAGAGGCACAGAAACCAGAAAAAAGAAGCCGGGCTAGCGAGACGGCATCGGGGACCGGTGAAGTTATGAAGTAAGGAAAGGCAAAGAGGTTGCCAGGCCTGGCCTAGTAGGTGAAATGAAGACTGCCCCTCCCCCCAGCAGTGCAGTCCGTCTAGGAGCAGGTAGACATGTGGAGGTGGCTAGTGCATATGACTAGGGTGTGTTCGTCTCTCGTCGCCCTGCCCTGGGAAGCAGTTCGGATGCATCAAGCAAAAGCAGCAGGGGGATTGGAAGGGAACAGTTACAAAACCGGGGGCAGAGATTGACAAGGACTTCGAACCCAATCAAGGCAGACGAGAAGAGGAGGTTGCACAGAGGGGGGCAGAAAAAAGAAGTAGGGCAGCCGGGGGTCGTAGCAGAGCGCACTAGCATGTCGAGAGACGTTCGAGGACGTCTGCTGGTCAGGCCTGGATCACCTCGGAATGGGATGACTGTGTGAATGCGAGTGAATCAGTGAGCAGGTGAGTGCTGAGCAAGGTATCGATCGGGGTGGGCAGCCAGCAGAGCAGGCGACGAGGTATTGTGCGTTCTCCGGATCAAGGTACCTAGGTGGAGGAGGAGCGGAGGAAGAGAGAGAGGGCCTGAGGAGAATGAGGAGAAGGGGAGCCCCCCCCCTCAAGGAAAGGGCCGAGGAACGTGTGAGCGCCTTGAGAGGGACTCGGGGGAGAAGAGGTGGGTACGATGTTGGGGAAAGATGGGGCAAGCTGCTGCTTCGGCAGCGTGGAGGCCGGGGTCTGGGGGGTAAGTCGAGAGGCTTGTCTTATTTTGTCATAGGTCTCGATGCGACTGGGGAGCCGGGCTTTTGCTGGCAGGCTGGGATGATGGATGTTGGGGTTGCCGCCGACCAGCCCTTGTCCCCATTCCCTTCTGCCTTTCGTCGTGCCCCGGATGAGGGATCCATTCATCAAAGGAGAGGATCCGCCGTAAACTGCCTTTGTACCCGGCGGCACTGCAGCACTCTCCGAGTACGCAGCCCGGTACTAGGCCTTGGAAGCTACACCTCAGAAATGCTCAGAAACGCCTTCCATACGATGGCCAGCCATCGAGGCCTGCCCAACAAAACCCGCTAAGACGACGGAATGGGACGTCGTTGGTCGATCCTGAAGACCCTGCTTGAAGAGGCCCAGCCGACCTGGCCCGGTTTCGACTCACACAAAAGACAGAGAGTGTCGGCAGCAGGTGAGAGTGGCAATGGAACAGGGAGAGAAAGCCAAAATCAAAGAAAATCCTCCTGGGCATTACCCGAAAGTCTGAGGAGAGCGAGTCGCGGCAAGCCCAAAAGCAGAGCCGGACAAGGACAGGGCTGATGTAGCCCGTCGTTGCCTTCAACCTTCTTTCTGTACATAAAACAAGCTCCACCACAGGTACCGGGGAATAGTAACTCCAACAGAAAGGAGAAAGAAGAAGAATAAACGGGAACGAAAAAAAAAAAAAGAAGGAGGATGAAACTACCGGTATCCGACAAGGTGCGCCAACACTGGGGCCCGGTAGAGCAACGAACTATTGCAAGGTGACGGCCGACCTCCCTCTTCGAGACGGGACAGCTGCAGACTCGCGTGGCTAAAAACTGTGATGTACCTGCTTTGTGGCGTCGGCGTCGTTTCTTCTCGTCTCACACGACCCGAGATACATGGGAGGACGAAAAATGAACCCAGACAACCAGGGTCCAAGTCAAGTTGGAGGGATGTGTGGAGTCGTGAAGAGATGAAAAGCGAGCTTGTGAGCAGGCGCAATACATGCCGTCACCGCAGCGCACCTCTGCAGCGCACTCTCTAATGAGGAGGGATGCAAGATAGACAGGTCGCCTTTCCCAGATGGGCCAGACCAGCAGCAGACCATCTCAGACGGTAGGGGGTCAGATGTGATATGATGCCTGAGGACAAGCGATATTGGCTCGGGTTGGGCGTGTTTTGCTCGGGCGGTTGAAGTTGGGCTTGGTTTCGAGAACTGACGAAGCCGGGTTGCAGTGACAGTGCTACCTAGGAGACCTCGCTTGGAAAGGAAAGGAAAGAAAGAAGGTAGAGCGAGGATTCACGCGCTATCTCCGACGTCGTTGCTGCTGCTGGGGGAGGGGGGGGGGGGGGGAGCAGAAGCTCCCCCATGACAAACTCACCAAGTGAACCACTGCGGCTTCTCACAGTTTCCACGCCTCCCGGCGGCGCCTACGGTGCGTGTCGAAGGAGTGGAGCTGGAAATGCGTGAAATGGAAGTCTCCCCAGTACCCGTGGAGAACCAGCACCAGGGACCAGTCCAGGGACGAGGTCGATGCCCGGCATGGCGACGCGGCAAGCGGACACTGTGAGTGTGATTGTGTAATAGTGATGATGGGGTTTTGCAACAGTTCAATCCAATGGGGCGTAATTGCAACCAAGTCAAGCAGTCGGCTCGGGTCGGGGGAGCTTGCGCCTGCTAAGCCAAAAAAGGAAATAAGAAATAAAAGTATAAATGATATGTGAGATACATGGAATACGCTGTTGTTAACGGCATTGGCACTGGCATTGGTGTTGCTTTCTCAGTTCTCCAGGGTCGACCTTGAAACTCTATCGATGAGCCGAAGGTTGGAAGGACAGCCCAGGGCAAGATGCCATGTGGATGGAGGACGAAGGAACGAACAGGCCGATACCTACTCCTACTCCAATAAAAGGTACGTCGTGTCCTGTCTGTACCTTTGATCCTCCAAGAGCTTCCATGTCCATAAGCGACGGTCAGATTTGCCCTGCGTTTGTACTCTGACCGCGCCATGTGCCTACCTTACGTACCCACTATCCAGGGCGGTTGGGATGCAAGATGAAAATCGGTTCACAGACGTGCTGGCGGCTTTCACGGGGGTCAACATAAGGTGCGCGGGAAGTTACCGAGTCCCGAGTCAACGGCAAGCCGCAGCATGGCCTGCCCGAGCAGCAAATCGATATCGCCGCCCCGTTTCTGCCTGCACCTTCGTTTCGTTGCCTCCCTGCCAATGGGGGTTTTTGTCTAATATCAAGCACATACAATGTCCGATGAAAGGTAGGTTCCAGACGATAATCCACCCAGCAAAGTTTCGTTGACCCAGTGCGATGGGCATGGGAAGGCGGAGTTGGATCCAGGACAATACACCGACTTCGGCTTTGGTCCTCAGCTTGATCATGGACGTTGACATGATCCCGGCGGCCTCGTCAGAGTTCTAGAGTGCCGATACTGAGCCAATTCCAACCTGACCCTGTCCAGTCGCATTCCCACCGGGATTGGTCAGCCACAGATGAACTTTACCCCTACCTCCCCTGCGACTGGGCAGACCCGAGCTGATCAGGGACTTTGTAATTTGGATAGCTCCGTATTCTTTCCGTACCCCATGGACATCCGTCGACTCCTCGGCTGACTCGACATGACAAGCTAGGGGTGGCCTTCGGAAGACTCAAACCGCACGAGTCTTGCTGACCGGTATGGAGTTCATTCATCAATGCCCTCGCCATAGCCTCGAGTAAGCAGCATAGCGCTAGGTACTCGTCCAGATCTAGCTGAGGGCACATGGTGATCTTTTTACCAACTCCACAAACCCTAAGGCACGCAACACCCGTTCCGCCCGCATAGCAAGCAGAGAGCATGACTCCGCAACTCACCATAACCTCGTAAATATGGGTCGTTTCTCGAAAAGACCTATCCACATCTCATTCATTAAACTTCCTCACTTGCACCTGTTGCCTGCGAGAGGACGTTGAGCAATATGCAACTGCCCACTACAGCTGTAACCTGTATTGGATATATCTATTGGCGTTTGACAAGCTAATCAACACGTGGGCCGCGCATGCCTCAACTTTCCGCCACGCCGTGTTCTCGACCCGCCCTGACTTGCTTCTGGCCCAAGCTTCTGCTCGTCGACCACGCTACGAAGAATGCAGTACCCGGAACTCGCCTGGCTGGTCGATCCCACAGCATCCAAAGCAAGGCAGAAAATTAGGTATGCAACTCGCTGTTGGCCTTCCACGAACATCTGATGCCCTTGGAGCGGTACTCAAGAATAATATTGTGCCACTCCGTACCACCCATGCAATGTGTAGGGCCACGCACTGACATAGAGGAGCCCAGTTGATGGGTGTCTTAGCGACCCAGGGCGGCACCCGTCGAGGCCGGTACTTGTCCAAATTACATACATAGCATGCATGCACTTCCCCAGAACTCCCTGGCAGACGTTTAATTACTGTATGACATCCCATCAAACAGGCTTGCCACGACGACAAAAAGCAAACGCCAATGGGCAGCAGGACCAGCCGTTCTCCAGCAAGCTGAGACGGAACCCGTTTGGATCGCTGGTGTCGGCAGTTGAACAATTTTGGGACGAACTTGAACATTCAAGCACCAAAGTGCCATGCCATGCGCTCCTGTCGATGCTCCGCCAGATCGATGACATGAACGGGAACCATCGGGCTCTGCTATCTTGCAACCTAGATCCCCGGCATGCCGTCATCGTCCGGCTTCCGCCATCCTGCCCGTTTGAGACGATGCTCCCGGCAAAGGCGCCCCGTGAGACCTTGCCATGTTACTTCGCTCGCCAGCTGGGAGTACTCGCAGGGGCGAAGACCTAGACTTGGAAATACGAAAACGGATATCCAGCACTGACGTTGGCGGAAAAGGAGACACGGGAAAGTGATGGATTCCCCTGTCATGGGTCCTCGGACTTGGGTGCCAGACCATTGTGTCGGACCCTGCTGGTCAAGCCGGCACTCACCGGACCGCCAAGATCGGGCCATCTAATCAGTCCATCAGTAGGGATGTCCTTGGCGCAGCCTTGCCGTGCCTGCATCATGGCATTTCTTTCTATGGTGTGGCTTCCTACAAGTTCGTGCGTAGGCTCTGCTGTTGGTGTTTGGGGCGAGCACTGGATTGATTAGTTCCAGGACCCCCGCCTGGCAACCTTTAGCACCGAGATCAAAGGCCGGTCCGTCAAACAAGACCATGCTGTGTCAGTGTCAGATCTCGAAGAGATGCAGTCAAACATGAGAGAAGCGAAAGAAGAAAGGACGAGCAGCATGCGTGACCTCTCGGCACACCAGGTCTAATTTGGCGTTTCACCCCGTCCTCATCCTCCACCGTTTAAGCATGAGCAAGTCTGTTATAGGTGAAAATTCATCAAGTACCGGTTGCTAATGACGAGCGCGGCATGCCCAGGTTAGGCCTGTTGCCCATTCGTAAAGATTGCCTTTCTGAGTTGGCGGCATTCGATCCTTGGATCCCGCACCTTTCAGCTGCAGAGAACACCCATATTGCCTCTCTGTGCCTAGGTATGGTGGGAAAGGGGGGAATGGGTCATTGACGAGGGAAAATAGATGGGATGAAATAGAATCCTTGTACGAGCTACCTCAATCAAGCCAGGTTGCGCGCCAGGGGGCCGGCGGACGGGTTGGAAAGGACTCTGTAACGGAGCAGGGGTGTTGTGAAAGTGTGCGGCCAGACCTCGATGACCCAGGCGGCAGGTGACATGCCTCGATCCGTGTAAGCGCAGTACAGTGCGGCACGGGCGATGTCCTCATGCACATCTGCAGTCTTTCCAATCTTCATTGGATCTGCTCGGGCCCGTCGCTCTCGATGTCCGATGCTTGGCGGCCCCAGGCCACAGCTTGTGACAAGCGGGCTGCTGTCCTTTGGTTGTAGGAGCTCACTCTCCCACGCACCCTCCTCCGGCCTGCCCTTGTTGCTTCTGTCCAGGATTCTGACAATTGCTGATTGACGACATGCTGTGGTATCTACCGTCATCGTTGCGGGCGGCGTGCGCTGTCAGAATGTTGCACAATAGGAAGGACGCTTCGGGATCGACCCAGACTTGGTTCGAGGCTCCTACCCGTGCCCTGCGCAGCTACTCGATTAGCATGTTTAAATCCGTTTCCCGAGATAACGTCTGGGCACCCTCTCCTGGGTACACAAGCCGTGAGGAACTGAACCACTCTTTCTGCTGTCGACATCCAACAGCAACAGCATCGCGAAAAGTGCTTGCAGCTTTGCTTCAAGATAACACCACTACACCCTGCTCTATCCTTTACCCCTCCAGATGCTGTTCCATTGTCTCACATTTTAGCCCTCGGTCGAGACCGTGGCACGTCTCTCAGGCAACCCATTGCGCATGGAAAAGGAATCTCACCCGTCCTCAATCCAACCCAACCCAGCCATAGGGATACGGCTGGTGTCTGCTCTTCTCGGCCCCGAACCACTGGCTCTCCTTCTATCCACCATCTATCCCATCCATCCGTCCATCCATCTATGGTCAGGTCCCTTACTTCTCTCCTTGGTTCCCAGGCAGCAAGTCCGGCCTGTCCGACTGCTTACCGTAGGAATTCGCACCACATGGCAGCCAGATGTGGTGAATGCTCGGCGGTGATCCCGGTTTGCCAACACTCAGTCGCGCAAGGAGGGGCGGCTCGGGACCAGAGAGATCTTGGGAGGGCGGCAAAGCACAGGGACAGGCACACGCACACAAGAAGCACAGGCAAAAAGAAAACACCAAAGGCGCATCACCAAAGCATCACTTCTCCGTTGAAAAGAAGGGTTGGGGGAGAGTATGCCACACCATCAGCCTCCGGCCGAAGGGGAGCGGGGAACTGTGCTGATCGATGCGGAGAAGTTTTCTGCTTTGGTCTCCTTGCTGGTGCAATCCGTCACGCCTAATGCCAAGATCGTCTCAACTCACCCTTGGAGCCGGGGGAGGGGTGTTCATTCGATGTGGCAAGGAAGTACTCTCTGTATTGGTGGTGACAAGTCGAATTCTTCCCCAAACCCAGCAGACGAAGGTCACCTACGACGATAGACGAGATTTCGAAGATCAATATTCTTACTGAACCTCCCTCGACGTCGACGACAATGGCACCTGCTGGTTGCCGCTCGAATCAGAGCGTCTGCTTAGCAGATCGAAGATGCTGGCCAGTGTCGAGTAGGACCGAAGCAAGCCACTCGTAGCCACATCCTTCTGCTTTCGCTCGACAGCTAACGCCCTGGTCCAGGGCGTCCCTAGAATGCTCAGTAATACGCCACATCAATCATTACGCAGCAGAGTCATGGCCTCTCTATCCTTCCCTGCGTTCGTTAGGCACCCAAAGATGTACGTGCGCTGCGTCTCGGTCTCAACTATGTTGTTGTCAGTGTCAAGTCGTTACAGTTGCCTTCCGATATATTGGCTGCCTCCCTCTCCGTCATCGAGGATAAATTCTTTATCTACGTGAGGGCACGCGTCGATGAGATCAGGCAGGCAGCTCGGTTGGTCTGCCGGTCGTCGCGTGGATCCCTACTCAGGGGTGGACACCTCGACGCCCGGGATGCCATACACATATCACTCGAGTACTATGGTACCAGGCCAAAGTCTTTTACCCCTGTCAGGTATCTTGTGGCTTGCAAGCAGGCAGATCTAAGCACTGGTACTTCGCACACTTAGGTGACTGTTCAGCCAGTTGGGTTGTGATTCCTCGCTGGCTGTGGGGTCAAATCCAAGAACTACCTGTTGTGGGTAAAAGACTTACCCATCACACCATAGTACTTCTTGGGGCTACGGTCGTCGAGCTATGCGCCTGACAGAAGCGCCGAGTAGCATGTTGTCACAGCCGAACTCATTGTTCGCAAGCCGTGGACGAAGAGTAAGCTGCCCCCGCACTTGTACAGCTGACTTCCAAAGACCTTACCCCTCATGCACTCTAGAACCGAGCAGCGACCAAACTTCCGTTTGTGCTGGCAGGTCGAGAGCCCGACGCAGGCCGGTGCATGACAGCAGCCAAACATACCGACTGGGAACCGCGGGACCCTAAGGGAGCAGCCGGATACATGCTGTCCATGCTGCTTCGCTTCAGGTCCGAGACCGATTGCATGCATGCAACCACGACGTCAGACGGCCACTCACGTCGTGCGACAGCTTTTGCGCTACTGCACCGAGGCGAAAAGAACAACGGCCATATTCTCCAGATTTGGGGGCCAATGTCCATGCTTCCTAGCACTGACCACACAAACGCCAGAGGCGGCTGGGGAGAGCAGGGTTCCGCGAAAGAAATTCGCGTTACACGTGGTCGCCGTGTCTGTCTCCTGCAACGCACGGGTCAGGCTAGCTATCCGGACTCTTGAGCTACCATTTCTTAAGACGCCAACTATGGAAAGCATTGTTCGAGAAGAGATCGCCAACCATTATAGGATGTCAGTTAAGATCGGTTGCCGAGAAAAGCTTTGACTCTGCATCTCGCCTTGTGCACACCGACCAGCAACGTAGGGGTAATCCTCGAAGAAAACAAGACAAAGCTAGCGCAGCAACCCCCATCGATTGCAAGAGTTGGCACCGTGGACGCAACCCCCCCGATCTCGAGATTGATGTATCCAGGTACCTACTCGAAAAGAGCGGGACTGCTCCGATGAAGGGCTTTACCAGGTAGCTCAAGTGACGGAGATCCATTGCCTCATTAGAACCACCGTCGGCCGCTTCCTCGTCGACCATACACCCATCGCTCTGCCGGTGTTGCATTCATATGCTGAGTGCCTTGCGGGGGCCCTAGACACTGTGGACAACAACGGTCTTCTTGTTCGCGCTTGCTCTGCAAGTCCTCAATCGTAAATTCCCTCGAGCCCGCCGGTCTCGGCTCCGGTGTCAGCCATCCAATCTTAGAAAGACAAACCCGCATCTAATCTCTAGACCTTGCTGGTTCCTCATCAAAGCGGCTCGGCAGCGTCTGCGCAAGTCCGAGATTCTGACACGAACTTGACAGTCCCTTGCCCGGCGGGAGGACCGTCACAGTGTGACGGGAGACAACACTCGTATCGCCAAGCAACGACTGCCCTCCTACACCCACACAACTGCCGCAACCCGGACGAGAGGAAACTGCAGCCATGTCCGATATAACCACTTCCTTGCAAATATCACACCAACGAAAAAGGACCTGGAGCTAATGGTGCGGTCTCAGCTGATGTCACCTACCACTCTCAGCAATCTCTTACCCTCCCACGCTCCTTGGGGCATCCTGAAGATCCTCGCGCCGGCTCACCAACCGAGAATCTATATCACTCTCAGTTATCAGCCAGGCATGAAACTGCGCTGATCCTTGGTCTTTCGGCTCTGAAAGACAGCCGGACCGGCGGGAACGCCCAAGATTGCCCTATGACGGTGCATCGAGCCTTTCAGAGCGGTTTGAGCGGCGCAACGTTGTTGCCCTGATTTGAAGCCAACGTCGAGTTGTCAGTTAATTTATGTCCTACAGGCACTAGCTCAGAGGGGTGCCTTCTTATGCTCTCTGCATGCGTATCTCGGTATCCGGGGTCGAGGAGTCACTTCAAGACTCTCAAACCCCTGTCGATGGCGGCCAGAATCACGCCGTTGCAACCAATCCACTGCCACGGTAGTGATAGATATGGCTTGCCTGCCTCTGCCTTAATTTCTTTCTGTGGCGAGGTTTCCGTTTCCATGGGGGATTTCCAAAGCCAGGACAGTGCCCACGTTGTCATTGCCCAAACTTCCGGGAGGTCTGGGGTTTGTCAAGGACGGACCAGGCTCTGCTCATAGCTCACCGCCAATTCGCGCCTATGGGCAACGGTATCCAACACCGCAATCCTTCGATACTGAAGGCCGCATGAGACCATACCTCTGTAGATTTCTCTCGCCTCAAAAGTTACCTTGCACTCTGTGTTTAAGCTTATGGGCGGCTAGGCGCGCACCCGTCCCACATCTCTTGCACCAAGTCAGACTCGTCGCCCTCGATTTACGGGCCTTTGACAGCCGTGCCAATCATTTTCATGGACCTCGCAGATGTTGGGGAATTTGGAGAACGAAGCCGACCACCCTCTTCTGAGTCAAGACCTCTCTTTGAAGCTGGGGTCGAAAGGACACCAGCGATTCGTGACTCCGCTCCGTTCATCTCCCCACACTCCTCCACACATCCACCACTTCTGCAGGTCTCGAACCCTGATTTCGTACAGGCTACCCATAACAACGCTCGTACCCCGCGACACCTGACCATCAAGAAATGCCGGCCCGACACGCCATTGTTCGTGGCAGACACTGAGCCCCCAGAGGCAGGGCAACACAGTCTTGACCCAATACGGGCAAACACGGGGGCTAACGTCCCGTGCAACGACGACGCCTCGCGCTCATCTATAGCGAATAGCGAGTCATCATCAACGGGCTTGACAGCACCCTCTCCTTCCATGTTCATGGTCATTCTACTCGAGGCATGCCTGCAAAGCTACCGATCATGTTCTGAGCTGCATTTCCGGGGCTAGCTGAGGAGCAACTTACTGGCAAACGCCACCAGAGAAGGTGGCACATTTGCATATCAGCCTGCATTGACTGTTTAATCGACATCGTCACTCTGCCCCAGTGTGGGTAGTTTGACGAAGCCGAGAAGTGGCTGGATGATCTGGGCGTTCCGCATCGCCATGCGCGCTGGGTAGGACAACGTCCTGAACCATGTCTCGGCTCGTTTACAACCTGGTACATGAATGGCATATCCAGCGGTCAAACCAGCATATGCATATGCGCCATGCTGTGGAAGTTCGACGTACGCTCCACAAGAGAGCATTTTCGAGGCGCGCTCTTCTTGCCTTGTGGCACGTCAAAAACATCATTGTGACGGGAGCCGACTTCTCGTAAGAAGCACAGGAAAGCCAATCAGCTAACTTTGACGAAAGATGGTTCACCCTTTCATTTCTTTTACAAGAGGCCGCATTGGACTCGCAATCAACTCTCTCTTTGTTCATCTCCCGGCCTCCAGCTGTGGGACAAACTCGAAGCCACCCCTGCCCTCCGTCACAAACCTTCCGGGGCTGTCGGGACGTCTCAAGGCGCCGTTGTCACCCTCGTCGAAGTTTGCGCCCCCTCGCCCGAATCATCGCGGCCATTGCCCTCCCCTCATTCGTCGTCCCAGAGCTACAATGCGTTGCCGATCGGCTCGACAGGCCCAGCCCGGGAGACGGACGGCCTGGTCCTGCTTTCCCGCCCAACCTTGACGAGGTTTCCCTCTTTGGGGAAATTTACGATCCACGCACTGTCACATTCATCTGGGCTGTGGAAAGAGCTGAGATTATGGATGGGCCGGTTCGGTGCTGCAACTCCTCACCCTGCTGACTTTTTCAGCTGGAGATGAACCTTGAAATGGGAGCATGGAGATGGATCTCCCGCCCGTTTGAAGGCTAAGGATAGCTAGTGGGATATATTTAGCCCCTAGCCTGCTTACTGGGCGAGTGCTCTCACAGATCCCGTCGTCTTCTCGTATCGACGTTGCGATTGTCTTCTACTGACATGTAGTACGTCACCCCTTAAGCAGTAATTGCCGCCGCATGCTTTACGCAAGGCCGCAGCGCCTTGACAACGATTTCCGAGTACCGTCTTGCAAGAAGACAAAGGGGTCTGCTGACGGAGTTTTCTTCATTGGCGCACTGTTGGTTCCAAGTCGTTTGCTGTCCGTCACGCAAAGCAATAAGCAGCTCGTTTCTCCGATGTTTTCTCCTCATATGACTATCCCAGATTGCAATTTCCAAGCATCCTTTCCCGGAACGGATACGATGTAGACCCCGAGGGTGTTCACTCGAGGCCAGCGTTGCTCTCCAGCCTTCATTTCGTGGAATGATTACACTATGCTGCGTCAGATGCGAACGAGTGATGCGGCTGTGCCAATGTCAGCCCCCAAATACGACGTCGTGGCTTGGGACGGATGCGAAGACCACGACATTTTGAGATGGCTACAGAGGAAATGGATTGTGGAGGGCTGCGCAGCGCTTCCACCGGGGCGATATGGCAAGAAGGGGGTGTGCGTCAAGACACCGACTACTCAGCATGATGCAGCTCACACATGGTTATTCTTTCGAGGTGGGTGGTTTCCGTCTGATAGAAGAACCGTCCCACACCGTGGTCTTCCAGCGTCGCAGAGACGGGGCGCTCTTGACGCGGTGAAGCAGCAAAAGAGTGGCGGAGGGGTCCTCGACGTATCAGGCAAACGACCCTGAGACCCCAAGACCCTGAGACTCCAAGAAACTCACGAGTGTCGATCTTCATAGACGGCGCAGGTACCATTCTGAAAGCCCGCCACCGGGCCGGAAAGGTGCCATAACAGGCCATGAAATCTGCGTGTGGTGATGCCCAGATTTCTGGCCACAAGTGATTCGGTACGACAGTCCAGGGTTCACCATTGTTGAGACATATCCGTGTCCAGAGTGAATTGCATTAATCGATACACAAAAGGGACCGCCCTCTCTAGAAGGCCGTCTACAGCCGCCGTCTGCTAACGCTGTCCGAGACCGCTATGGCTGTGAGAAAACCGCACGCAAAACGAAAGAAAAAAGATAATAAACCACCCCCCCGTGAAAGGACAATGGGACGTCCCGGGCCGGGGGTCCGTCCTCGCGCATTGGCTAGATGGAGCTAGATCTCGCAAATACTCCCTCCCCCTTGCGAATCGTCTCTCTCCTGCCCGATCGATAGATTCCCTTGTCCAAGTTGAACGCCGTACATGCAATGAATCATCTCCTTTCCTCGACGAGCCGTCCGTGCTAGAATAGAGTCAGGACGTTTCATCGGGGCCATATCCGCTTGCGCGCTCTCTCACCCTGACATCGGAAATGATGAGGGGGGCCGCAACCTCCGTCCTCCCATGTCCGGGGGAGGCCATGGAAATGCAGCTTGAATGCAGCTTCGAGCATGGCTCGATCGCTTCCTCCGTTCTCCGCACTGGGGTTGGCGGCCGATAGTGTGCCTTGGCCATCGTGGGAATCTCCACAGGCCTCCGCGTGACCTAGCTTTCCTGGGCCTGGAACTCGTCGGCTGCATCGCTTGTCGCCGCGTGTCGCCCCGTAATACCTGCCGCCCGCTCCGAGCTGCAAGCCTCCAGGGCGCCGTTGCGGAGCAGCCCGCGATCTGGGGCTCGCATCGCCGCCATTCTTTATCCGTAGCTATGCAGATATACCAATGGTCCCGTGAAAATGCGGAAGGGGGTTGAAGCTCAGATGTCTACGTCTGCTACACAACTCAGAACATGCCCCTGCCGCTTGCCAATCTGACAAAGCTGTAGGGCACGTTCTGGCCGACCAGCAGCCTGAGAGTCTCTACGGTCGTGAAGGCGGCCGTGTCGGCGACACCGTAGGCAGAGAAACCGGCCTGTTGAGCGATGAGGCCCGGGTCGCCGCCTTTCCTTGCACCTGAGGCCTCGGCAAGATCGAGGAAGACTTTTTTGAAATTGGACCCTCCCCGGACGTTTGCGCCAAACACACGGACGAGCATACCGACGAGATTGCTCTTTTCCGCCCCGAGGGCCGAGACGACCAGGAAAGGGGCTGCATCGTCGCCGACCGTCTGTGCCCTCTTGAGACTCTCGAGGCTATTGAACGGTTCAATGACGGGTCCATCGCGAGCCAGGGCTGGCGGTGTCCGGAAACCGACGGTATATATCTTGCCGATGCGGAGAGCCTTCAGGGCGTACATGACTGATGCGGCATCTTCGCCGGACGAGGCCAGAACGACGGCTGTCCGACCAAAGTACGCCGAAGGCGCCATGTCTCTGGTCAGCGTGCTGATGATGCCACGCCAACTGGCATTGTCCAGAATCAGGGATGTGTTTGGCGACAGAGCGGAAAAGTTCGACCCGAGATGGCCAAAAGAATCATGATGTCCATGGCGCGGACTCGACGGTATGGACGCCGGAGCAGAGGAGGCCGACGATGACGATCCCGACTTGACTATGATGGTGTCCACAGTTCCGATGAGCCGAGCAGCCTCGGTCAGTTCTGGGCCCTTGCCGCCGTTAAGCGACGCAAAGAACGAGCTGTGCTTCAGAAGGCTGTTCCACGACACCGGTGGGCTGAGATAGGCACCGCCAAAGTTCTTTTGGTTGCACCAGGCCTCCATGCTTGAAAAGTTGTTGGGCAAGCGCTCCACGACTGCGAAGTAATGTGGTAGGCCAAGCTCGTTGAAGCACTTCTCATAGAAAGGGGCTTGCGGTGTCGAACTTCGAAAAGCCGGGGTCGTGATGCCGTATATGCTCTTCTTGGGCAGCTGCCCGAGCAGGGCTAGAGCCGCGTTGATTTCCGAAGCGCTCATCTGGCCTGGAGCAGCGACTATTGGCAGCAGCGGGTGAGTGATGGGCGTGAAAACTCTGTTCAGAGTGCGAGAGAACTGGCCCGTCTCCCCCATGTTGACTCCCGAGAAAGGGGGCGAATCTGGGTAGTCTGCCCGCATCTTGGAGCGGAAGTATTCCAGCTCGAAGTTCTCGTTATGGTCATTGATAATGGCAATCATTTTTATGATGTCGGCGTACTTGCTCGATTCAACATAGACCTGCTCGGCATGGGACGAAGGCCATCTGAAGGTGCCAGAGAAATCGTGGAACGCAGACATGATCCGGCTGCTTCCTTTCTGCTCGTAGAGCTTCTTCCGGATAGCTTCAGGAAGCCATAGCTCCACGTCGATGTACTCGACACCCCATTGGATGGCTCGGTACAGATACTCGTAGTAGAGATCTGGGTTTTCCATCGGGAAGCGGCCGTTCTCCCTCGTACATCTAGTGGTGAAGATGATGGGGAGTTCCGTTCGCTGGCGCAGGAGCATCAGTTGCTGTCCGACGTAGCTGAGACTCGGGATGGCAGAGTATGTGCCGTCGCCAAGAGGCTCCTTGAGAAGATCAACTCGGATTTCCACCGCGTCGGCGCCTACAGTGAGAATGTCGATGTTTGGTAATGCAGCGCTGACGTCGGGGAACGTTGTGGAGATGAAGTAGGTCCGTGGCTTTGACATCAACGTCTCGTGGTGGTTGATCTGGCCTAGGGTGAAGGAGATGAATCTCGAGAGGTCCCGCCGGAAGAAAGGGGCTTCCGTGTACAGGAACTCGTAGTCGCACTGCGCCGAAAGAAAGACGTCCGGCGGCATCCCAAGGTTGACGCAGTGAGCGTTAATCGCCACGACAAGCTCCTTGTCGCGAGAGTTGATATCGTTCTTCGCATGCTCTGCCGGAATGCCCACCACAAGCCCTTGGTCGGCGGCGCTAACATCTTGGAATGCCGAACGGATGGCGTACGGTTTCCCCAGAACATCGGCGAAAACTGACACGATGTTGTCTTGGCCGTGGCCATAAACGATGACGACGATCCTAGTGTCTCCTCTCTGGGGGGGACTGCCGAACCTCGTGCCGGTTGTCACGGCAGGGCTGGCATTCCGGTCAACGTCCATCTCAACATCCTGGTTCCCAGAACCGTTCATACTCCGCGGGCGCGCGGGGTTGGGCCAGCCCCGAGCTGGTGAACCGATGCCATGGCGCTGCTTGATGATCCGTTGATTCCGAGTTGCGAGAACCGAGCAGCCACGCCAGGGACGGTGTACTGAGGTGGATAAGACGCAACGAACCCGCGATAAACCGCTCCCTCCCCTTCTCCTCCGTCAAGACGACTTGGATGATCGTGAGGAAGTATCGTGGCGGTGGTTAGCGGTGTTGGATATGTGAGGCCAAAGTCCCATGACAAGACGAACCGATAGTCCAAGCAGGATTATGGCAGTTCGAGGGACGAATGAAGAGAGATTCGAGGGATCACAGCGGGGATAGACGGCGTACTATGGTAGAGAGAGGGGGAATAGAGAGAGAGAGAGAGAGAGCAGGGCCAAGGCGTGTCAGGTGACCTGGTGGTGTTAGAGATATGCGCCGGGAAGCAGAAGCCGGTGGGGGTCGTCGTGAGGCTGGTGCATATGATGTGTCCTCGAGATCGGGGGCGCGATGTGCGCTGCGTGAGTAGCGACTGATAAGACGTAAGAGAAGCTCTGTGGGATTACTAGAGGACGATGACGCTGAGCAGAGCCCTACGGACCGGTTTGCTGGGGCCAGGTACTTTCTTCCACCAATTCGCGGGATGCTTTCGTGCGTCTCGACACAGGACTGGAGACTCGCGATTCCAAGGGTGGGCTGGGTCGTCTAATTGAAGCGCAGGCGGCAGGAATCTCGATTGATGCTCTGGTGATGGTGCTCCGGGGCCAGTCGCATGTGGTGCGCGAGTTGGACCGTGGGGGCAAGTTTGGTGTCAGCGCGGTCAGAGCAGCCAAGCACAAGGGAGCATATAGAGCTCAGATTGGCATCTTAGAAGCCGACTCTGAGTAGAAGGGCGTTTGCGCGGGCGTTGTCGCAATATGAGGAGTTGACGAGAAAAGTTGAGACGAACCGGCCGGTGGCACGGGAAGGATAGGGCCGCAGGCTGGTCAATAGGCACGCTTGGGCAAGGAAGTATTTCGCCGACAGGGAAGCTATGAGGCGGCGGCGGAGGCGCGGTAGCTTTGAGGGACAACACGGCGTCGTCGTGAGGGACAATGAGGATAGACAAGGTTCTCCTTCGTCCGTTTGAGTTCCTTGTGGTATGGGACGGTACGAAAGTCTGGGCTAGACCAGAGGGTGGTGATCCCTGGCCAGACCGGGACAACTGGAAGGACGGTAATGCTGGGATGGCGGGCCTAGAGTGTGAGCAGGCTCGGTGGAGGGTTTGGGACGGCAAAGCCGGCGTAGACAATTCGCAATGAACAATCCGGGGCCTGTCGTTGGTGGAGGACACGGAGAGATTGATGGAAGTTGGGGAAGACGAATTGTTCCACCACAGACGCTGCGTTCCACCGAGGTGCTTGACAAGAGCCAGAAGGGGGTAGAGGGGCAAGTCGACAAGCTTGGCATGGGGCAGACTGGGGCAGGGATTGGGAATGGGAGCTGGCAGAGCTGGGACTGTTGATGCGTCTTGGCTCCTTGCTGCCGCTGCCGCTTCGACTCCTGCTTCTGCTATTGCTTCTGCTGCTGCTGCTGCTGCTGCTGCTGCACGTTTCTGGAGTCTAGCCAGGGGTGTTGGTCCCAAGGAAGAAGATTGCTGCTCGCTGACTGGATAGTCGAGGCCGCAGGATGAAAAGCTTGGGTCTCGGTGCTCGACGAACAAAAGGAGGGGTGTTGTTGTGCCGGTATCGTTCCTGAGTTGAGTCAAGGCGAGTCGAGGCGAGGCGGGCTAAGGTACCGTGGCCCGAGGTGGGATGGGATAATAAGACCGAGATGAACTACACTTGATGGGATTTCAATGTCGATTTCGATGGCAGGCGACCAGAACACCGTCCAACGATGATCCTCCCCCAAGACAGGCAAGGTAGAGTCAGAGGCGTCTCTGTACGGTGATTCGGAAACCCCTTTGCTTCAGCTGACTGTTGATGGTGAGGGTGTACAGACTTGCTCTTGCGTGCGTAGCGTGTGTGTTGGGGTGTATGTGTGTCTATGAGTGCCTCCCTGAGGGGGATAACAAAAAGGTACTTGGCTCAAGCGGTGCCAGCGGGAGAAAAAGGACCACGGGCACGAACAGGAAGGGATAGATAGGGAGACGTTAATTGGCATTATTACACTGGACTAGAGGGAGGGAAGCTAGAAAGTTGGAGATGTGCGGGACCCGGCCACACTGTCCGTCCAGCTACGATAGCGACTCAACTGAGCTTGCATGCCAAATGGTGGGGTAAATGGGGAAAGCCTGGGGGGAGTGCCATCCCCTGTGGCTCCGTGACATGTTCCCCTAAGAAGCACTTGGCTGGGCAACTGGTCCCTTGGGGAGACTCTGGAGGGAGGCCGAGCTGGGGGGGGGGGGGATGGGGGAACACTGGGGACGTTTTTCCCACAATCGTCGCCACAAAGATTTGCCGCATTTTCCCTATTTCCGGGATTTGGACGACATAGATTCTCCGCCAATCACACACTGCTCCGTCCACGCCATTCGGGACGACTTGGCACCGTTAGTGTGCCGCCAGGGAGGGAAACTCCTGTTGCAAGGTTCAAGGGTCTCTCTACGCTGTTGTTGTTGTTGTACACACTACTGTACTCTTCTCTCCAGGCACCTCACCTTACCTCACCTCACCTCACACTTCACCTCTAGCCTCGTAGGCTTCGGACTGGCGGTAGAGCATACGTTACCTATTCATCGTCAGCTTGGACCCCAGTCTTTTCCCTCTTACCAATCACTACCCGTCAGTAATCACTTTATCCCGTCTTGGCTTGACACAAATGTACGGGATGCACCATACGCACTAGCCTATCGGAACACCTTTGGCTCCAAACTTGACTTGCCTCTACCGTGCCATGCCGTATCCTCCACTGCAGTCATTATCTCGTTTGCGACAACCCTCCAGACCTGTCGATGTATGGTTGCAGCCGAGCAAGCAGACATCTTCCGCCGCCCATGTCGCTGCCTGCTTTGGTGCCAATGTCACCTTATCAGCATGGAACGGTAGGGTTCCCCTCTCCCGAGTTGTCTGCACGCACGCTCCTCGAAACATCTCGGCCAAGTCTGCCTCTGTTGATATTGATAATACCATGGTTTCACAAAGCAGCTGTTACCTAATTCATACCAGGCCGACACCCACAACACACCCGGCTATCTCCTCATTAAACAGCTGATGGCTGTCACCTGACGGGGACAGCGACCCGAGTCTCGCTGTCGACATCCGCATCAAACCCCTTGGCTTATCCCGGGCGTCTCTTCGACTGCTTCACCATCAACACTTGCCTCCAACGGAGGTCACTTGTTAATGTGAGTCGATAAGTGTGAAACACTCGTCGGCAAATATTTGATTGGACCCCCGCCGCCGGCCAAACGATGATCTCGGGATCGCCCAACGACCACCACGCAAGCCACACCTGCTGTGCAGGTAGCCGTCTTCTGGAAGGCCGCGAGCCTGCAGCCGGCTAAAGACGGACGGAGATCGGGCCTCGTCTTCCCGCCCGTGGCAGACGAAATTTTCCAGATACAGCCAGCCCAGCCCTTTGGCAGAACTGCTTCAGCTCTGCGGGAAGGCTGCAGCTGCTCGGACGAACAACCGGGCCCGGATCGCGAGCCTTCAGCCTACCGCATCTTCGGTCCTACAACCACTGCAACCGGCATACCTAGCCGCTGCTGCAGACGCCAATGTGCGCTCGGAGAAAAAAGGTTACTTACATCACAAGCTTATCTGCCCGTCCAACAATCATACGCTGGCCTGTTGGGTATTGGTAACGACTCCGAGAGGCCCAATCCGACCAAAAGGTGGAGCCAGCCAGCCTTCGTATCCTTTGATTCCTCTTCTCGTTCGCAAAGTTTCCTCTAAATCGGTTCATTGTTTCGGAAGTCACCTCCTTCAGGTGGGCTTACCATGAAGCTGTTCCCATGTCGATTCGTGGATATCATCACGTCTTCTTCCGGCTTCCACTAGTGTGGGACAACGGCCCCGTCTATCGCCCCATGCCGGCCGTGGCCAACACGAAATCAGAGTCCTGGGCCCAACCTTGAAGTTTCACCTTTTCGATCTCGATATTACTTCGCTTGCAAGGCAAACGTATGACAATCAAACAGAAGCACATCACGATTCGGCTCGCCCAAGGGCTCATTGGTGCACAATCATGTCTCGCCGGAACCTCTGTGTCGACATTCTCCGTTGGTGGAGAAACAAAGATACGGTGCCAAGGTGGAGCATCTTGTCGAGTTTCCCGTTTCAATATGTAGGCCAAGACTCTCGAAGCGAAGAAGCATAAAAGGGAAGCAGATCAGTCCACCCGACCGTTCTCGCCCTTTCACCGGCATGCACCATCGCCAAGGACGAACCGGCCCGGACATGCGGGCTCAGATTCCCAAAAGAACAGGGACCTTCACATCGAGATGTTGTGAAGTGGCAGGCGAGGGGTCCCTTTGCTGCAACGAAACAAATCAACGCCGACCTGGAAAGCGACCCGAATGCAGATTAAATGTAACTTTTCGGCTTAGGGGTCCTTTGAGACTATCCGAGCAACTCCACGAAAAGATTGACAGCAATCATACAAGGTCGCATCCTCCGAACCAGCGACCAACGAGTACTCATTCTTGGGTCCAAGTCCCAACCATGTTTCCTTCGTAATCGATAATCCGGCAACAGAACCCCATCCTAACGCCGATCTCAGTCTCTGGCCTAAGAGCAAGCATTAGGCTAGTATTTTGAGATGCGGTGACGCGCAGTCCAGTTTCGACTTACACATGAACCCCTTCCACCCAATCTCTCGACCTCGGCAACGGTCCCCTCGATGTTCCTCACGCAGAATGTAGGCAGCACCACCATGCGCTCCGGTCTCGCCGCGTCGTGGCCGGCAATCTGGTTGCCCTCTTCCATCAGCAGGAATCCACCGTGGAGCTCGCCCTTGCTGAAGAAGTGCATCGTCTTGATCCCAGGAGTCGGCGACGGTATCCCGGTCTCGGCGCAGTCCCACCTGAGCACCGCTGTGCAAAACGCGGGGTGGCGCGGACCGGGTCCGAGACTGGTACCTCGAGGAAACACATCTGCCCGTAGGGGTTGCTAACTGAAGCCTCCAAGCAGTCTTGGGTGTTTTGTGAAGGCATTTTCAAGATGCGAAGTGATTGGATGTAACTGCCGTCACGTTGATGGTAATACAGCGACGATTGTGCGTGACCTCCGAGCCCGATGTTTCGATCACCAACCAACGCAGCTCGCTCTGGCAGCCAGCTTGAAGATGTTAATACTTGTGATATCTTGTTTCACCCTCAGGATTCCCCTCACGTCCACACCACAGCAGGCTCCATTGATTCACATGATGACGTGTTTCTCACGCACTTCAAGCCCATCTTCACTGATACCTCTGGGGGATTTGGGATACCATATGATTCACATATAATCATGGCGCGATTGTGCCAAACCAGGTTCTCACACGGTCCGGACGTACATGAGCTTCCCCAGACTGTGATTGAAAACTAGCGCTCTTTTCAATGGTATGTTCCCAAGTCATCGCCACTTAACCTAGAATAGATACACTTGTGAATTCGAACAGATGTCCAGAAAAATGTGCTGGTCCCAGTATGCCGTATACTATACTCCTCGGTTATGAATACTGCTTATATGCAAACCTCTAACCGATGCGATATGCTCCTACCATGTCCGTCTAGAATGCCAAAGTCCATCTGGACCCAGTCCGCTTACATCAAATCATGCCTCTCCAACGCCCTCGTTCCCCATCAGCGCCGCCCTCGCCTCCGTCTCATCATCTACCGTCTTCCTGCCTGCGGGGCCCCTCCACCCCGTACTCGCCTGAATCACAATCGCAACAACCGCCAGCGCCGCCGCCACCCGCCACGTGCCACTCGATGCGCTGGCATACCTTTCCACCGCAATGTCATGCTCGGCAGGACTCAGGCCGCCGTTGAACACCAGCGCGGGACTCCCAATGAGCCTTGTGATGAGCTCCTTCCGCTCCTCGGACAGCCTCCCGCCGTCGAGCTCCGTGAAGCTGGACACCAAGCCGGAGCGCAGGATGCGGTAGAACACACCCCCGCCAATGGCCGTGCCAAAACTGCCCCCGAACCCGCGGAACGTGCCCAGCAACGACGTCGAGATGAAGTGCTCCTCCGGCCGACTCAGGTGCAGCAGGTGCGCGAGTGTATAGTTCAGCGTAGCACCCGTCGCGAGCCCATTGAGCACGACGGCCAGCACGAAACTCCAGAACGGGGTGGTTGCCGTGCCGACTAGGGACAACCCGAACATGGTCGCCGCGAAGCACATTATGCTGATAACCGAGGGTGACCAGAAAGCGCCGTTGCGACGGACGTGTAGCCAGCCGACGATCAGCCCGCCGGAGCCGAAGCCGATGTTGGTCGGGATCAGGATCGAGCCGGCGACGGCCGGGGCGTACCCACGGACGGCGAGGACGAATATGGGCGCGTAGTAGAGCAGAGTCCAGCGGATGGACATGAAGAGGAGCTGGGCAATGCAGGAGAAGAGGACGCCGCGGGAGGAGAGGATGGAGATGGGGATGACGGGATCCGCGGCAAGTTTGAACTCAATGAGAATGAATAAAAGGAGAGAAAGGACCGAGAGGATGAGAGGGCGAGCTTGGATTTCGCCCGAGAGGCCGTAGAGGAAGAGGACGATGGTTAGGACCTGGCGAGGTGAGTCGGGGGTTGTGTGAGATGTTCGGGTCTAGGGACGTACCAGCATGAACGCACCCGCGTAGTCGATGCGAGCCAGTTTCTGCATGACGGACTTTCCTTTTGTCTCGTGATCAGAGCTGAAGGACCTGGGTATGCTCCAGAAGGCGCCGAGACCTGCAAGCAGCCCGAGGGGCGTCTGGAGGCCGAAGAGGGCTCTCTGCAAAACCGTGTCAGCTTTCCCGCCTCAACCAGGGACTTGGAAGACGAGACAAACCCATCCGATAACCGGCAACAGCGCCCCGTACACCACGGCACCAAACGATAACCCGATGGTGAAGCCCGCGTTCACCAGCCCAACAAAGACGCCGCGCCTCTTCTTGCCAACCAGCTCGAGCACCAGGATGACGGCCAGCGTCATGATGCCTGCGCCGCCCATGCCCGTCAGGATCCTGCCGGCGATGAAGACCCAGAACGAGGGCGCCTGGGAGGTGACGATGCCGCCGGCGGCGAAGAAGCCGCCCAGGGGCAGCACAAGGCTGCGGGGCGAGAAGATGGTGGCCAGGCGGCCGAAGAGGGGCGCCAGCGAGGCCATGCTGATGAGGTAGGAGCTGGTGAACCACATGGCGTCCGCGTAGGCGTCGAGGTCCTCGGCGACGACGGACTGCGTCATTGTCATGCCCGACGTGTTTGATGCTGGTTTATTTAGTCAACTCGGCTACCGAGTCGAGGATATCGGGAGCAACGACGTACCTTGGAGGAAGATGAGGATCCAGGTGCTCAGCATGAGAACCGCGGCACGGGTCGCGCCTATGGACTGCTTGGGCCCTTCATCGTCGTCGTCGTCGTCGTCGTCCGAGTTCCGATCTCGGCGGCCACCTCCCGGCGACTCATTACGGAGGGTCCGGGACGACGTCTCGGAGTTGAGCAGCGTCGTCGTCTCGGTGGCATCGGCTAATGAAGCCTCCTCCCGTCGCCCGGGTTCGTTGTCGGCGGCTTGCTGCCGGTTCCAGAGCTGAGGAGGTGCTCGTCCATCCACCATGTTGGGGGTTCGTGTGGCCAAAATGCCCTTGTTACGGACGCTGCGACGGGGCCGATATCGTTGCCATTCAGCACTTGCACCTCAGCGAAGCTTACAGGGTTGCTGCGGGTTTTGTGGTTGTGGAAAGAGTCGGAGAAAATGAGAGAGGCACGAATCAATTATTGGATCTTCGCCCTAGTCCCTCATCACATGAGCACAAGTGCATGTGAATACTAGATAGCACCGTTAGCCCGCGTAGTGTCTCACAAGTTATTGTCCGTTTGTCTAGCAGCTTGGTAATCCAGCTCGAGCTTCCCCCACCTCCCCCCATCTTTGATCCAGTACCCTTTGCTCAGGACGTTAGGTGGCCGGTACAGTGGGCGGAACGACAGGGTCCCGCCCGGGTGGCGTCTACCCCGCCCCGCTTTTGCCGGCTAACGGCTCGCGTTCGCTCCCGTCCTCTCCCCCAACCACCTCCAGCTACGAAGCTCGTCCCGACTTCGAAACCACGCACTTGTTCCATTTGATCTCAAGATCTTTCCCCTACTTTAAGCGTTTTCCGTGTACTGTGTAGCATAGCAAAGCCACCCACGCTAGCTCAGTGTCGTCCTTGATTCTAATTTATCCTCCGTAGCCCCTGCGTTCATTACTTGTCTTCCTCGGGGGTGTGTGACCGAGAGTTTCCTATAGTAGCCAATCTTAAAGCTGTCTCCAGCCTGCCATGACTCTTGTTACTTCTGTTTCTGGCCGTCGGCGATGCGTCCCAGTGAGTTATGCCTGGTTGTACCTGTGAGCCCCGCAGTCTCGACGTTTTGGGCAATTATGCATGGAATCCCGCCGCCGCAAGGTCAAAGGCTTCCCGACGGGGTGGCTAACTATCGTCATGTTTGGCGCGGAGGGCGTTGTCAGTGAATGTGCATGCCTCCTTTCTCATGAAATGGGTGGTTCGAGCTAGCTCCTCCCCGAACTCTACGAAGAAAGGTCGGCGATAGAATTATTCGAACCTAGCCAACATGGTCCCACAGGAAGAAGGCAGGCACTTATGTTCATTGAGCCGGGTAGCTTCCTCAGGTAAGCATAACGCCCAGCATCTGCTTCCATCATTTAGGCAGTAAAGCCTGGAAGGTAGAAATAGCCTATTTACTGCTTGATGGCCGTACCTCAAGAAAAGAGAGAAAATGACGTATGAGATGGCTCCTCACTCCTGAAGTTGACAAGAAATTCACAATGCTCTGCGCCGTTTTATAGGCAATCAGCTAGGTAGTTCAAGCGCGACTTGAAAGGCTTTGGAGATTGCTGGATTTATCTAAGATGATGTGTCTAGATATCCTCGGTGTGAGGAGCTCTTCTTTGGCCTCGTCGCTGGTTGAATGTGCAAGATTTCGACCCTTGACATCAGAGGACAGACTCCAGCTTTCGGGTCACCGGGGTTCTAGTATCCATCGCCCAAAGGAATATCATCATACCCTCAAAAATGCTGTTCCGTGATCATGTCTTATTGAACAAACATTTAGTATCCTGTGCACCAGTCTTGGGCCATAAAAGGCCCTCACTAACCCAGCAACGCCTGAAGAAAACCCTCATCATCCCTTTATACTCCAAAATGTACCATAATGACCCCTAAAACACTCTCGTCGGATACCCCTGTGGCATCAAATCGAACGGGGCCGGCAGATACCAACACAGACCGGCTGCAACGTGGTAAGTCATGTCGTTCATTGACCTGCCGCTTGTTTCCCTCGTCGAAGGTTCTCTTGAGTCGTCGTTTTCAGTATGGCTGCGACTGCCCTGCGAACGGAAGAGTTGCTGAAGTCTGTGACGGACTTTCATCGACCGCTTTCTTAGGGAGCCTCTAGTGGAGTGTCGAGAGAGGTCCTCGTCATCTTCGAGCACTGACGCAGTCTCCGCCTCGGACTTTTCTGCAATGTTCGCCTTCTCTTCGAGCTGCATCTCGTCCACAGAACTGCTCATCGAGGCTCTTTCCTCATCCTTCTGGGAGGTTTGCATTGTCTGGGAGCGAGTTAGTACTAGACCTTTGCCGTTGCTATGTGGCTCGAAAGGGGACACTAACTACCTGTGAGGCAGAGCGGACTTGCTGTGTCTTGGGTCTAGTAGGTAGGTCCTTCCTGGAGAACATGGGAGACTTTGGCCTCTGTATGTTGCTCGGTCGCCAACGACGCCAATTAGCAGACCAGCCCGACCGAGACGGTCTGTTGGTGCTGGGTGCCGGTTCCTGTGGAATTGCGCAAACATGCATCTCGACGGCGACTGGAATTGTAGCTCGTTGGGCGTGGAAGAAGAGTGGAGGGCTTGGTCGCACAAAGGGGGTTGTTAAATATTCCCCTTTGTTGAAAGTATGATTCGCTTGGTCAACGAGCTCCTAGTCAGGCGCGCAGTTAGTACCTCGATTCAGATGGCATGTTCATGAAGTGCTGACCATCTGGAAAGTCACGACCATCCAAGCTTTCCGGCAAGCTCCCAAATTCCTGCTTCGGTGACGGACGGCCGAGCTTGCCAATAGTCCGGTATGCGAACCTGATCACCGCCCAAGGGCTAAGACGGAAGGCTTCGCTGAGTTAAATAACATCGCACCAGCTTAGCGGGCGGGGGCAAAGCTTAACCAGAGTCCGAATTGTCCGTCTTTTATATTTGACGTATAAAACAGACTTCCCGCAAGGCAAAACGTGTGAAGGTTGACGAAAACGACGGGGGCTGGTTTAGTAAGGTTGTACTGCAATGACGGTGTATTGAGCCAAAGCGATAAGCTTCATTGACGGCGATTGCGAGCTTAGCCGGAGGGAGCCGTCGAGGCTGTTCTTTTTGCGTTTGCTTCTGCTACTTGCCTACCTATTTAGCCGCCCATCCTTCCTTATTGTTATTAAATGCTAATCAAAAAGTTTCCCCAGGGTTTTGCAACCCAAACGCCGTATCCCATGGTATATGCCGGAGGGTGTATGCCTGTGCAGTCCATCAGAAAAAAACCTAAAATACTCAAGGAAGATCATCCACGTAGCCAAGCGTATCTCGACGTTCATCGCAGAGTCTCGCAAACTCTAACAGCAACCTCCAGACGTACAGCCTCATATCCTCACGGCGCAGTGCCTTCTCCGCCCACTCCTTGCCCTGCTCGGCAATCCACCTCGCCGCGTCGTCGCCCTTGCTCTTCTTCCCCAGCACCTTGTGGACGCCCCACGACCCCTGAGGCTCGTCATCGCCGTCGGTGAAGAAGTCCAATACACCGTAGAGGTCCTGGAAGGTGTTGTCCAGCGGCACAAAGTGCAACCACGGCGTGAGGCGGTCATCGTGCCACTCGGCGTACACCGTCGCCTTGAGCGGCACGCTCGTCGACATCAGGAACGCCCTGAACCGCCCGCTGAAGCTGTAGCCGTCCGCGTCTGGAAGGAACTTGCTCGAGAACTGCTCCGCCATGGGCGTGGCATTGACCACCGATAGATGCGGCGCGAGCCAGTCACATTCCTTGCGCCGATCGTGGCTTGGCCCGCACTGCAGATGTGTGAAGCCCACGTCCGTAAACCCGGAGAGAAACTCTCCGAGCCGCTTCTCGCGGCGGCGCAGGGTATTGTAGCGTTCTAGTGGGGGCATGTCAAAGGTCATTGCGCGGACGTCGTTGGCCTCCATGCCGCGCACGGTAGTGCCGTTAAGCATCTCCACCAGGCGTTGGCGGTGAAAGTGCATCCAATTGTCAGACTGGGTGAGACCTCCGGACCCGATGCCTCGCCATACGAGGCGATTGAGTTTCTCGGGCCACGCGGGGCCGCGGACGTTGCCGCCGGTGTAGCTCGGATCGTCGGAGAGGTACATGGCGCCTGGAATGAGGATGTCCGAGTTGACACGAAGCTTGGAGCCCCCGAAAAGGGGGATGAGATCCTTTGTCGTGTTAACATTCAGAGGCTCGACGAAGGTGCCGTGAAGTGAGCGTAGATGAGGTTGTACACACGGGTCCATGGACCAAGTGAAGTTTGATACATAGCCCCGACGAGCAAACGGTGCTTTCCACAGGTATGGTAAGGTTGGTGGCAGTGATAGGTCCGTCGCCGCAGGTACGTTTCTGGCTGGAGAATCCGAAGGACAGGCCTCTCGAACAAGGTCCCAGTACTTGCGCCGGTCGCCGCTTGCCCATCCCTTAAAGTACGGTTTTTCTCGGGCGGCATCGACGCTCACCAAGCTCTGAAAGTCGGTTGTGGCCTTGCTTTTGGTAGGCATGCTTCTCGTTTTACCCTCCTTGGCAACGTACTTCTCCATATCCTTCGACGGAACCAGAATCCGAGGTTCCTGCATGTAGTTGATGGGCATGTCCACGTCCGGCAGGTGTTTTGCAAACTCGGACACCAGCGACGTCCATAACTCCAGCCACGGCTCCTTATCTTCTGCGTTCCCGTCGCCCATCGCTGTGCCGTTGCGCACTCTTACGACATGCTCCCCTGCGTTGGCTTGCTTCGCAATCGTCTTCGCGTCAAGGGCCCAGAACGGCCTGAGGTCGTCATAGATCCGGTCGAAGAACTCCTCGACAACTATCGCATCGGTCTCCATGGCGTGGTGGAACCATTCCTGGAACCCTGGGGGCGGGTGTCTGCCCCGACGCTCTCGGTAGCGCAGGGCGGCATTGTGAAGAGTACGGCTTCGTTTCTGGAGGATCGCCTCTTGCTTCGTCCGCGCGTCGTGGATTAGCCAGTCGATCGGATTCGCATCGGCGTCGCTAGCGTTGAAGGGGTACTTGAAGTAATCGGTCGCGGTGCCGTCGGTAAACTTGATTCGGGAGGCTTTGGTGCTGATCGTGTCGCGATACATGTAGGTGCTCGTCAACAGCAAGGTCAAGATGAAGGTTGCCAGCACGCCTTTAAGCAAGGGTTTGGCCGAGCTGGGCGGCGGACGGTTGGTCTTCCACGCCATCGCGAAGGTGAGGTTTCTTCAGCTTTGGTAGCCCACGAAGAAATCAGGTCATCGGCAAGGTCTTGGATGCGACTGACTGCCCATGATGAGCCTGAAGAGAGGTAGGGAACTGGATCCACGAACGCAACAGCCCACAGCCTTCATTCGAGGAAGCGGTAAGCCATTTGCATTGCGGGTAGCTTTCGTAAATAGAATACGCGGCTCTGGAACCCCCTTTCCCGTCGATGCGACAAAACTGGATATACCCTAGTTCACTGACATGGGGATCATTTTGCTTGGTGGGGTGAAATTGCGCCGAGCCACTTTAAGTTTGAACCACAACTGTCTGAGAGTTATCGACCCAAATATTTCAATGACATCGGCCCGGGAGCAACAAGTGTATTCTGTTGCCTATGCATTGTTGACCACATTGTTGGCTACTTGGTTGACGGGGAAATAGGCCAGGTATTTTGTTCATCCTCTCCTCGAACCACGTCACGTCAACTGGTGGTCATCTCGGTACCGGTGCGGTTCTAATCCGCCGGGCAGGTCGGCCCAGCACGGCCCCATCGCTTCAGCCGTCAACATCCTTTGGCCCTTTCCAAACTCGGCCGGTAAACGTGTTATCGACCGCGCGTATGGTGAGCTGTGAAGTAAGAGCTGTCCATTTCTTTGTCCCAATTTGTAAATGCAGATTCCTGTTCATGGTTGGCGTAGGGGCTCGGCGATTCGAACACCGCCGCTAGCCGGAGCGCTATGGGACTATGGAGGGTCCATGACGGGCCAAAGGGACGAAAAACACTTGAGAAAGCCTTGAAAAGATGCATGCGCAAGCTAAAGTAAGGTCACTCCGTTCATGGGTTTGCGCTGGAGGCCCTCCGTTAGTAATTCCCTGGCCGTCCATTACACAATCTCACGAGCGGATTTCGATCGCTTGAAGGCAAACCAATGGGGTGTGCCTCGAGCGATCTATCTTAATTCTCGCTTACAAGCGAATGGGTAGTAAAGCTACTAAGTTCCCTTGAGAACACTGAAAGCCGCATGACTACACGTGTCAAACTCCATTGTCACCTTCAGCCTTCAAGGGAGATTGGGAATACTCCTCCTACTGGCTCCTCGATGCCGTTGTTAGATAATGGTGAATATTTCCATCGGCAGTGTCTCTTTGCATTGAGCATACGTTTCACCGGGGTGGCCATGACCCTTGGAGTATCCCGTTGCTAAGTTTTCCATGGTGCCATCGTCCACGTTAAATTCGATTCGAATCTCCACCACTTGAACACGGAATCCGTCATCTGACTGCCTCAACAATATTCCAAATATAACTCTTGTCTTTTGAATTCAGTAGGTACAGAGGTAGCCGAGCTTACCAACACGGACATCCTGTAAATCTTGTATCACCACATCTGGGTAAGTGGCATGTTCCCTAACGTTTCCCTTCTTCAGCCACTCGGTACGAGCATGTTCTGCCACGTTTGACAAGAGACTTTACTGATGCTTATAGGTAGTAGCTATTGCTCGTCCAGATACCGCCTACACCCAAGATTCAACCGCGCTGAACCGAGCTTTCTGGCTCACTGGTTTGACTTTACCGTCGAGCAGGCGGAGGTTCCTGCCAGCGAACTGCTTTGGCTTACAGAAGAAAGTGGCACTTGTGTAGGTATAGCAGTGCGGTAACTGGTTGATGCAAAATATCACGGACGGCTCCCACAGCGACCGTCTTCCCATCTTATTCCAGTCATATTAAGAAGAGCTCCAGATACACCATCTGCAACGCCTACTCGCCTTTTTGGAGAGGGTTGGCGTGAAAGGTATCACCAGCTACCATGATAGGAACAATTCCCCCGTCATCGCATCAACCCGACAGAGGGAAATTCGACGTTGCTTCCCTGGGACAGATGGGGCGGCAAGAGTGCGGAAAGCCTCTGACACTCTGCCCTGCTGATCATAACGATCATGTGAGAATTTACTAAACTTCTGACATACGACCGATTCCAGCCAACTTTATTCTTCTGCGTCTCGGATAATACACGGCTTCAACTCAGAGATAGTTCAAGCCAACCTCCTTGGTAAACTGATTGACATCTCCCAGAGTTTGTGACAACGTGGAGATAGCCAAGGTCCATTCACTGAGGCGGGTTTCGGACTTGGTGAGCATTAGCCTCTTTAACTCACCCCAGCAATAGGACAGAACAGCAGATGGCGCGTGAGACCGTGGTTGTAATATGTAAATTACTTGCGAAATAGGTGATATCTCGAGAATTCTGGTCCGTATGGGATCCCGAGCGCGCCTCGAGCAACAGACATGGCTATGCAAGCATTCCGTCAACCAACCATTTGCAACATTGAAAGGGTTCATGGAGCCAGGTTTGGAACTTTGTGGTCTCTGACTACCTTCTTTTCTTACCAGGGTTCCCGCGTAAATAATGCTGGTAAACCTAGATACTGTGTTTTGGTACGCACTCTGCGCATCATGGCGAATACTGGCAGGGCGACAGATGTGACTAAATAAAATGCATGTTCTTAACAGCTCCCACAATACATGCGAGCTCGTCGGGTAGGTTGATTTGGGTTCAAGCCCGGTAGAGAAGAACCTGCAGATGCATGCGTTCTGTGAAGTTTAACCAGGACAACACGCGTGTCATATAGTCTTTGCTCCCCGTCCTAATCATCCTGCTGGTCCAAAAAGCGGCAAGGCTGCAGCCAGCCGCAGACATCCATTGCAGGATACTTCAACTCGGGTTCGCTTGGCAGGAAACTTTTCGCCGAATGTTCTGCGTACCGAGGATGTCGAAACCATCAGAATCTACACTATGGATGACAGACATTGCCCAGCAATATTCACAAGAATGAGACTTCGGTGCCGGCATGACCAAACGCCTTTCCTTGGGACATAGCCAGTAGACTGGTAAGTCGCCGTCTACTTTGGTCTGAAGATGGTAGCTTTAGCAATAATATCGGTGATTTGCAACGACAAAGGCGGTAAATGAGTTATGGATAAGCCCATCATCGCACATGCGCATCACCTGCAGTCTTGGCGAGACCTAGTGAGGCAATGCCGCTGAAAGACATCGAGCACGGTACGCGCCAATCTTTAGGTTTCAAGTTACACCTGGGGGCGCCTCATAGTCACATTGCTGAATGTGGCATGAACTAGTCGTTACCTATGAACGACCACAGCGAGCATCCAAAGACGCTAGATGCCCTTGAAGACACCGATTATGACCAGGCAAAGATTGTGTTTGTATGCGCCGTTATCGAGTCAGCTTTGGGTTCTGTTGGACAGCGACGACCCAGCAAAAGATGGTGTGAACGCCCCTTTCGACCCGAGCCCACGGCCGCCGAAACGTTATCGACGACGCTCAAATGACGGCGAGATCTCGACGTCCCCACGCGCTTACCTAAGGAGCACACCGAGCACCCGGACCATCCCGGCCGCCGGCCAACCAATCAAAGGGCACGCAATGCAATTAGCGAGAAAAGAGGCGAAAACCATCAACCGCCATCGACAACGTCAACCATCCTACCCAAAAAAGGTCCGCCCCCCGACCCCCTTCGCCCTTTGAGTCGCCGGCCGCCGCTCCCTCCCCCGCGATATACCCTCTCCACTCCATCAAACCCGATTCCTCTCGCGAAAGAAACGATATCCTCCTACCAGACACGACAAGATGCTTTCCTCCACGAGGACAGCGGCCTCAATGGCCCTGCGAGGTAAGCTCTGTCCCCCGGCCCGGTCTACCGAGCACCCGACACACTCGAAACTCCCTCGCGGACCGCCCACCACCCGATATGCCACCATCATCGAATCGAACCTCGGAATAGCTTCAGTCACTCAATTGAGGCTCAACCGTGTTGATATGCCTGGACATTGACTAACCTCAATTGGCCTCCGTGTAGCGAAGCCGACCGCGTCCGTCATGCCCTTCAGAATCGCCGCCGCCTCCATCTCCTCCTCGTCACGAAAGGATGCCAGTCCCGCCGCTGCGCACTCGACCGGCCTCATCAAGAAGGAGCGCAAGGAAGTTCCTCTGCCTAGCCAGGAGGGCACCAAGGGTGTTATGCAATACGCTCTGTACGATTCCCGCTCCCACACCCACATCCCCAACCGCCTCAACGTTCCAGATCCATACCCGCATCGAAGCCACCTCTCCAACGACTAGATAACTAACCTCAGATCTTTTTCTTTCACAGCACCTCCCTCGACGTAATAACGAACTGGGCCCGTCAATCCTCCCTCTGGCCCATGACCTTCGGTCTCGCCTGCTGCGCCGTCGAGATGATGCACCTCTCCACGCCCCGCTACGATCAGGATCGCCTCGGAATCATTTTCCGTGCCTCTCCTCGCCAGTCTGACGTGATGATCGTCGCCGGCACCCTCACCAACAAGATGGCCCCCGCCCTCCGCCAGGTCTACGACCAGATGCCCGAGCCCCGCTGGGTCGTCTCCATGGGCTCCTGCGCCAACGGCGGTGGCTACTACCACTACTCGTACTCGGTCGTCCGCGGCTGCGACCGCGTCGTCCCAGTCGACGTCTACGTCCCCGGATGCCCCCCGACCTCCGAGGCCCTCATGTACGGCATCTTCCAGCTTCAGCGCAAGATGCGCAACACCAAGATCACCCGCATGTGGTACCGCAAGTAGACGCTTTCGCCCATTTTGCTCCGTCATTGGCAGGAAGGAAGGGAAAGAAAAGCAATCGGGGAGGGGGGATTCTGCAGAAAGTCTGGGGCGCAGAGGGGAGCTGCTCTGGTCGTATGTGTTTCGAGGGGGCCCTTTTGTGGCCTAGCGGGTGAACAAACCTGGCCCGCAGAAAGAGACCGAGATACACCAGGCGCATGGGAGCCGATCCAGGAGGCTTCGTTTCTTTTGTATGCGGATGTGCGTGCGCGTGTGTGTACATATGCGGAGGATCCATCGTTAGACGACCTCGGATGGATTGTAGATTACAAGTTCTGCTTCCATTTCTTTTCATCATGCCCAGCTTTCGCCATTGTGCAGTGATCTACTCCCGTGGGATCTATGTTGGTGGCTATAATCACACCACTTGTAAAGATTCACGAGTGACATCTCTAGCCCAGGATGTTAATCAATGCGTAACAATAGGGACGAATCGCAAGAACCAGAGTATCAGGCACGCAGGCAACACATCTCGCAGCGAACCCAGCGTTATCGTAGCAAACAAGACAAAACTGCTTAGCACGTCACGCAACCGGAGGCTTTCAAGTGAGGTATGTGTATATATAAAACTATATGTCTGATGCGGATTCCGCACTAGTGTTGTGATGCCCGTTGTAATCAAATACGCCCTTCAACCAATGGCTAGCTCCCTCCATTTCCTGCTCTCGAGAGTGTCAGTCGGTCAAGGTCTTCTCTCCAGGCCAGTCATTAATCCCTTCTGGCTGCGACTCACTTCGCAGACGTCTAGGTTCTCGATGCAAACTCGCCGCACCCAAGAAGCTTTTGGTACAACACGGCCTATCCTTCAATCCTCTGCTTGTACTTCACGCCGCTTTTCGGCACGAACCGCTTCGTCTCGTCATCACTTTCCACAATCCTCCACATATAGAAAAGAGAAACAGAGGTTTATTCCAAGTATCCCTACCGCACGCCAAACATCCGAATGAATTTGATGCTGCAAATTTTCACACTAACAAGCTTCGAGGTCTGCCCAATCCCCAGACGCAAAGGGGGCGCCGTGTATGACACGCAAGCCTCGAGTCAAAATAGGACCTGACCACTGTGTGATAGAGGCACAGGCCTTGGTTGTGCTTCTGCCACGCAGAAACACCAAGAGGGTTTGGCAGGAACGATGGGACATCTATTCTTGACCGAAGCCCATAGTCTCCTCAACGGCAATTGTGAGCTTCTGCTGCAACATTTCGAGACTCTTGTATGGCGGCAGGTCCAGGCGATTGAAACTAAAAAGTAAGTTAGTGCGTGGACGACTTCATCCAACAAATCTGGAGGGATAACTTACCATGTGTGAGCCTTGGGAAGGTTGTTAATCTCGCCCGCCTTCTCGATCGTGAACCTTCTCGGTCCGTCACTGCCCTGGAGATCCTTGAAACCGTTGACGGGGATACGAGAAGTACCCGTAGCAAACTGAAGTAGACGCGACTTCTGCTCTCCGTCCCACGAACGGATAGTCTGCCAGAAGAACTGAATAACCTCATCCGACTCAGTGTAACCACGGTAGTCGGTGTGCTTCTTCCAATCGTCGACATCGATCTCGGCAATACCGCCAATGAGCAGTTCAAGCTCACGCTCGTCGAAGACGTTGACCAGATCCTGAGGAATAAGCTCATGGAATCCATCCTTGAATGCCTGGAACTGCTCTGCAATACGCTTTTCAATTCTCCACTTGACCATGAGGTCGACATACTCCTTCTTGTTCTCGTTCGTCACCTCGATGTCACGACCGCCTGGAATAAGATCCTCAACGGTCATGACGCCGAAGCGTTCGTCTTCGGTGGAGAACGTCTGCTCCAGAATTCCCCCGGAAATGTCGTTGTCCAGCATCCACTGCAGAGATCGGTGGAAGTCGGCATCGACGCCCTCCATGTCAGCCAGAACGACCGACTTGCCGAGGATCATCTTGTACAAAGCACCGATGAAGAAGGCGTCGAGGAAACGACGGTGGAAAATCGCCAGACCGACAACACGACCGATGAACTTGAAGTAGTTCAGATGCTCAGGGTTGATTCCAGAGTGGGGGTTGATCTGAAGGGTGTAGTTGTCGTGGGCGGAGTATTCGAAGAGGCAGTAGAAAGGGTTGAACATTTCGTGGGAGAGCAAGAAGAAGAATTCTCTGGAAAGACCACCGTAGTCGAGACCGTCTTCACCATCGAACTTGATCATTAGTCGCTTCTTCAAGTCAGTGGCAGATTGCCGAGTGATTTCTGCAAAGGAGTCCTCGAAAATGTGGGAACGCCGGACTTTGATGTGGCATTGACCAGAGAGGATACGCATCGCGGGTTGCGAGCGGAAGTAAATGAGCTTCCTTCTGAAGTCTCGCTTGTATTGCGGCACGTTCTGGTCGAGTGAGGACGGCAGGCGAGGGTCGTCCCACGTCGTAGTCTTCGTGTTGTGGTCCACGAAGTACACTCTGGCGGTGTTTGTAAGGCGCATTTCCCAGCCACTTGGCAGTGGTCCCAGCTGCGATACAGGCTGTTGCTGAATCGTGCCGTTCTGGTTGTTCTGCCCACCGTACATACGGATGTATTGTTGACGACGAGGGTCGACCCAGGTAGTCGTTCGGGTGTTGTGGTCCACGAAATACGGGCGGCCTTCAGGAGTCCATCTCTGTTCCCATCCAGGCGGCAACTCGCCGGTGCCAGGGCTCGTCGCTCCGGTGTGCATCATTGTAGAGTTGTTCGCATTCTGAGCGGCGGCTGCTTGCTGGGCTTGCAGAGTCGGCGAGTTCGCGCCCGTTCGATCCTCGGGAAGGGTTCGGTTCTGGTGTCTTTGTCGCTCCACCTGGGTAGCTGCTTCGCGGTCATTCCTCTGTTCCACGGCTCCGGCAACAGTCGGCCTGTTCCAGCTGGTGGTTCTGGTGTTGTGATCAACGTAGTATGTACGGCCGAGGTTATCCTCTCGGCGTTCCCAGCCAGCTGGCAACCGGCCTTGCGCATCTTCAAAGGGACTGAGGGTGCTGGACTGGCGTGCAGGAGCCGCGGCGCCGTTAGCAGCCGGTGGAGGCCCGCTTGATGTCATACTAGCCGGCCTGTGCGGCAGGTTGACCTGAGAGCCGGGTGCCGGGCCGCCGTTCGGTACACCCATCGCGGAGCCCGGCCTACCGTCAGACGTCGGGGCTGAGAGTGTCGAAATACTAGATCCTTGCGCCGGTGGGACGAGTGAAGGTCGGCTAGACGAAGCCTGTCCGGCCCGAGCGGGTGTGGTGAGGTTCGTGGATAGGTTTATTATCAGCTTTCCGTGTACTACTAGGTTGTCGGTCGACTTCTTGAGGTCTCGCGTGAGCATCTGATCTGTGCGGCACAAATAGGTCAGTCCAGCTCATACCCAGGGGATGCGTAGCCAGTTGCAGCGGGATTTTGTTACCATCAGCGTCTGGTGCCAGCTCAATCACATCGCCGATTCTGACGTTGATAACACCAAGGAAACCTTGATCCTTCTTCTTGAACTTCTTCTGGTCAAACACTTGGACTGCTAGAATGGTATCCTCGTTCACGTGGCTGTAGTTTGTCAGCAACAGGGCATCGATGACGGGCACAAGAAGAACGGCTACTCACAGGTCGAAGCTTTCGTTCCAGTACGGGTTCAGTGTCCGCTTTTGAGCCGTCGTGGTCTTGGTCTGGTCTCCGTTGACAGTGATGACGGCAAAGGGATCCGGGAACCCTGGGCAATGGTTAGTCAACGGGCTGGATACGTGGGACTCTAGGGAACAACGTACGGAATACATCTCGCTTGTACAAGCCATCTGCGGCGATGACTGCGTCCAAGTTAGTTACTGTTGACGCTGCGCGAGAACGCGACGTAGGGATGACAAACTCGTTACTCGGAGGTTGGGCTTGCGGCTGAGAGACGACACAGTTAGCTTTGATTGTACTTTAGGTGTCGATGGCATCAAGACGACATCGTGAATCGAAAAGGTCAAGACCACAACTTACTTGGGCTGCCCGGCATCATTGCGGGAGGAACTCATTTCGTCGCGGGATAGCCAGCGACAACGGTGTCGACTCCCAAAATACCTGTCGTGCTCAGAACAAGGTCGTTTGTTCTTGGAACAAATGAGGGGTTGGGGAGGATGCGGCGAAAGTGTTTGAGATTGACCGGTCGCAGCGATACGGGCGAGATGGGATCGTTCGGCGACGTCGGGAAGCAGCAGCAGCAGAAAAAGATGTCTTCTGCTGGTATGAGGTCAGGTAAGTCCGGATTGGCGTTGACGACGACAAGGACGGCGGCGAAAGGCAGAGCTGAGGCTGTGCTGTGCTGTGTAGTGCAGAAAGCCCCCCGCTTCGATGAGCCAAGTGGGCTTGGGTTTTTTTTGGGGGCCCTTGGAGTTCCCTCGGGGGGTGTGCGACGGTGGGTGATAAGGTGACGCGGCGGGCGGGAAGGCCGAGCGAGGCTAAAGAAGCACGGAAGGACGGGCGGTAAGGATACTACTGGCCGGATCGAATCGAGCCAGCGATGGAGGAGAGAGAGGTTGTTGGGTTCTCGACGAACGGCGAGAGGGGAGGGAGAGGGAGAGAGGGTCGGCTGGTGGATTCGACGGGGCCTGGAGGTTGGTTGTTGATGGAAGGAAGACAGGATGGAGCGAGTTTGGTGTTTTGGTAAGGTAGTCGCCCCCCGTCTGAGCGCTTGTCAAACGGTACGTGTGTGCGAGTGGGTTTGTCTCCGGTCGGAAGTACACAGCAGCGTAAAGAAGGTTGTTAGGCGTGATGCGGGAGGTGAAGTAGGTGGTGGGTAGGTAGGTGTAGGTCGCAGGCAGCCGGAACAAGGTCTAGTCCTGCTCTGCGGGTGTTGCTACCACAGCGGGCAAAGGCAACTGGACGGCACTGGATACGGCGGCTGCAGCAATGGTGACAACGGGCAATCGTCAGTCACTTAGCTCCTGCGCCGGCGGTGGATCGCTAAATGCAGACCAAGGCAGGGTATCCTGAGGTAGGTAGATGCTGACGGTGAGGCAGATGTCCCAGACCTCGTCCGGCTCGGTTCGACCCAAGCAGAGAGAAGCAAAGGAACCTGGGAAGTGCGGATGGCGAATCTGCGCCTGTTAGCACCTGGCGGGGCCAGAAGGTCACTGTGGGGTACCGTCCGGAAAGCGGGCAAACGTGCTGACTGTTATCGTCGGCGGTCCGCGACAGTTGCAGTGGTCTACCTACCTAGTACATTGGACTTACCTCGCTCACATCAAACTCTTCGACTCTTAATACTAAACCTTGGCCAGCTGTATCATGGCAGATACCAGAACTAAACATGGATGGAGCGTTCTACGGAGGAGTGGCCGACCAGAGACGGGGGCAGAGGCTGGTGAGAGATGCAGATGGCACTATGCCACCTCTGTGTTGCTTGGTTAGATATGAACACCATCAAGCGCTCATGATACCCACCAAGTCCGCTTCCAACTGCGACTCTGGAGTGTTTACCACGGCTGATGATGCTGGGCTCTCAGGTTTCGACTCTCTGTGCCCTTGTTGGAGATGCTACCGAGGTATATGGTCCCGTCTCCATGCATCTATGCGGCATTCGCATAGCAAGATACAACGCAGTTGAAGCACGGAACCAGCAAGTACCCCCCTTTGACTTGTCTCCGCGTCTAAACGTACCTCGCCAAGCAGCCAAAAGACAGCAGCGGTACGGAGTGAGAGTAGGAGGAAAACCAAAGCACCCCGAGGACACGCCATAGGAAGAACGTGACAGGCCGCCAGTTTCCAAACACTGTTCCCAATGGCGTTTCGGATGCCTATGACCGTCAGAAATGTGCCAATCCAACGTGCCCCTGCCTACTGCACTGCACCACACCTGTCCACATCCTTTCCGAGTCGAGTTGACCTGGGTCGAGGTGCTTCAACAATGGTACCTGTCTCCCGGTACGGACTCTACCGACATGGCCTGTACCCTGGCGGTGCCCGCCATGCTAACAACTGGAGCCCATATAATGAATGAACGCTTGGGAGGCCCCTCAGTCCGGGCCGTCAGGAGGGATCTAGAACCTGACCAAGCGATTGCATGAGCAGATGCCACCCGTTACATAATCCCTCTGTGGCGATTTGGTTACCATCATTCGCCTTCTGTCGAAATTTCTACACAATACACAACCCCCCCTTCCATTCACCGCGCGGAACAAGGAAAGATTTCGTAATGATGTATTTCTCATGTTTGGTCAGAATTAGAAACCAAAAAGTCATCCGAAGGGCCAGGGAGGAAAAGAGAACACGAGCAACCAGAAACAGCGCATTGTTCCTCGTCCCATCCCACCCTCCCGTTCCCCGAACCTCATGCGCCACAGCCACCCTTTCCCTCCTTCTGTCCCTGGTGTCTATCTCGCTCCCCAGCAAGTAGACCCCCAACTGCTCCCCCGGCCAGCGTTCCAGCATGACGGCAGAGCCACCAAAACACTCAACTCACATACTCGGTACATCATGTCAATATGGCCTGAGGCCCGAGGTGTTGAATGGTGCCCGGCACGTCCAGTCCGTTCCCTTCCCTCACCCTCCCTGACGCTCCAACCAACCAGCTATCCCTCCATCCATCCTCCCACATCCCCCCTCGGCGCACGACAGCAAACGAACAAGAACCGCCAGAGGATATGGTATGCCATAAATAACCAAAGGGTCCAACCCAATGAACGCTTGTCTGCCCGAGAGTGTCCTCCAATGAATCATCGTCCTCCTTGGTTCCCTCTACCTACCTACACCAATCGCAGCCGCGGTCTTGTGGACTGGCGGACAGCGACATCCAACAGGATGCACGTGCCGCAGACACACTTTTGCTCTTCTCGAGCCGAGCTATCCCATCCCGTCCAATCCTCGGTGTGAAAAGGGCACCACCATCTCCATGTTTTTGCTATACTGGGAGATTGTTGCGTGGGATTTACGCTTTACTTGTGGTCAGGGCGACCTGAATCCGGAGGCGAGTGAGGCCCTCCCTGGGTGACCCTCCCCCCTTAGCAGAGGAAAAGGCACTTCCGTGTGTCAGCTGGCGGATGGGGACTTTAGAAATGTCAGCGTCCAGGGGCGGCACCTCTGCGCCCGGATCGGGCGACGTCGTGGGTCGCCTGCGGAAGGGCGGCACCGCTAGGCTTGTCCGTCCGTCTTGTCTCGCTGCGTCCCGACCCTGTGGATTTACATGATTGATCACTTGATGTGCCCATGACGTGGTTTATGCCATCTTTTCACAAAGTCTACTCGGTGATGCTGTGTCCTAGTGTCGGAAAAGAAAGATTTTCGGTGTTTAGACTTCCTGGAACGATGGATTGAACGAGTAGGCGCAGGACAATGATTTACCCAAGGCTTGTTCTCGACCAAAAGTGTCGCCTATGGACTAGTACTATGTCTCGGACGTTGTTCACCATCCGATATTCGACGTCGAAAAACGGGAGCACTCTGTCACCCCTCGCAACGTGAGAGTTTCCATCTCATCGACCTTGTGTGTTGGGCCTGACCTATTCCTGAACGCCATATCGAAGCTTTCCCCTTCCCTACCGGTCCTGTATGTTACAATCGAAGTGATAAACCGTCTCGCATCCACCATTCCTACTTTGACACCCGGCAAGCCCACGAGGGACGTAACTGCGCCTATGCCTAATAAGGAGTGTACCCTCCTCTTCCTCGGCCACGGTAGCCTCCACGGTAGCCGCCTCGAGGCGGGAAACCGCCGCGGCCGAAGCCGCCACGACCGCCGCGGATGCCGCCACGGCCGCGACCGCGGGACATGCCGGGAATGTTGGTACGCTTGGGGACCACTTTGATGTTGCGACCCTTGAAGACACTCTCGTTGAGTACGAGAGCCTGGGCCACGAGACTCGGCTCGGTAAACTCGACGTAAGCGTATCTAAAGCGCAAAAACACGTTAGCCTCCTTGACAGTCGGTAGGTCGCTTCGCGCGTGGGGGGGACATGTCATACCCCTTCGGCTGTCCAGTAAACTTGTCCAACAAGATGGTGACGCGGTTGATTGAGCCGCAGCTCTGGAAGTGAGCCTGAATCTCTTCAGGCGAGGCAGAGTAATCGACGTTTCCGACAAAGATACTACGGCTGTCGATGTCTTCCTTGTTCTCTGACAGCTCCCGACTTTGCTGGTCAAGGCTGGCCTGCATCTCGCGCAGTTTAGCTGCCTCCTCTTCCATCTCGGCCACCCGTCTCTTCATCGCAGAGATCTCCTCCTACGGTGTGCTGTCAGTTACCTCCTCTTATCTGCGAAGCCAATGGCGGAGAAAGCCTCTTGAGCGCACCTCATCGTGGCCGTCTTCCTCGCCGACGCTGTTGTTCTCATTGTTCTCGTTGTTCTCAACGTTGTGGTCCTCCACAGGGGTGTCCTCGGGTTTGACGTCCGCCATGGTTATGGATTGAGCAATCGTAGATTGATGCGCTTGTCTGTAGCAAGGAGGGTAGTTAGCTGTCGATGCTCAGAGCTGGCAGAATGGATGGTGCGACAAGGCAGACGCGCCCTTTTTAAGGCGACCACAGCCTTGGGAGGGGCTCCCTGGATGGAAGCTGTCTACACCACCAAAGAACACCTTGATTTGAGATGGAAGATACTCACAAATTGAACGTTTACGTGACAAGCTCTAGCTCTACGCTGGATTGATGCAGCAGCGTGTACAGAGGCTGAGACCGGACGAAGCTGATGGTGAGGCGGACGTGTTGATGGTATCAGCAGTTCCAATGCCAAAAATGGGCAGGGAGAAGATCCACGGTTTAGCCGGAGAACCCCGATAAGAGATAAGAGCTCCGACCTCGAGCTTTCGCAACAACTGAGGGGCCTGGAATAGGTAGCTGCCCTGATTAATGCGGGAAACAAGAAGCGTGGTTGAGCCAGGAAAGAAATGTGCTTGGTACGGAGAGGATACGTTGCCCACTCACGATGCTCAAGGTGATGTTGGGGAAATCTTGGACAGAGGAGGAAGTCCCGTGGGCCGTCAATAAAGTAGGTGTGAAGCTTAGTTCAGACTGGCAAGTCCCTAGAGCAGTGCACCTTGTCTGGCGGGGTCGTATAGCTGCTGTTGCACCTGCCGCTCACCGTGCATGCTTCAGAGATCTGGCGGGCAAAACAACCGAACGAGTATCACAACTAAGAACACGACCAGGGTCCCTTCTAGGTAGGAGTTTGGATGTGTTTGAATTCGATGCTTCAAGAGTTCCAGTCCCCAACTATGAAATCAGGTAGGTCAGGCTGATAGCTTCAATCTTGATCTTTCATCTTTCGAGGCATACGGCATGCGTGTCTAGTCATGCTCAAGGTTTCAAGTCTCACAGGAGACGAGATTTCAGTATACTTTACTGGACAAAGTAAAGACCCAACTACTTTGGTGAGAAGAGGTTTATCAGTTTTAGAATGTACATGGGAGGTTCAGTAGCCGCTTAATGTTTTTCGAAATCGCCAGAGTCAGGTTGATTAGAATGTGGTCTTCTCGACTGCCCCTTTACATGTCTGCTTAGATCACTTGGCTTCACAGAAGGTTCCTGCTAAATCTTTGTACTCGGTTTTTTTTTTCCAAGGGTGCTATTTGAGGGCTGAGATATTCCCCATCTTGAATGGGTCTGCACGGATATCGTATCTCGATCTGCTTTCAAACGTCAGCCTCAATATTCATCCCTTGGGTTCAATATTCGAAAACTACGTCATACGCCAACCCTGCCCACGTTGCATTGCAAATTTCCACTTGTGCTGTCATAGCGGGGGAGCGTGTGTTTATTGAACATCGAGCATCGGACCACCGTAAGCCCCTGCTCCAATTTACCAAGTCGATCGCGACCGTGGAAATGGAGACCAAATCTCCCTCCCAGCCTCCGCGCTGCTCAGACATTCCGATAGTCTCCGTGATCCACCCGGGGCCGGAGTCCGATATTGAGAGACTAAAATCACCGGCCGGGCATCCGGCCGGCTAGACAATAGCGGGCCTCCAACCTTTGGTCTTGACTTTATCTAAGTACGGCTGCTGGATTGGAATGTTCGTCGAAAGCGCCTGCCGAGAAGGTGGTGTTGAGACTTAGTCAGCAGTTCTGCAGGATTTCGGAACCTGAGCCGCCTTGTGCGCCCCGTCGTCCAAGTCCACGTGTGACGTTACTGAAGGTGCACTGCGTCAGCACCGCATCGTCGGGTTGCCGGCTACCCCCTTCACCTCAAATTCTGTTCTCTTTTCCCATCCCGCGTCCGCTCATTTGCGCGCGCGAGGCTTTCGCCCGGATAGGCTGCGACTGCCCGTTCAACGCCCGAGAACGCTACGTTTGGTGTACCACGTATCCCGAACCACTACACTTGGTGTTTCGCATCTCTACTTATGATCGACACCCTACACAGCCATGGCATCCGACGATGAATCGATTAGGCCTCTACTTTGGTCGTTCTCCGGGTTCCGTGAGAACAGACGGCCAACGCCCATCAGGCGACAACTTAGCCAGTCGCGGACCAGCCTCAAGGACATCCTTGCGTCTCGGAGGAAGCACTATGCTGTCTTAGCCCTAGTATCCTTAGACGTTGCGACACTCATGGCCAACATCTTCGTGGAGCTCGTCGCCTGCGATATGAAGCGGGATGATGAACCATGGGTCAAGAACACGCGCCAGGGCCTTACCCTCGCCGGTCTTGTGTTCAGCTGTGTGTTCCTAGTGGAGCTGGTTCTCTGCGTAATGGCGTTTGGGTGGAGGTGAGATGGACATCAAAAGCTCTCGCACAACATACCTGACTGCTCCATTCTAGGTACTTCACCGATTGGTTTCACGTACTCGACGGCACAGTCATTGTGGCGAGCTTCGTCGTTGATGTGCTCTCGCATGGCATCGTGGAGGAGATTGCGTCCCTCGTCATTGTCTTTCGTCTATTTAGGTTCGTCAAACTGGTTGAGGAAGTGAGCATGGGCGCAGTGGAGAGGATGGAAGGTCTCGAGGAGCAGCTGGTGGCCCTCAAGCGAGAGAATGGGGAGATGAAGAGGCAGCTGGCGAGGCGGTGATTCCGAAATGTCTCTAGCACTAATAACGGCGCGCTTCTTGTGCTGATCGATACCCGTCGAACATTGTACTAATGATAGAGAGAGGTTCTGGCACAAAGAGGGGCTTACGCGTGGTTTAGGCGTTGTGGTTTTTTGTTCAATGATCGGCAGAGTTGTCCGAACGAATGAGACATACCTTTATCGAGATGCAGCTACTGCGATGCAACGAACCGTAAGAAACATGCTGCAAGCACCAACGTAAGACGCGGCTCATCTATATCAAGCGTCTTTGATGCGAAGGAGATGCAGACACCATTGTGGGAGAGCTACGGTGTTTCTTGATCCGTGATGACAGCGAGCACACCAAACAGGCCAGCGGAGTTGTCGTCAACTTCTTGACCAGCTGCGAGCCAACAGACATGACTGGCCGACTCATGTGTTCGAAAAGGTTCGATATTGGATCCCAAAATTGAGGGTCTCGGCCGGACTCGGTAGCAGATGCGGTGGGGGATGGTACGTCGCCGGTAAAACATTCGCGATGCAACACCAGCCGCCTGGACTGCTACTGCACCTCGTATTACTGCTCTTACTGCAGATGCTATGCAGAGAGACGTGATTGGGTCGTAAGACAGTTTTTTCGGCGGCGCCCTCTTTTCTCAACCCCGCCATCTCTTCTTCCAGGCTAGACAATGGAGGTGCGAGAACGGATACCCCGTACAAACGACGAGAATAGCATCAGGCAAACACGCCAGTATTATAGGTACCAACGGACGACAGTGCTGGATACGAAGAGGGTGCGAACGTTTAGACACACTTATCCCCAGCCTCGATAGATGCATGGTATGAGAACATGGTGGAGCGATCTGAAGAATTATGCTTAGACTCATAAGCTACAGCCAATGATCATGAGTTAAATAGCGGGTCCCGAGAAGTTCGGACCAGCACCTACGGACGGAGCAACACACAACACAGACACGGGCGCGGACAGACCCATGGACATTCAAGGCAAAAACAAAGAAGGCAGCCAGTCAAAGGCTCGCGCTTATCGGCTCCAAAACACGAAATAAACAAGTCCTTCATCCTGGCCACTCCCATCCGTCTCACTGTCTGCCTTATGCAAGAAAAGGAGGTCAGGCCTTCCGCAATCAACGGACGACAGCTGCGCCGTTTGTGCTTAGATCAGATGCCACCCTCGTCCGCATGTCTGCCTGGCAGGAAGCTCGCTCGACGAACGTCTGTTGGCCATCGATCACGGATCTGCGGGATCGTGACTCTCAACAGGCAGGCGAACTTGCCAGAACCACAGAGAGCCGCCACAAACGGTACTTGCATATCCGGTGCGACCCGTCTGTCGAGGTTCCGACGCCTCCTCCTTTACCCCCCTTGCTCCTTGCGGCAGTCAGGGGTAAGGGAGGAGTCAAAGAAGAAGAGCCAGAAGAATTGTCCAATCAATGGGCCGCTGAGTCGAGCCCACACCCCTCGTCCACCCCCGAACGAGATTAGACTTCATCTCGACGACCGGGCCCCATGTTGGCGCGGCCGGTCGTTCGAACCTCGTTTCCATTGTTGTCCTCTGCCATACCAAGTCGTATCGTTGCAACTGCATAATATATTGGCAGAACCGGCCGGCGAGGGACACCTCAACGGAAACCATCCTGGACAATATCGAGGGAGCACGGCAGGCAGGGACGTCCACCAGCCAAGGAAATGGTCTGGGCTCGAGTGAGTGCCATGTCGAAGACCTGACAAGTACAGTCTCAGCCCTGGGTCGTTCGGTCCTCTGCCAACAATTTCGAGGCATTCCCAACCGCCAAAGAATCCCCCGTTTTCCAGAAACACCCGCGCGGCCTGTGGCTAGAGGCTGAAAGGCTAGAGAAACACACGCCCGACGCGCACAAACCGTGGTCCGTCCGTCCCTGCTCAGGAAAGCAAAAGACGGGGATGGAGCCGGGGACTGTATCTTTTCAAAGCCAAAGTGGGAAGATTCAGGCGGGGATTGGCAGGGACAACGGGGTCACGGGGACTTTACTCCTTCTCTCGCTTCTAGTTGAACAGGGGCTTGACGCCATCACCATGTCCCAATGGCTGTTCCCGATAATCCACTCTCCATTGTTGCTGCTGCTGCGGAAGAAGAGGGCGCGGGTAATGCTCCTCTTTCTTCTCTCTATCTCATCCGACGCACCACCATACAACAACACGGCCAAGAACTCAAGTAGCCTCATCAATCTCCATCAAAGTCAAGCATCCGGCCCCAAAACAAGCACCCCTGGCGACCACCTCCTTCCTCCTCCACTTTGTTAGCTCCTTGACCCGGAGAGAAAGCCAGAAGGGACGAGAGCCTGGCCTATCACATATCCAATTCACTAGTGGCGGCGCGCCACTGTTTTCTGGCCCGCCTCGGCCTAGTCCGGGGGGGAGGCGTCCTCTTTCTGCTCGATTCCCTCCTCGTCCTAGTCTTCCCACCCCCAGCAGCCTGCAGATGGGCGTGCCCAAGAATCGTACGGATACAACGTTTGTGACAAAATTGGTCCGTCCCTAATAATGTTATGTTCCTTATTTAATATTCCCACCCTGTCCACTTTGCCTCGTCTCTGGTCTTCCTCTCCTTCCCTCGCCCTCCCATTCCGTTAATAAGCCTCCGCCAATCCACTGTTGATCAACAGCTTATTCCGTTCGCGACAAACCTATCCACCTCCGGTTCGTCAAGTCATTCGCTACAAGTCCCAGGACTAGTTCACTCGTTGGATCGTTGCATATCCATACCGTCGCTCCCGACAAAAAAAAGAACACTTCGTAATAATCGACTTACCCGGTCAACACAAACCACACTCACAATGAAGTTCTTCTACCCTCTCGCTCTGGCTCTCGCCGCCGTTGTCGCCGCCCAGGATGACGACTGTGACGCCGCTCCCATCGTCGAGGCCTGCTTGACCAGTGAAAACGCCAAGGTAAGCTCCATCTGTGCCCCAGCGCAGCTGTCTTGACATCTTCATGAATGGATGGCTTTACTTCACAATGACCGCGTTACTTACATGACATCCACTCCAGGTCAAGGACTGCGACCCCGTCGACTACGACTGCCTGTGTGCCGCCTACCAGGCCGTGGCCACCTGCTACAACAACTGCCCCAAGGACACCCGCGCCGCGCCCGCCCAGCAACAGGTCACCGTCTTCTGCCAGCAGGCCTCGCTCTACGGCTCCGCCGCCCAGGCCAGCAAGACCCAGACCGTCGCCTCTGCCAGCGGCTCCGCCACCAACGGCGTCGCCTCCGCCTCGGCCACGGCGACCGCGACGTCCACCGCCGCCGACGACTCCGCCTCGACCTCGTCCTCCGCAACCGCCACCAGCACCCCCAACATGGGCGTCGGCCAGCTCGCCCGCAACACCGGCGGCGTCCTCCTCGCCGTTGCCGGTGTCGTTGCTGCCGTCCTGTAAAAGAAGCCTCCCAAGTAACGAAGGACAGGAAAAACGAGACCAAGCGGGTTTCTGGGAACAAGGATACCAAAACATTCATGTCATTTCAGCGGTAATGTTACGGTGCTAAAGAGATTTGGGATTTCATAACGGGAACATTATTCAAAGCATATTCGAGGCGGGCACAGCGAATTATCGGGCCAGACCAGGGAAGAGAGAAAACCTAACTGTACAATGGTTTTAATCTTTGTAATTACCTAATTCCAGCACTTCATGACTTCCATGAAACTCATGAAATGAAGAGAACACAGGTCGACGAATCAACCCAGATGCGCACCCGGTGATTTAGCCCAGACCCAGATTTGCAGTCCAGAGAGCCAGGGGGGCTTACCCGTCCTATGCCGTCCACCAATCGAGGCTCACCTAGCGAGTCTGGCCGGTGGCTGTTTGGCTGTTGGCGAGACAATTGAAACCTGCATCGCTGCGCGTCCATCTCAAGCTACGCTCGCTCACGTCAAAAGTAAAGGGCAAGGGGGGGGAAAAACCGAAACAAATATTGGAGAAGGCGAGTGAGTTGACTCAGCAACATCATCCCAGTCGCTCTTTTCCCTCCCTCCCCCAATTCTGCGTGAAACATGAGCAGTCGATATGCAGAAGCAGCCGTAGCTCATGCACCCTCCCAGCAACACATGTGCACCAGACACTGCAACCACAACTCCGGTTACATCAGCAGTAGCGCGGCAGGGGGAACGTCCTGCATGCGCTCTTTGTCTCGAAAAGTAAAGAAGAAGGAAAACCCCCGTAGGCGTTTATCCGATCATGGATTGTCAGAGACAGATTGGCCCGAGGTCGCCCAAGGCTCTCTCGGGTAGGGCAGAACAGCAAAACTTTGCTCGGTGCGCCCATCAACTCTAAACTTGCGGGAAATGTCCGGACCAGAAACTGACTTTCGGCGCAATGTGCGGGAGTATTGTCGGTTTGAAGTCGGTGGAGAGTGCCCCATCCTCTTGGTGATCTTCATCAAGCCGCTGGGGCGCGCGCGCGCACCTCAGGGATGTCAGCCAAGGCCGCCCAAAGCCAGCACCAAGGAACGGGCGCGCTCTTCCAAGATGAAATCAGATCATCACACAGCCGAGTCACGTGCATTTAATGAGGAAGGGACTGTAGGCAGTGGTCGCTCAATGTGAGCTCGTTCGTATCATGTTTTTTTCGTCATCAAGCCTTCGTCTCCAATCGCTATGATACAACACGGATGTCCTTGAATCCTACAGCCGGCTCGTAAGCGTTGTATCCCTCCCCGGGAGACCATCTCCCTCGTTTCGAGTTCCTCCCGAACCTGTCTCCCGCCTCCAGGAGGGCATTGGGTTAAGGCAGTGAAGTTGTAACAGTATAAAGTCTACAGGCAAAAAAAGACAGAAAACAAGTTGTACGCAAAAAGGCAGACGCTTCCCAACAACCGTGACGCCCGGTTCATATCTCTAACAAGTGACGTTATCATCTCCGGCCACAAACGTCACCGCAGCCTGCTTTTTGCCTGTCCCAAATGACCCCTGGTTGCGCAGAGTCGGATGAATAAAGATAATAGGAGAGAGAAGAGAAACTTCGTCGACTAAAGGGAGTATGTATGCGCAAAAAAAGGTCTTGCTCGCCAGGGAAAGCAGTGAATTCAAAGGGGGGTTTGGCGGCAAGTTGAGGGTTTTGCCTCAGAAGAAGTCTTCATGCAGAAACAGAGCATCATCGGACTTGGAAAGAACCGAAAACGCCCTAAACTTTTCGGGCTCGCTTCGCGCTGTCGTGGACAGGGCTAACGAAGGTGACGTGCTTGTTCTCGTCCTTCTTGAGGCGCATGGCGGCGCCGGAGCCGACGCTGCTGGGCTCCCGGTGATGGGCGAGAGGTCGACCATCATGGTCCTCGTCGATGGTAATCTCAGCAACATCAGACACCGACTCAGCATCCATGCGATCGCTGACGCCAGACTCGGACGACCCGTCGTCTGAATCATCGTACTCGCCATCATCGCTCACTAGCGAAGGCGCGTTGTTGCTAACCATGGTATTCGGGCTGAGGTCAACGTCCATCTCGACGTCCTCGTCACGAAGCATCATCATACCGGGACCATCGTCCTTGTCAGGACTGCTCATGGGCGGCGAGGCGAAGCCCGTATGAGGCGACCTGCCCTTGCTACTCGCCGGTCTCGTCGAAGATGCCAGAGCAACAGGAGACATCGGAGCTCTCGCTGGCATGCGCATGGCAGTGGTGGGAACACGGGCAGCAGGCGCAGCAGTGCTCTGCGGACTGCCAGGACCGGTCTCGGTCTCTTCCGAATCCTCTCCTGGCGAAGCGAGGTCCTCCGTTGACATCTTCTCCTTGGCATCGCTGACAATGTCATTGAGGTTGCCGTTGAAGTTTCTGCTCTGCATGAGTCGCGAAAGGAACGGGGTGTCGGCTGACGGAACAAAGGTATCGGCCTTCTGCGCGGTGGGTTTCGCAGGCTCAACCTTCGAGGATCCGCTGGGAATGCCAGTAACGCCAGGCAGCTTGCCTTCACGGTACATCTTGAGGGAGTCTGCGATCCTAGAACGCAAAGCAACATAGGCCTGTTGAGTAGACATATCGGACTGAGCGAGCGGGTGGACCAGACCAGAAGCGATAGCGGTCGGCGGGGCAGGTGCCTTTTCCTCCCCAACAACGCCGCCGCCTTCATTCACCTCGAAGGGATGGCCGCAGTGAACAGCCGCCTCTTCGTGGCTCTTAAAGTCTCGCCTGTGAGCGATTCGGCAGTGATTGATGAAGCCCTGGGTGCTACTAAAGTTCTCTCGGTTGCAGTCCAAGCAAACAAGCTTGACAGTCTGGCCGTCGGAGCGCTTCAGAACACAAGGCCCAGCCTTTTCCTTGGGTTGAGGGTAGCCACTGGACAGAGACTGCAGCTTTTGGCCACCAAGACCCCGGGCCGGGCGGTTCTTGTTTGTGCTGGCGAGGTCAGACATGCTGTTTCTCGTCGTTCGTCCCTCCGCTGAGCCTCTGCTACGGGCAGTCTCATGTACGGGGTACCACTCAGGCTGCATGCCATCAAACTTGGGATCGGGAATGAGCCACTTGGCATAGTGTCGAGCGTAAGGACCATCGACAACTCCAAAAGGCGGAGCCCATTGGGGGGCAGGCTCTCCCGGACGGGTCTGCAGAGCAGGACCTTTTCCGTTGGTGATATCCAGCATCTGCGCCGGGGTGGGGCAAGCGGTAGGATAAGGAATCAGATGGCAGCGGCGCAGCTGCTCAAGAGCGACCTGGCATTTCGCCAGCTCTTGGTTGATTAGCCTCAGCTCATTATGCTTGAGCAAGATCTCCAGACCAAACTGGTACTGGATCGCGTCGCGCGCGTCTTCAATGTCGTTAGTGACTGCGGGGGAAGCAGCAGGCGCAGTTGCGGGTGCTTGTGCTTGTGCAGCGGCATCGCAGGAAGGCATGTCAGCGACGGAGGGGCTGCTGCTCTCCAGCTTGGCCCGCTTCAAGGGCTGCTCACTGCTGGTGAGTGCAACATCTTGCGAGGGTGAGTCGTCGATGCTGGACAGACGCCTTTTTTGGGGCTAGCCTGAAGTGACAGCGATGTCGTTGGTGCAGGTGGATGCGGCAGAATGAACTGGTGCTTTTGCGCGAATGACGGCATTGGTTGGCTGAGACTGACAGTCGTTTCGCTTCCCCGCTCTGAGCCCCAGAATCGGAACATGAGCGCGATCTGAAGGAAGGCTATGAGATGAGAGGTCGCAAGACGGGCGGCCTGGGGATTTTATGCAAGGTGAGGCGAGGTGCAAGGCAACGACAGCCTGACGAGGATGCAATGTGGCCAGTGGCGGACAGGCCAGGCAACTGCTGCGACGTGATACGCGGGAGCCGGGAGGAAGCGGAAATGCTGAGGTGCAATGGCAATGCGCCGAGGCGAGGTGCTACGGGGGCTGACGTAAACAGTGGATTCCCCAGACAGGTCAGGTCGGGTGTAAGCGTGTGGCTGCCGTGGGCGTGGGCGAGTACGAGGCGGCGGGTGTGTGCGGTGTGCGGTGCGTTGGTTGGTCTTGGGCTGATGGGGCCCGAAAAGGGGTGGCAGGGGGCAAGTGCGCGCGATGATGTGGTCGGGCGTCCACCTCAGAAAAGGCCAAAGCCAGGAGGGAGAGAGAGAGAGTGTGTGTGAGTGAGATGAGGGAGCCGGAGGCCGAAGGAGGCGAGTCGGCGACAAAGAGATGGGATTGCGACGGGTCGCGCAGCGAAGACGGCGACGCAGAAGAACCGAGAACTAATGAAAGCCTCGATTTGGCGCAAGAAAACGGAGCGAAAATGAATGCGCGAAGAGAGTTGGGCGAGCAAAGTGGAATGGAGCGACGCCGTGGATTGCTCTCTAAGTCGGGTGGACGAGTGGTTTTGGTGCTGTTTTGGGGGAGGAGGAGGTTGTTTGTGAGGAGTATGAATTGTTGGAGATGGGAATGACAGCGGAAGAGTGAGAATAAACCGTCGAGCTGTCGGGAAGCTTCCTCCTGGCGGGCGACGTGCGCGAGTTTGGTGGGAAATTGGGCTCTGGGGTGGTGATTGCGAGTGCGGGTGGGCCTGAGATCCTAGGGGGCCCAGAGTCGATGAAAGGTAGCAAAAGCAGCCAGCCAGACAGAGAGCAACGGGGGGGAGACGGCGACAGAGACAGGCAGGAGAGGACCAAGACCGGGAGGTGGACTGGGACGCTGGGCGATGTAGCACACTGTGTGCCAGGTTTTGGTTCTTGCGAGTGGTTCTGTTTCTTGTTGCTGATTGTTGTTGGTGCAGCAGATGCGGTACACGCGTTGACGGGCGGCGCAGGCCAGGCTAGAGAGCAGAGCGGAGGCCAGAGGCAGAGCAATAGGAGAGCGAGCTGCTGGATGGATGGATGGATGGATTGTGGATGCAACGGAAGCTGATGTGGATGCCTCTGGTGCGACTGCGACTGTGCTTGTGCTTGTGCTTTGGTTGCTGGCGATGATGTGAGGGACTGACTGACTAGGAAAAGGCAATTTTGTGTATTGAATGCAAGGGGGGCATAAAATGGTGGGGGGGGAGGGCGTGAGATGTGGGTGGTGTGGATAAGGATTGTGCCCCGAAACACGACGCTGATTGGCCGTGGCGGTGGAAGAAGGAGGGAACGGGGGAATGCGCTTGTTTGGTCTGACCCAGACGACAGACACCGGCTGCCAGGGAAGAAAGAAGGCGAGGGAACCCAAGGAAGGAGGCGTGTGCAGGGGTGGCGGGCGATACGACGGATAGGACAGGAGCGACACGGCCAACCCTAAATGACACCCGGACGGTTCGGTCGCCAGCAAAGGGACGCTGCGAGAGTCAGGACTGATGACTGAGAGGGCCGGGGACAGCGAATGGCTCAGGACGCGAGACTTTTTTGGTTTTTTTGCTCTCTCTGTCTCCCTCTTTCTCTCTCGTTCTCTCTCTGCCTTTCTCTCGGCTTGGCAAGAAATATGCCACCCGAGGGCCGGCACACTGACGGGTTTGCGAGTCTGTGGTGAAGTGCCGGCGGTGGTCGTGGAGTGCCAGATGGCGGGGACAGACAGTGGCAGCGCACTGAACTTGGGGGTCCTGCGTGAGACGGGAGACGAAGGTCTGCTGCTGGTCGACGACTGGTGCGGTGCGGCGCGCTGTCCAGTGTGTGTAAGAGATCCTCTTGAGATGGGACGCCTGTTCCTTCCAACTCTCCCTTGTCTGTTTGTGTCCGTGTCTGGCGCTGGCTTCCAGAACCCAGAATCTTGTGTGTGTATCCGTATCTGATGGGACGATGAGACTGACCGGGGCCCTCCTATCTGTCGCAGCCTGCAGCCGCTTCTCTAGCGACGCTGCACTGTGTGTTTTATCGCCGGCCCGAAAATAGAACGGGACTGATATATGTAGAGCGCTCTCAGTGGATGCGCCCGAGGGCCAAGGAACGGGCACAGCTGTTATTGTGGATGCTTATTAAAAGGGATCCCCTATTTCGCGATGATCGAGGAGGACGGGATGAGAGAGGATGAAGAACGAGAAGGACAGGAAACGGGGAGGGGAAACAGGACACTTCGTAGGAGACGATCGTCTGTCCTGCAATGAACGGCACCTCTACGCCGATCTAGCTTGACTTGCTGTTGTGTTTTGTTTGTAAGGGTTTCAACATGTGTCTTATTCAAACCCGCCTCCCAAGCGCGCCCACGCTGCCCATGCTAAGGTTTCGGTAGGTAATTAATGAGGAGCAGAAGACGGGGAAAGCTCGTGGTGTGTGAGAAGCTTGACTCCGGGCGTGCTCTCTGCCTTACTGTCTCTACCGGATACCTTGGGGCGTATGCTGCACGAGCTTAAAAAGTACCTAGAGGCGTGGGAATGTTCCTAGTTCCTAGTTCCACCGAGTCGGGGCCCTGCTGCCTCTCCCATTGGAATACTCACACACACATCGCCAACGCGCCCGCCCTGTCGCTGTCTGTCTGTCGCATCATGTCCGTACCTCTCTGGTTGGCCTTCGTGTGCCTCCCATCGCCGTCTGGGGCAGGCAGCACATACATGCTTTCTGAAGATGGTCGAGTGCTCCAGCCGACCTGCAGTTCCCCTCAAGTATATTGACCAACACCGGAAGGGTACTTGAGGCATGGTCCCGGCTGGCGCATATCGTGCCAATAGCGACGAGGCCATCAACACGTCCGACGACGAATGCAAACATTCAACAAACAAACCTCATTTGTCCATGGCTGCTGTTGTTGCGTACGCCGGCCGCGCCCTCTTTTCCACGTACCTGATGGCAGCCTCTCATCTCATTCGTCTGAGTCGATGACTCGTCATTCCGGCCGAGCTAGCATTTCGCGCCTAGTATCAACGATGGCCTGACTACGCCGACTTCCAAATGCCAACTATGAAGCACTAAAGTTTCCCATACAGCCCCCGGGCTGACGCCGGCGCCGGAACAAGAGGACGTGGGATGACATGAGAGCTGGACCCTGAGAAGCCAGGGAAAGCCATGTGCCCGTGTGTTTCTTTTGCTTCCATGCTCTTTCCTTCTCGGGCTTCAGTTTCGCCTCACTCTCGAACCCTTCGTGCACCACCACTCGCATCTACTATTCGCTCTTCTAAGAAATGAACTGAGGCCTCACAAGCTTGAGCGCCTTCTAGAGCTCTGCGACCTTGACGGCAGCCCCGGCTCGCACGAGGATGGGTGGGTGCGACATGCAGAAGGGCATGGATGGACCGCTTGAAATGCGCCACGCCACCCGACGTGCCCAGCACGCCTTTAGCCCTTTCTGGTTTCAGACCTGTGCACTGCTAGCAAGGTACTAGGCATCTCGAATTCCCATCCGCACTTTTGCGCCCGAGTCTGCGATATAAACCAATCCCCCTCTCGCTGTCGTGCTGCGACGCTCAGCGGGAACGATGCCGAATTGCCCCGACTCAGCACCCAAGAGCACTGCGACACAAGTACCTAGCTAAGTTGCAAATCCCTGCCCTGAACGGCCCTTTGGACGTTCCTCCAGGCCCCATCCCAGCAGCCGAATGGCGCTTTCTGGGCGAAACGGATTGATGCGACTATGGGTCGTGCAGCTCGACCAGCATGCCGCATCTCGGAAGCTTGGAAATCTTGGGGAGAGCCACTGCAGGCCCTCTTTGAAGCTGTAGTATGACGAGATGTCGGCTTTGATCATGATTCAGTACCCAACACGCCGTTTCTGGCTTTTCCTTCCACCAAAGACAACCCTTTCGCCCTCCGCAGAGTCCCAGGGAGCGAATACGCATCTTGGAGGGTCTGTTTTGACCATCTCGATGTCAGTTCGTCAGGGCTAGTGCGAGTCTGCAAACAGCAGCGCGCGCACCAACGTCCCGCGCATCACACAAAAATGGCGTTCTTGGCGATTAGTCGGACGGACCGCCGCACAGGCCACGCTAAACATGTGAAGTCGAAAAGCCATGGTGCATCGGCGCATGGGCGGCCTGTCTGGTGGACCCTTCCAGCTTCCGCGGGACGCTAGTCCAGGTCCGGCGTTGCAAGTAGGCTCGTGTCCGACCCATCGCTAAGCCTGAGTCCACTCCTGTCCCAAAAACTTGCCGCTTTAAGCATCACGTGGCTGATCACGGGAGCAATGTCGAGATCTCGCCGGGTAAAGACCAGAACGAGTCGGCATACAGCGAGATTTTGAGCGCAGATTAGACCTTGGCTGTCCCGTCGTGACAAACTCCACTACCAACGATGGTAAAGAGACGGCTGTAGGTCTTGGAAGGACTATCGAACCAGAGTACGAGTCGAGCTTGGAAACTGTCAATTTGGCGCTCCGTTCAAAACCGGTCGCCGGCTCCGAAGATCTGGCGGTGGTCTGAGCTTCTTATCCGATAAGATCTCGGAGAGATCCAGATTGACGCCGCACTTTTTTATCAGCAGCAGAAATCCAACGCCAGCCTTGCATCTCCAACCCGGCTCCAACCCAGCCCCGCGCGCGACGTTTCACCCCAAAGCCATCGAGAAGCAACGGCTCTGCCATGGTTCTAGGCCTTTGCGACGCAGACCATGGCTGAAACTTCCTCAATCCAGCAGCCCCAGGGCAATAAGAAGAGAAAATCCTCGACAACGACCGAACCCACCGAACCGAAAAAGAGCAAAGCGGTCCCCAGCGGCCCTACGACCCCTCTACCTACGCACGATGCCCTCCTCGCCGAGCTCAGGTCCAAATACGACATCCTACCCGCCTTCACCATTTCCTCGACGAAGATCCAGAAGCGTGTGAACTGGCTCCTGCGACACCTACGCAAGGACGACGGCGACCCGAGGAAGCGCGCCGTGCTCCTCTACGCGCGGCCGAGCGAGGCTGTCAAGATGATCACCATCGTGGAGCTTGTGAAGCGTATCGTCGCCGAAGAGGACAAGAGCGGACGGTGGTACCAGTACAACCAGATGTACGAGCTCCCGCCGAAAGCCGAGGTCGTGGAGGAAACCATGCTGGGCGCCGGCCTCGGCGAGGATGAGGCCGCAGGGGGCTCGGACGACGACGATTTCGAGGTAATGGAGAGCCGGTTCGAGAGAGCGGTTCTGCCTCAGCCGGTCCGCCGTGTGGCCAAGTCGCTGAGTGTCTTCCTCTCGCTCGCGCCCATTCCAGAGTTGAAGGCCAAGGACGACGTTACCACGCAGACGAACGAGCCTCAGGGTGCTTCAACAAGCTCAGTCGCGTCGTAAGAAACAACGGAGACCCGAGGTCCGGCGCGAGGGCAGCGAGCGAGTCCAAAGGAGGCCGGCAACGGGGCCAAGAGGAGTTTGGCCTATGGATCATCTGGATCTGGGACTTGGGGCGGTACCTTGAGCAGGCTACATCAACAGGCGTTAAAGGATGAAAAGTTTCATGGTTGATACCCATCAGGGCGGGAAGTTGTCAATATGACAGATTTTGATTTTGCTATACAATTAGGCAGCCTTGGTATACGGACTGATGCGATCCTTCCATAGGCCATTACTCCAATATCACAATGCATGCCCTTTTTTTCCCCTGACCATCTCCATACACTCTCGACTTCTCCCCCTTTGGCGGCATCCACTTGCACAAGACATAGGAAACTATGAATCAGACGCGGCAAGGTTGTTCTCACATATGTCACTCTTCCAATATCTCCCTCCCCTTTCAGCTGTTACATATCCTCGGTGCGGCTTCGACAGCGTCCGCTCGCGAGCGCGCGCAAAGACAGCTGTTCCCGATACACCTCTCTTTTTGCCCTCCACCGACCGGTCCGTCTCCGCAAAGCAGCCACTTTAGTGCTTGCCCTCCTTGGACGAGTATGTAATGCGCAGGACAAAGTTGACGACAACGGCCAACAGCAGGATGATGGCCAGGAAGGTGGGGCCGAAGCGGTCGTCGAAGCCGGCCTGGCCACGGACGCGGATGGATTTGGCGCGCCAGTGGTACGTCGCAAGGGCGTATATCATGGTGAGCATGGCGACGCCGGTGAAGAGGAAGGCGCTGATGAACGCCGGGCGGTCGCCAAAGTTGAGCATGCCAATGGCAAGGGCGCCGAGGATGACGGTGAAGTTGAGCCACGAGAGGAAGGTGCGCTCGTTGGCGAAGAAGACCTTGGGCTCGACGCGCGTGGGCAGGGCAATGCGCTTGCCTGTGAGATCGGGGTCGGTTAACTTCTGCGCCTTCTTCGGGGGGGGTGGTCGGCGGATTTCCATGGGTCGGGGCAGCGGGAGGAGCTTGAAGGTTTGTGTAGGTGTAGGGCAAGTGAGGGGTCAACTGAGAGAAGGTGGACATACCGGGAGCGGTCTGAAGGAGAGGCTGGCTAGACATTTTGGTGATCTGCTTGCTTTCTCCGGTGCAACTGCGGTTGTATGTATCGTGCTCTGTCCAATCGCGAACAAAGCTCTTTTTCGTGGCTCGACGGGATCGAGGCGGGTGTTTCTGTTGCTCCTTGCGACGGTTTCGCCGATGCCAGAGGAAATTTAACGTTCGCTGGTGATCTGGTAACAATGTGAACCCAGTGGTTTGAGAATCCTCTGATCGGTTGGCCTACAAGTAAAACCTAAACACGGATTTCCGAGAGCCAGCAGAACCCAAGTCGAGCGAGGTTGACAATGGATCGAGGAGGCTGTCTAGCGTTGTTCGAGAGCTCGGACTCGTGTCGGGCAGGGCGTTCGACCACAACGGTTATCGCGAGGGGGAGACAGGCGATGAGTTGACGACGTCAATTGCTTCTCTTTCCAAGATTTCCGTCTGGGAAAAAATTGAAAATCTTATCAGGAGTGGATGGTGGGAAACAATGCGGGCAGAGAGGAAAAAGCGAGGAGGAAAGACGCGAGGATCCGTAGCCGAGAGAACCCGCCTGAAAGCTTGTTTGATACGACACTGACCACAGACGATGCGGCCGCCAGCCCCTCAAAAGCCTACAGCGAAAAGCTCCATCGCAAGAGAAACTTGTGACGCTAGGCCTGCAAGGCTAGAGCTCACCCCACCAGCCACAGCTCGAATCCATGTCACTTCCCTGCGAACCGTTCAAGCGAGGTACACGTGCCGTTCAGTCGTATCATGATTGGAGAAGTCACTCCGGAAGAGCCAGCGCCACATCAGACCCATAGACAAGCTGACTAACATGTGGCTTTGCTGAAGATTCGAGCAGCAGACCACGTGATCTCGTTGCCCCGCGCACCTGGCTAAAGCACGGCCCGCAGTGCGACATGAGGCGGCCAAATCGGGTTGGCATCACAACATTGGTAACTTTTTGTGGAGGAGCCTCGTCTTTCTCGTCTTGTCCCAATCTGTCAACACCACATCCAGTCCTCACCAGCAAACACACCACTGAGATCTTCGCACGAGTCCATCTAACGTCTCGACATCTTCCGATTTCACACGAATTCCACGACTTTACGAAAAGCAAGCGTCAATTGTCGGCACTTCGGTTTCCCAAGCATCTGACTGTTTACCTCCCTCCCCCTAAACATAACATCCAACAATCACAATGTCCGCTGCTGCTCCCACAACAGCCACTCCCGTACGTCACCCATCCCCGCGCTAAGATCGCCTCGTCTCTATTGTGCATTAACTTACGGTTTCTCTGTAGCCCGTGGCCTTCAACCGCCTCAAACAAATTGCTACCGACGTAAGCCTCTGACCATGCGACTTCGCAAATGAGGTCGCAACACCCCCAAAGAGACAACGACGACTAACCCGGCACCTTCCACCAGGCTTGTCAATCAGCAATTGGCTCCGCTGAGTTCTACGACCACGCTAAGACCGAGGCATGGAACTCGCAGATCATCGTACGTCCCCGTGCCGCGCCAGCTACAGACTGTCCCCAAACTAACCACTGCGACACGAACAGTCCTCCGTTCTGAAGGCGGTCATCTCTGAGTCCACACCCCAGGGCGGCTCTGCTCCCGCCTACAAGTTCGCTTGCAACTCGACGATTGTCCAGCACCTGGTTCCTACCTCCTCTCTCAACAAGTCCAAGGGAACCTCCGCCTCTACTGAGGAGCCCTCCGTCTCCACGAGCGCCGACCCCGCGACTGCCACCGACGGCAAGCCCCACGTCGGCCGCCGCGGCATGCACTCCGCCACCGGCGCCTACTGGGACGAGAAGAAGGACGGCATGTGGTCCTACAAGTACGATGGCGGTGAGGGCAAGGGCATGGACGTTGTCATTATGCTCATTTGGGTCGCCATCTAGAAGCCGGTGAAGCAAGCTTCACTCGTCACTGACGGAAAGGAGGAACCATTAAACTGGCATGCGGAGGCGTGCGCTTCGCCTTCCTCTGCGGTCCAGCCACCAACCGAAACCGCCCACGCGGAAGGATTGGAGTCCTACGGCAATTGGGTCGGTGTAAGGAGCGCCCAGCAATAGGTGTAATGAAGGAGACTTTACAGCCGAGATACAGGGTGTACATCGGAAGACGGCGGCAAGCCGAAAAGGGGGGAACCTGTCTCTGTCTCGATGTTCAAGTCAGGCATCTACGGCGAAACGGTTGTGTAGGTTTGTTATTTGCGCTTGAGTTGCGTTGTCCCCAAACCAAAATAGCCGGAGTTTTGATGAGAACAATGCCATATCATGAATTTGTTCAACCGATTTTCCCCCAGGATGTTCCGTATGGATTGTTTACTTATTGTCGAGCCGCTATTTGGCGATGCAGCGCATTGCACGTTTACAGGCGGCACCCCTGCTACCAGGAGATGTCATTGTTATGCATCTTCCAGTTCCCCGACTTGCCCTATATCATCCGAGCCATGGCAATAATATCATACTCGAGTCAAAAAGCCTTTCAGAACAAGGAGCGACGGTGGCTTGCGTGCGGCTGGTGCGTGGGCACCTTCGACTCAGCAAAACTTTTGCCACTGTATTCATAGCACACGCTGCGGTTGCATCGGAAGATGGAAAATCCATGACCTTTGAAATCAGCGTCACCCTGCATCACAGGCGGCTCTCCGCTGCAGAACGTCGATGTTCAGTTTAGTTGTTTTTCCGGCTTCCACGAAAAGGCGCACACGGACCCACGGGTTCTGTCATCAACTGGAGGGGCCGCTATCCACGGCGAGGCCAAGCGCGAGCGAGCGGACACACGAGGTCCCATTTGATGACATACATGGTGGCGACGTTCGGTTCCCCGCTGTCACGGAAAGACGCTGGACCCTGATGATCCTTTCTTTTTTTTTTGCTTTTTTCTTACGACACGGCCGGCGCCTTGACGTTTGCCAATCAGGCCCGTTTGACGCGCGTGCTTACTTTTGATATGCTGCCAGTGATGGTGGGAGGACCCGTCGTCACACAAAGCAAATCCAGGGCACGCGAGTCAAAAGGAGGGATTGGGAGAAAAGGTTGCCAGACAGAAAAACGCTTCGCGGTCGCATTCCACACGGTACAGGATGGGCGGCTGAAAGGGGCACAATGCGAGCGTTGGGATGGACGGTCCTCAGAGGATGCAGGGTCGTACACCCTCTCCGGCGAGAACGACGTGCGCCGGCTGTTTGGGACGGGGGGCGCTGACGAGGAAAGTGTCGGGAGTGTGAACGTTGTTCGGAGAAAACGTAAATCTGATCACGATCTCCCGCAGGGTTCACATGTTCTCCCCCCATGGGGCCTTTGGGGTAGGCCTCTCCGGCGAAGGCTCCTTGTCTCTGGGACTTCGCGTCGGAGCGCAGCGTCGCGGTGGGCGGAGGATGCCGAGCTTCGCCGAAATCCTCGCGGAGGCAACGGGAGAAGAAAAGGTCAGATCATGATAGCGACGAGTCCTACACATATCACAACACCCCATACCGTCACCGTTCAGTCGGTGTGCGCCGACAGCGGGAGGGTGCGTGGCAGGAACCATGAGGGATGCGCCAGATCAGATCAGCGAAACGGGTGACGTTTCGACTCTTTGGTTGCCTGGAAGTCTTGGGCAGTTTTGCTCCATACGTTTACTCCAAGGCTCGCGCCAAAGGTATCATGACATTACACGTGTAGAACAGGGTCCTATCTGGAAGGGGGGTCTCTGACATGCCTCGGGATACCTGATCAAGAAACCCTCCCCCAAATGTGAGAATTTCCCCAGCGGCTATTGGGTAGTTCGGGGAAGTAGATTATCAGCAAGATACGGTCACAATCAGCGAGACGTACAGAAAGACGCTGTAAGTCTTCGCTCGAATTATCGAGAAGAAGTTCGCCACCGCTCTTTGGGTCCCCCACAAATTTTGGGTGGCATCCGCGGGAGGTGCAGCAGCATGACGACGTCGATCGCAGGGTTGGCGGGTTACCCTCTTTCTAGTGGTCTATCTCTTTTGCCGCCGGCCGCATTGAGCTCTCAGTGTTTAACATCGCTGCGGTAAGACGGACAGGAAGCACAATGACTAGTCAGAACAGCAGGCGTGTGCCCCATGTCCTGATCCGACAACATGACTGCCGTGCAACGGCGACAGCCTCGCTGGGCTAGTTGTCCGCGGTCATGGGACCATTGCTCCCGGTGAGGCCTGTCGGTGTGTTACAGCGGTTGCCTTGCAGAGGTACGAAAGGAGTGCCTTCACGACCATGGGGTAGTGGTTTAAGAGGTTCATCATTGTCGATTGACGCCTGTGTCATGAAACTCAGAAAGATTGACAGATGACTGAGGATCAGTCGATACGGCTTGCGGGGTAACCGACGCTGCCGCTGCCGAATTGCGGATTATGCAGAAGACACAGAGAACTGGTTCGAGGACAATGGCTTCCGTGCTGCGTTGCAGTTGGGTTCATGTTGGGAGTTGGACATGCGGGTCGTCGTTGGCAACTGAAGGGGGTTTCGTATAGCTGGGCTTTGCTACATGGTGTTGCTCCTGTGCTTCGATGCGCGACGTTGCATGCCATCGACGTCTGGCCAGTTCCAGAAGCACGAAGAACGGAACACGACCTATCACGACCTGCCAATCGAGCCCAAAAAGACCCCATATTCGCGATGCGCTTCACACACGCAGCTGCTGGTTGGTCAATCCAGAAAGACCAAAGACATACAGCGCCAAGCGGGGGGAACGAGGGGTGATGGAGGGTCATGATCTAGAGCGGGAGCTTCGATTCGCCAGGTGAGGTGCGGTGGCTTTGCGTCGTTGTCGATTTGTGCTTTGGGTTTGGAGGAGTTCCCCGCGAGGATGATATGGTATGGAACGGAATGGTATGGTGGTGAGGTGAGTCTCGCTCGCTTTTCCGAGCCACCGAGCGCTGTGTCATCGGATCTGACGACTGCAGAGCTCCGCTCTGGTCCTCGTCTGCCAGTGGCTCGCCCTGCTCCCTGTTCGCTGCGCCCTAGACCGCGCTACCGTTTGCCTTATGACGAAAGTAACCGGGCCCAGGTACCGAGTACTTTAGATCGCGCTTGCAGGAGACCGGTCCGTCCCCTACGTAGGTGGTAGTGTAAGGACGAGGGCAAAGAGGACCCCTTCAGCTGAGCGTTGTTGGCAATCGAGAGCCGAGAGGGGTGGAACTTGGCCCTTCGGTCCCCTCTAGGTGGTTACAGGAGAAGGAGAAGCAAGCCATCGTCAGCAATCTCCATCTTTCTCCAGTGTTTTTTCTGTTGCTTGCGAGGATTATCGAGATTGTTTCTGGATGTGCTATTGGCGAACTTCATGCTTCATGATTCGCGCGAGGATGAGAATGACCGAATTCCCCATTTTTGTTCCTGCCATATTCCCTCGGCGTCAGTGGGGGGCAGCGGGAAGAGGAAAAAACCAGGAGACGAAAGGGCCCTGACCCAGTGACACTCACTGCAACAGTTACAACCCTTTCGAGTTGGCAAAGTTGCTCTCTTTTCAGCGTCCTGCATCGCCCTCGCTCCCCAGCATGGAGCCGCTCGAGGCCGGGAATACCTAGCGTGCGTGCCTCGCACTATCCGCTAGCTTATCAGGGGAGGCACTGGAAGGAACAACCACACACGGCTTAATATGGCAACAATGGCGTATGGCTCTTGTGTCCCAGTGCCACGCTGCACCCCCCAATGAGGCCGCTAATCTGCCTACCACCTCATCTCGGGGACTTGTACCAGTGACTTGATGGACCCCGTCGATTTGGATGTCGAAACGGCCAAACACTGCCTTTCCCGTCCGGTTCTGGCTCCATCACACCACATACGCACCCTTTTTTTCATCTTCCTTGCCTTCCCCGTCTCTTCTCCTCCTTCAAAAGAACACCCCCGATCGGCACTCGAGACCACCTCATCGGGGTCCTGTCACTTTTTGTTGCCTTTGGCGTCCCATTATATATCTAGCGAGCCTCTCCCGGCTCCATCCTCATCAGCCGTTTCTCGCCTCATGAACTTGCTATTGAGGCTTGCCCACTCACAAAGAAGAATACTGCTATCCGACCTTGGTCCTCCCAGCCGCACCATCGACATCACTTGAACCGACACATCTTGACTCGCAAAGCTGGGAGCTCGAGATCATTCCACTTCACCACCACACACGCAGGTGAATCCATCCGTCTAGGGAACGAATCCCCTTCTCATCTCACGAGACCGCCTGGCGTTCTCCACGTCGTTGGTTGCTCTTCAAACCCGCTCGCCTACACCACACAACACACTCATCGTCAGATAATAGCCCAGCTCGGGCCTTCGACAACCCAACAAAACACCACCCGCCGTTGCACAAGAACTCTCTTTCCCCCTCCACGATGGTTGAAGTACTCCCCTCGGGCCTCGCCCAGAACGGGCACATCCAGGAGTCCCAGGATTCCGCCGACCACGTAGCCTCTGTTGCTCGTCTGCTCCTCGCAACCAATCTCGCATCTCGTCAGGAGAACAAGATGATGACCCGCGAGGAACGCCAGGCCATGATCGACGAGCTGAGCAAGAAGCGTGCAGGCTGGCGCACACCCCGCCGCGGCTGGTCTATCACCGACTCTCCCGTGACATCAGCTCAGGGAAGCCCGGCGCTCAACGCCTCCCCTTATCCCGCTCCTCCCCACGCTACTCAGCACGAAGCTGTCGAGAGACACGCTATCGCTTCTGTACCCGAGCAGTCCGAACTCGCAATCGAAGAGATGAAGCAACTTCCTCATGCCCCTATCGCCCGCCGGCCACCTCTCCCGCCCCCGCGCCGTTCCTACTCTGTCACGGACTACGAGCCGCCAGCCCGCATCCACCGACCCTCGGCGCGCATGGACATCTTCGACCTCCCCGCCGAGCTGCATTACGCCATTTTCGACCACCTCGATCCCATCGACAGCACCTGTTTCGGCCTGACGAACAGCCACTTCTACAACATCCACCGCCGTATGCACGGCTCTGTGCCGTTGTCGTCCCGTCGCAACGGACCCAACGATCTCGAGTGGGCCTGGCGGTTCGCTGGTCCCCTCATCTACCACGAGTCCGCGGCTCCTCCTGCCGAGGCCTTCCAGGAGCACGCCCACGCCCTCGAGCGCATGCGCGTCAAGGGCCAGGTCTACTGTCGCAAGTGTGGAATCTCTCGTTGTGAGCTGCATCGTCACCTACGCGAGTGGATGGGGCCCAACCTCGAGTACTGCTCCATCACCCAGAAGTACGGTTCCAAGGCTGCCGCGGAAGCGTCCGACACTTGCTACATCAAGTCCCCGAAGCACCCGCACCGATGCGGCCGACACGCCTCCAAGCCTGTCAAATCGCACAACTAAGTGCTGTGTGTTTTGACTTGATTGGCGTTTTTCTTTGCTTTGAGCATCGCGATTGACTTTTGTATGATTAAGACACGACGGCACCTACGGGCTGCTTCGATCGTGCGGCAAGGAGTTGAAACGGGAAAAGAGAGACACGTAGGACGAGAGTTGTATTATTACATGGGACGGCGTTGAATTGGATAAACGAGACATCAGAGACACAAGAGATGGAGGCGAGAAATGAGAGAGTCGCTCTTCTGCGACCTGAGATTATGGATCCACGAAGAAGCAGCAGACAAAGACTAGCATGCATAGATGAGAAGATATCAGGAAGCTACGGCATCGATGCTGCTGCGTCTTGAACTACAGCTAGAAAACACTATCATAAGCATCCATACTTTGACTCTTTTCTGCTCAAAAACCCCTCCCATCGATTTCTGTGTCTTTACCCCATACACGACTGATGCGGTCAATTGAAGAAGTCCACGGCTATGACGTAATGCGGGACACATGCGGACTGTGGAGCCTGGAATAGTTTCGTTGGATGGAAACGTCCTCCCATGTCTCAGATACCGGGGACCCATTCGGCCCTATGGCATGGCCGGCGTCATTCTGCTCGGCCAGAGGCCGAGTTCCACGAGTCGAGGGTGAGGGGCAGGCAAGTCATCGCCTCTTTCGATGCTCTGCGGTACATCGGGATGGACCTCTACGCGATGTGGTGGACAGCGCAGAGCTCTTGCATGCTTTCCTAGACTCTGGCCTTCGCGGCCTCTCCTGGGCTGTATTCACACCTCTAGAGGCTCGTTACCTCATCTCCGTCTTTCCAGGCTTGGAGTTTACCCAACGGCTCAGAAGGTTGGCAGAGCAAGCCACCTTTTGAGGAGTCCACAGGGCTTATAGTTGCCCCTGGACTTATAACGATATCATGTAAATGACGGAGGCAAGTCAGCATTGCGGTGAGTGCGTACAACCCAGGGGACCGCCTCATACAAACGTGGTCACTCAATCACTGCGGCTGTGTCGATTTCAACAAAAAACAACTGTAAACCCCTGGAATTTGGCATGGCTCACTGAGTGGTGCACAGTTGTCGCCAGGACTTGTGATCTGGATTTCGAAAGGACCAGGAGGGTTAGTCTTTCTACGCCATATGTATATACCCATCACAGGACAGCAGCAACAGCACTCCCTGCCAGTTGCCGTTAAGGTTCCTCGATGCTCGTCCCAAGTCTCTTGGTTGTGAGGTTCCCGCCCTCGGTTCGCAAAGCTTCCAGCTGAACGCAAACAAAAACCACAGCAGATCAAGGAAGGGCTTGCTGGTTCCTAAGAATTCAGTCGGCTGGTTGCTGAACGTCAGGAAAATCTTTTTGAGAGCATATTTGGCGGGTTTTGCGCGATTGTCAGAGCAGCTCGTTTGTGGAATGTTCTCTGTACTCACACTACTGGCAATTTAACCTCTAGTAGCTCATCTCTGAATACAAGGGAGGAGAGAGGCGTCCTGTATGAAAAATCAGCCGTCATCCCAAAGAAGGGATTGTTGGGGTTCACCAAGCTGTCCGAACATGCGCCTGTTTCGTCCCAATCGTAACCATCACACAAAATAGGCAACTAGACTTGCATATAAATACATAACAAGTGCGCCCGCCGGTAGCCAAAATCACAAAAGTTACACCAAACACAGTTGTCTTGCGACATGCACCCCTATGTTCTGCATCAGGCTGGGCCCCTGAAGCCTCACGATTACCCAAGCCTTTGATCTTCGTCCCGCATCTCTCCGTTCGTATTCACGGCGTGACACGTACGGTTCGGACGCCGACGGGAAAGCCCAGTGACGAAGGAAAGAGACGACACCTGTCTCCTTCATGCTCTATGCTCCTGTCCAATGGTCAAAGGTTTGCGCCTCACTTGGCTCGGCCGCCGAAGCACCGAGTGTATGAGCAGAGTCACAGGTTGTGGGATCCAACAGATAGAAGGAGGAGGTAAAGGCTCTTTATATATTCTTACTGATCGCAGGCCTTCCTGTCGCTGTTTCGTAATCGCCCTGGCCAAATGGCGGTTCGGAGAGGTCTATCTCGAAGGTTTTGACACACAAGCCCAAGTAAAAGAGTTGGAAGCATTGGCTACTTGCCTAAATCTCCCTCTCTGTTGGTATTGTCCCCAGTCCACCGTATAACCTAGGGTCGGACGTTATTTTGTCCAAGGCTGATTCGACTTTGGTCTGACACATCAACAATTTGTCCTGTTTGCATCTGCAATATACTAGTCAGGCCTGCAAAAGCCTCGTTAACGGGCCTCAAGCAATCCGGACGCGTTGCGCATGGGATACAAGCAGGGTGGCAAACTTTCCTCGTCATGATGGCAGAAACACATGGCTAGGACAACATCCCGAGATGGCTTCTTGTCAACCATAGATACACGTAAGGGTCCATCTTGATCCTGCCCTGCTGAAAGGACAGACAAACATCACCATTCTCTCTATTTTTGTTCAATACCAAAGGCGTGTGCCCCCCTCCTGGAACAGCAAGCCTTTACGTGTGTGTTGTTGAATGTTCCTTTTCGTTATACAATGATGTGACGTTCAGCTCCGTTTCACAGTCTTGGCCCGGCTTACACAGGTTGCCTTCAGCTATCATTGAAGCATAGACGCAAGCCAAGACAAGATTGAAAGGACTCGCGGGGTAGATTTATTCACCATAAGGCCGAGACAGCTTCATGCAGAACTTTAAAGGCAATATATTTCTGGGCATCATCTCTCGTGACTTTCTGACAGTACTCTCAATAGGCTCAGCGGCCTACTTCCGAGAATCGGATCGAGAAACACCTTCAATGTCCCATTGCAATGAAACTCTGGCACCCGCCCGCCGATATCCATGACGTTGTAAATCAACTGCACCATCGATAGGAGAAGCTACAGCGGAACCAAACCCACGAACCACAAACCATTCCAGAACTCAGCAGGAGCATATATAGTAGCCGTCACAACACAGACAGAAAGACAACGAATCCGGCTAAAGGGCCTATCTCAGACCCTAGATACGACTTCGGGTGTCATTGTCACAGAATCCCAACAAAGGACTAAAGAGGTATCAGTCGAAGAGCCACGCGCGACGCCGATGTAACGCCAAGAACGCCGCCCTCGAGTGATGAGAAAAAATGAAGATACGCGTCAACGGTCATGCACACTTGCAAGCAATCCCAACGAGGAAGCGGCTTTAGCCGACCAGGTTTCCGTGGGACCTGCACTGGCCAACCCTCCGATAGACCTTCCCGGCCCCGAGCGACAATTGTGTCTTGGAGAATGTTCTTATTTCTTCAAAACGGCGTCGTAGAGGCTCACCAGGGCGGTAATGGCAGCACCCGTCAGGATGCCCTTCCACTCGCCGTATAGAGCGCTGTTGATGCGGTCGATGGAGTTCTCGTTGATCCATCCGCCGAAAGTGACCTTCTGGCCGTAGACGACGAATGAGATCAGGGCCTTGACAATGCTGAACACTAGGGGGTCGACATTGTACTCAACCGTCGAGCTCTTGCGGCCCCGAGGCTGGGGATGGCTCGCGGCACTCAGGTTGTAGAAGTAACCGAACAAGGATGGGATGAGAACCGAGGTGAGCGTCCACAGTGTGACGGGCGACCAGAAGGAAGAAGTCACAAACAGGAACGCGTCAGGCACATAGACGGGGTAGAAGTTGGTGCCCAGGGCAGGGATTGCGGGGATAGTAAAAGCGTAACGAAGGGGTAGGACCTCGGCTCTCAGGTTCCACGCCTCGAACGCGGCAACTGTGAAGAGTACCGAGGTGACTGTCGACAGGGACGAGCGCACGGCTTGGGTGCCCTCCTGGATACCCGACTGGTCGTAGAGCTCCGTGACGCGCTCGCGCACCGCAACGGTATGGCGGTCGACGGCCTCAGCGACATCGGCGGGCGTCGCGGGCAGAGGGATGCGGCTCGCGAGAGATAGGTTACGCGCAGGAGTGCGCGTCGCCAGGGCGGTGGAGAGGGCAGGCTCCGGGCTTGGTGATGATGACTCGGCTCTGCGACGCGTGTTAGTCGCGACTGAGGGGCGACTCCGCAACGCATCGCGGGGAAATTTGAAGAGATTACTTACTCGGGCTCGGGTTGGATCTCTTCGATAACTCTCGTCGCCCTGCGGCGCGTTGTCGACCTCACGAGGTCGGTCAGGGGAGCCTCTCTCTTGACGGGCGAACCGGCTGCCTTGGCGCGGCTGTTGTAGTAAGGCGCGAGCTTAGGGTTGTGGGAGAACTGCGTCGCGTTCTCGGCGAGGTACTCATCAAGAGTGACTTCCAGGTCGGCCTTCTTCTGGTTCTCGTAACTGAAAGGAGCGCGTCGTTAGTATCGTGGTCCGAAGAGAATCGTAGGCCCCTCTGCGACAGCTCGACGCGACTCGGATGTGCTTGGCAGCGCTCGCAGCGAACGCGACAACGGCGCTGCGTAAGGTCAAATGCGACTTGCGCAACAGCACAGAGCTCGCGAAAGATACGGGAAACCAAAGGCAAACGAAAGTGAAAACATACCCAGTGAGTCCGGTCAGTTCGGCAAGCTCGACGAGGTCGCTCTTGCGCTGCCTCGCCAACCACGAGTTTGCGCCCGACATGGTTTGGTCGTTCAAACAGAGGGAAAGTTAATTGAAATGGGTATCAGAAGAATCGCGCAGAGGCGGCGACGTTAAATGTGCAATGCAAGAGATTCTCTCGTAGAGTAATTGCAACGAATGCAGGGCAGATAGTGCTTCGGCTTGGAATATGCTCAAAGGCGATGGTGGGAGGGGCAGATTGATGGTGATAAGCTGGGCTGAGCTAGGTTGTAAGGGGGGTCGACAAGGTGAGATGGTCGAAGCGTTGTCGGGTTGTTTATGTTTTTTTTTTGGTCCTCTGTCCGTCTTCGACAGCGGGTCTCCGGGTGTTGTGGTTAATGGAAGGGGAAGTGACGCAGTGGGATTGGGGGGGGGGAGGCAGCACGAGATGGGGGGAGATGGGCAGTTACCTCACAGTGACTGGCGATTGCTGCAGCGGCAAGTGCGCTGTGAGACTGAGCTCGGCACTGGGGACATTGCGACTGGTTTAGCGCCATTTCCCCTTCCCCCCCGGGAGCAGCAGACATGGAAAAGCACTGGCCACGGATGACGACCGGGACGAGACGGACCCACTCGAGCTGTCCGAATGTGGTAAGGCATGTAAACAAACGGTTTAGTTGCTGGCCTCTGCGCGCGACTGTTTGATGATCTCCCGCGACGAAGGCAATATTACAATCGAGGCCATCAAGGGGCCGTTCGGGGGAACTGGGATGATGCGAGCTTTGCGCGAACACGTGGCCTGTTGCTCATCAGAAGAACCACACGCGAGTCTATCGAACGCGATGTCCGCCAACACTTTCCACTCGCGATCAACACGTCCAGCTGTCGGGACAACCAAAACATACCTTCGACGTCTTCCATCTGTCCAATCACGTGCTCGCTCCAACTTCCACTGGCGATGTGTGATTTGGCCCCCAGCCTCTCAGGGCAGGATCATGCCAGAAGCCAGGATCCCAATAGAAGTAGACGACAATAATACGAGTAACCCAATCAGATTGACCACAGCTCCTACAGCCGTTCACCTCGAGACTTGATCTTTGCTCTTTTGCTGTTGTTTGCCTTTTGTATGGTTCTGATAGGAGACATGACACATGTAAGAAAAAGAAGAGTATGCAGGGCTTTGCGACAACGAGCGACGCAGAAATGCTCGGCGTTCTACCCGAAGTTTCCAGCAAGTATGCGTTCGAGAAAACACCTTTCCAGCTCTACAGGTAGCTATCGAGGATGACCACATTGGAGTCATTGAGCGATTGCTTGCCGCGCAGCGGACATATAAAAGCAACAGCAATAGAGACCAAACACAAAGGAAGTATCCTCTACTTTGAAACGTTGCCGATCAGCTCCACTTTATAGATCTCACGAACCTGTTGCAGTGATGAATCCCGGTAGTCTAGGCATCTAGCATCAACATATCAGCTCGGTTACTCACACTTTCGCCAGCCTCGCCCCTTCGCCATCACGGCCTCCAAGTCGAAAGTGCCAAAGATAAAAGAGTTCGGGGCATCGGCTGTGACCCGTATCGTCTTCGCCTGGGTCGTAGTCTATAACACGCTTTGTTTTGTACCAGTCATGTTTCCAAGTGTGGCATTCCCCCCCCCCCCCCCCCCTTAGTAAAATCCGGCATTGAAAGGGAAGAAGGAGGCAGGTGTGTTCTCATACTCGTGGCCTGGATTCTTGATGACTAGGCGCACGTTCTTCTCTTCTGCAAAAGCGAGCCCCGCCATAATCTACATTTGCATCGCAACAAGTGCATTGCCTGTCTACGCTTCCAGAGTTGGCCCGATTGGCTCCCAATATACCATGTTCCTTCGAAGCTGAGACGCTGGGCCCTTCGGGAAAGGACCGCTGCCAGTTCGCGCACTTTCAAACTACCAAGGGACCTCGGAGCCATCAATGACGTTAATGAACTTGCCCGAAGTGGTTTCGCGGGTCGCTTTCTCGATCTGGCACTGAATTAGCTACCCACAGCCCCGCGGTGTGCAATGCTGTTGAACGGGGGGACCTTACCAAATCGATGGTCTTGGTGGCACTCTCCTCGATGGTATGGGGAGCTTGCTCCATTCCCATTGAGCGGGCACCGGCGTTGCCCATTTCTGTTTGGACCAGGCTTTTAGGCATGTCAGTATCTTGTGTTTCTCTTGCTTCATGTGTTGACGTTGAGAGCTCTGTGTACGTACCCGGGGTGGATGGCGAACGCGATGAGATTCTTGTTTCCGGAATGCACCGCGCTGATGCGAAGGTCAGTCACTTTGTGGCTCAAATATTCTCCAGAGCTCAGGGGAAGTCGCTCACACAGTGAACCAGTCTTGACCGGCCTTGGCAATACCATAGGCGCTGACGAACGCAGCCTTGTGGACCTCAAGATTGGTAATAGAGGCAGCGGCACTCGATACGGACACCCACTTGGGCGAGCTGGACTTTTCGAGCAGAGGCTTGACGGCCTGGAAGAGCCGAACAGGAGCAACGGTGTTGACCTGGAGGGAGTCGATCAGATCCTGGATGTTGACAACATCGGGGGGGGCAGGTGCGGGCGAGAAGCCGGCATTGGCAATCACGACATCCACGTGGTTGATGCCGGCCGCCTCGATGTCCTTGACCGCCTGCTGTGGGTCGGTAGGTGAAGTGCTCTCGATGCTGACGAGGATAAGCTGGGAGCCCTCGGCTGTGGGCAGGCTCTTGAGCTCCTGTGCCGCCGGGGCCTTGCTGTCCCGGACACTGCCGATGACGGTGTGATTTGGCCGGGAGAGGTACTGCTCGACAAGTCCCCTGCCGATACCTAGAAGCGTGGTCAGTCGTAAGATGCATCTCGGACATGTTGAAATTTCGGCCTGCTCCGCTGGCACATCTGCTCATCGTCCTTCATCCCAGACCGAGGAAGATGAGACGCACCTTTATTGACACCGGTAACCAGAACCACAGTTGAGGTAGCCATCTTGTAGAAAGCACTAAGGGAGTTGGAGTAAACTTCGTCGAGACGGTGTACGGGCGTAAGGCGTCAAGCTGGGCAGAGTTTGATAGCAACGATTTGTGAATCCCAACCAGAATCGGGATGGCAAGTAGTAGCTGATGTAGTCATGGCCAGAGCATGGTATCTTTCACTTTGGCAGTTCGCATTTCTAAGCAACAGTGGGGTCAATAGATAGGAGCTCGCTCGTACTGCGCTTCAAGCATGCTGCTCGTCTGTCTCACGACCAACGCATCCTAACCAGGCAAGGCAGGTGTTTCGGCAAAGACAGCCGAGGTGAGGCAATTAAGGATTTGCTAGCTTAGCTAGCAATATCTTTTTGATTATTACCCTTAGCTTTACTTCTTTTCCGTAACCTAATACAACCACCTTTGCAGATCTACGATATCGTGGCCCTTTGCGATACCTAAATCTGTACTTGTTCGGTATCCCTGTAATACCAACACTAATGTCCTTTATGCGATGGCAATAAGCCATACATTTTGCCGTCCTAGCAACACGATGCGGCACCATGCAGTATCAGCACACTGACTTGGAACTGGGCTTGGAGTTGCGCGGCAAGGGCGAGATTTCGAGGCCATACAGGCATCGCAACAATTTGAGGATGCACAGTCGCCAAGCTTTCGTCTCTCTTCTTTCCGCCTGTTATCCTCAGTACTTCTCATCTGTACCGAGGACATGAACCCTTGACAACATTTTAGTCGGAGCTAGACCGAGCCGACGTATTTATGGCGAAAACCATGGATGGGACTCTCCTCGAGCCAAGCCAGATCGCACAAGCAAGACCAAGTCACAATATATCCACACCGTGATGAGCAGCTCTAAGCTAGGTTTCGGCCAGCTGTTTGAAGAACTCAGCTCGTTTACTCAGGAGTTCCTCCAGCGGATTGACCCTCATAGCCTGTAAAGGTTCTTAGATGGACAACGACATAAGAAAATCGGTAAAGTCATTAACTATGAGTATAAGTATAACAACCCTTGTCAATCTGAGCTGTTTCAATAATGTATATCTGTGAGCTACAATAACAGGGTGTATCAGCTCCAACCTGCCGCACCCATAGTCTTTACACATTAGATAAAGAAGACAATTATCGTTAGCGAGAGGATTCAATATTGTATATTCTTTGACTTCAACGTTCAGTTTAAGAGTTGACGTTGAAATACAAAGTACAAGTGTGTTCAATGTCGGGGTGTGATTAGGCCGACCAGCCGAGACGTTGATCCCGCTAGCGACCGAAACCGGGACAGCTGAAAGTTGGTTGTCGAACATCCTCGTCTTGGCTGGGGTAGCTTACATTTTGATGCAACGGGTCTAGCGGCACTGCAGCAGTCCAGCTAAACAGCTTTCTAGGCTTCAAGCGATAAGATTCTACTCACAGCAGTAGTTCTATTTAGTCAGGCTACCTTATCAAAATCATGTCACACATACTACAATAAAACTCGTACGATGTGGCTGGTTGCTGTATGTAGACAGAGACCGGAGTAGCTTATAGTTGATTATACTATTATAATAGGTCTCACCAGTCGACGCATCTATTGGCCTCGTTTACGAATGTTCATCTATCCGAATTCGTATGAAGCGGCTGCAGAGTAAGATTTGAAGCCACCGAAAAGCAGCTGCTACTGGATAACAGTCATTGTTCTGCCTAGCTGATCGTATGAGTTCTTTTCCGGATTCCATTTACGCTGCTTGCATAGAGTTTTAAAGCCCAGCTAGCCGCAAAAACGCTGCTGATAGCAGCTATCGAGTAAGGAAATCGGGAGTTGGTAGACGTCCGATCAGGCAAGGAGAACTATATAACGCCTCCTTTCCTGCTCGCTTACATAGTCATGAGGTGTCCTCGCAACAGTTATTACTGCCATAATATCCTTTGTAACTTCACGAAAAAAAACGTTTTACCTTTTACACGAAAAATGGGTTTCTGGAGTAGCCTCGTCGACGGTGTCAGTTCTGCTGGCCAATGGGTGCTGAACCACTCAGGCGACATCAGTTCAGTCGTCGGCACCGTCACCAAGGTAGCTGGAATCGCTGCCCTTGAAGAATTCAAAGAACCGGGCGCTACGGCCAAAGGTCCGGAGGCTGCGCAGAACGACGGAAAGCGCTCCGATGACCCCCCTCTCTGAGACGAAGAGCCTGTCTCCTTATTATCACGGACGACAAAGAAGCGGAGGTCAGGGGCGAGAACAGAGAACCAACAATGAACAACGAGCCGGAGGGAAGGATCAGGGAATAACCCAAAGAGGAAGGGTTTGGGACGAAGGCTTGGCGGGAAGCACACACAGATCAATGGGACAGAGGGAGCAGACACGTGCAACACAGAGGGAAAACCATCCCCAAGGCTTCGAAGCGATGATGGCCCTAGTGGGGATGTTAGCAAGGAAGGCATCGGCATGGCCTATCCCGCTCTCGCCCCAGGCATCCAGCTGCAGAACTCATCATCCATGGCACCAAACAGAAAGCGGTCTAATGGAACTAAGGCTGTGGAGATCAGGTTAATGGTAGTCATTAGTCAGGGTGGGTGAGAGGATTAAGGCCACATGTAGACCAACAAGTAGAATACTTATACCATCGTGGCCATGACGATTGAGCTTGTTCCTCTGTGTTGAATACCAACGCAAGTCCTAATATCACCACACCACTAGCTGCACCGGTCTCACACAGGTGGTAAGGATGGCCATTAGCTCGTTAATTAGACACTTGGTACTTTCTAACACTTTGAATCTACCATTTTTTGTCTCGGTGGATGATGCTAACCCAAATTAACCGGCACTGAAGCACCTCGATCCATGCGTGCGTACATAGGAGCGCATGTGTATGCGCTAGCTCTGGTTTACTTATCTGGATGGATAGATCGACGTCCAAGACGTTGCTCTCGCATATATCCTAAGAACAGTAGGGTGAAGTTCATTTTACAATTCTCAACAATAGTTCATTCTCAGCGTCAGCCTCAAGGCAGCGTTTCTGGCATGGGGCTTGGAGAGGCTTGAACGTAGCGTGCGTAAGATGTGTCGTCATTCTAAGTCCAGTTCCATGCAGGAAACACCGAGCAACCTAAACCGCCTTGTTCCCGCCGGGTATTCCCATAAATCCGTCCAGCCCAACAGTACTTGTACAATCGAAGATTCCCGCGGCCCCAACATTGGCCGGCTAATACTATAGTCTAAGCAGAATCAACAAAGTTGACAAACCTCTCCTCCCCTCTCGGCACAACCCGGACCGGGACACTCATCCCTTGCGGCAGCTTCAGCGTCAGCATGGTTGTTGCCTTCTTGACCGTCTCCCGACACTTGTCCTGTGCCTTCTTGTACAGCTTCTGTCGCTCCGCCCGGCCCATGGCTTCGACCTCGGCGTCCGACGCCCACTCGTCTACTGCCAGCTCGAGGCTGTACCGCTGGAACACGACCGACAAGGCGGCAATGATCTCCACCTGCGCGATGCGCCGCCCGAGGCACGACCGCGGGCCATCGGAAAAGGGGACGTACGATCCCCGCACCGGCCGAAACATCTTCTCGCTCGTGTCTGAGCCCTTGTACCCGCCGTAGTCCTCCGTGTCGCCACTCTTGTCCTCGGTCTGCGCCGCGTTCAGGCTGGCGCGGTACCACCGCTCCGGCGCGAAGTCGTCGAGGTCGTGGTCAGCGCCTGTGACCTTGCTCGGCTTCGATGGCCAGTTGCGCGGGTTGCGGTGTGCCGCCACGCCTACAATGGAGATGTGCGCCCCCTTGGGCAGGGCGTACTTCTCACCGTCGAGCGAGATGATGCCGTCACTCTCGGGGTTCACCTTCTTGGGGATCTCAACCACAGCCGGCGTCATTCGCAGCGTCTCGTTCATACAGGCGCCTAGCATCGAGGCAAGCATGGGGTTCACTGTGCTCTCGTAATTCCACTCGCTCGGGTCGGTGTCACCAAAGATGCTGTCGATATCCTTCTGGAGCTGCCTCTGTACCGCCGGATTGCAGGCGATCTCGATCAGCCCAAAGTGCATCGCGTTCGCCGTCGTCTCGTGGCCCGCGACAAGCATGATGAAAGCGTTGCCCGAGATCTCCGACTTGGACAGCTGCGGGATCTTGGATTCCTTGCCCTTGGACATGACCCCGTTGGCGCCGCTGTTCGCCGCCCTGTTACCGTACTTTGACCTCACGAGCTGGCCCATGAGATCCATGCCGGCGTCCCCGTGGTCGCCGTTCTGCAGATCTTCGATCTTGTCCTGCATCAGCTCGTCAATGTACTGCACGTAATTATCGTGCGAATCCACCGCCTTCTTTGTATACTTGAAGGGAAGCATCTTCAGAATCTTGTGCGGCACCAGCAACAGAACCAGGATGTGTTCCAACATCTCGGCAAGGGCATCGCCAAAGCTCATCGTGTGGCCATGGGAGGCCTCGAGCGAGCTGTACTTTGTGAGTTTCGGATCCGTGCCCTCAGGGAGTGCCTGCCCCGGCCAGAGCAGGCGCATGCCGAATCCGACGTAGCTGATGATGTTGAGCGCCAGGCGCATGGTATCGTGATCCAGCGTCTCGACGGTCTGTCTGCTCTTTCCGTCCGGGCCGAGCCACTTTTGGATCATGCTCTGCGACTGCTTGATGGACTCGGCAAAGACAAGGGCGGCGTTCTTCTCGTTGAAGGCGGCGGAGGTGACCTTTCGGTGCATACGCCACACGGCGCCCTCGGTAGTCAGGACATTGTCACCAAACTGTTTCAGGATCGCGTACGACTCGACCAGCTTGGGGAACTTCTCGCGCTGTTGCGTGATCTGGTGGATGGCTTCGGCGCTGTCGGTCACGATGAGGATTTGGAAGGGCGACACGATCATAAAGGTCTCGCCGATGCGCGCAAATGGTTTGTGGAGTTGGTTGTAGGACCAGTTCGGCACGAGGAGACTACTCGCAAGCAGTTTGTATTAGCACGAGCTTGATAGACAGACGGGGTTAGGCAGTACTGACTCGAGCCAGTTTTCCCACCAAGACTTGGGAAAGGTCTTGATGATGGGAATCCAGAACTTATGGGTGAGCTGCCATACTATCGAGAAGGGCGACGCAGCTTTACTCGGACGGTCAGTCTATGCCCGGACGGAGCTGGAAGCTGATTGTTTCCACATACGAGTTACGACATATGGCAAGCCGACCTTCTTCGCTTCGGCTATGTTGCGCTGGAGGCCGGTGAAGCAGGAGTAGACACCGTAGGCGACCACAGCTACAACAAGGATGTAGATTGATGATACCATGGCGATGTAGACCACCGGGTAGCAACAGGATCGCAGACGTTGCCCGGAAGGCGAGGAGACGGCCCAGACACAATGCCGGATCTCGAAGTTAGAATATTGTCGACCGCAGTGGGGCTAGATTCGACGGGAGATCGATGGGGTCCGTGTTTAGCCTTGATACCCTGCTTGAATCTGGCGTCAGAGTTGGAGAGAAGCTTGATGCCGTTGCGACGATGACAATATCTACACGAGAAAATAAAGACAAATCCCAAGCCTAAGGAAGAGGAAAAAAAGAAGGCTGAACGAAAGAAGGGAAGGAAAAGTCACAGAACCGTCATGGAAACAAAAGAATGACCGGAAACGTTGATTGCGTCTGAGAGCGGGACGGAACAGGGCCATGTGGCAGACCGTTGGCAGGGATCGAAGCTCTCTGGTTTCGGATCCAGCGCAACCCGAAACTAGCAGACCCCCTACCCCGTCCCATTGGCAATTGAGAGCGTAGCGTAGATTTTTAGCTTGACGGGACCCTGGGAGTTGGCCTTTTTTTGCCATGAAGCTCACTTCACAATGGGCAGCAGGTGATTCGTTGACACAAAAGTATGGCGGGAGGGTCAGAAGCTTAGTTATGCTCAATTGGCGCCGGCGGTTCAAGATGAGACAGTTTGTCAACTCGGCCAAAGTTGCCCTTGGATTGGATACTTTGAGAAATTGGCGGGTGAGTTCTGGTCTTTGATGCTATCAGTTCCAGGTAGTGCAAGCAGTGAATGCAAAGTCTTGATGATGGTTCAATAACCATCCATCTCGTATGTCGTGAACACCACCTCAACTTCAATCAGCCGGCTGCAGCAAGGGGGCAAAAGCGCCCGGCTGTTGGTTCCCAGCAGAGCGGGCCCAGCTGCGGGGAATCGCTTCCTACATAGCTGCAGCAAATGCCGCTATTGGTAGCGGAGCTCATCACCCGTACAAGCCCCCCCAGACCTGGAAAGTTGGCCCCTGCATGAAGCTGCGACAGCTACCTCTTTCCCCACGCTCTGCATGCCATGATAGGCCCGACGTATCGCAGGTGAAAAGCCGGCGAATCTTCCGTAGGTCTGACGTCTAATCAGACTAGCCTTGTTGCGGCAGCTTTGCGTTTGCGGAGACTGACGCGATGATAAACAGTACCGGGCTGTTTGGCCAAGAGACATTGTGTGGAGTTAGTGACAGTCGAAGACATGCGCGTCGGGTGCCAGGTCAAGGCCGTCTCGGCAGGAGCCGGCGCGGGATGGTGGCGTAGGGGACCCAGGTTCTTGCAAGCAGAAGAAGATTTGTTACTACACGAGGTCGTTGAGAGTTCCTACCTTTATGTTTCGGTTTTCTCTGGCAATCGATGAGTCTTGTTCGCAAGGGGCCGTCGCGAGTCTCCTCCTCTTCAAGATGCTTGAGCTGCCTGGGAAGCCCAACAACTAGACGTGCCTCTGCAACATAGCCGTCGCAAAGGTTAGCGAAATTGGGCGGCTCAACTCTCCGAGCAAACAAACCCGCAACCCAATGCATTGATCCAAATTGAGCTCCTTTGAATCAGCATGGTTGTCTTGTTGATAAGTTTGCGACTTCTTCTCGATGTTCCTAGTCGACTATTCGTCCAATCAGAAATTGACGGCAGTTGTCAAAGTCCTCTCAAACTCTAATAGATGGAGTTTCCAACAACCATGCATGACATGAACGCAATCTATCAAACGTAAAAGCTGCGAGTACAAACTTCAGACATATGGTGCCGTTGGACCTTTGCTCATCCCACCGTCGAGAACCAGCATGTTACTGGTGCGTCTGGGTCTTGAAGACTTTCGAACCTCAGAAAGACCGATGGGTTCGTGTGCAAGACTAGCTAAATTGAGGAGGCGGATCTTTCGCTGGATGAGGTTTCCTCCGCTCAATGACTTTGCTGTCCTTGTGTTCGTCTGGTATTTCGAAAGATTACTGCCGATCAACGGGTCATCTATAAAACTTTGATAAAGGCATACTTCCCGCCGTCTACTGGATAGCTTGAAGCGAGCAACGCTCATTAAGTTGTGTTCATCCTGCTCACCATGCAAATCTCGATCGCCCTTTTCCTCTCCTCATTCCCTCCAAACTAGCCTGTTCGCCGGGCTGCGAGCCAGACCGCGCCATCGCCCCAGCCGACTACGCCTGGCGCCTGGCTTGAATCCGACTACAATGCTGGCAACATCTCCCTTTGCAACGGCAGATGTGCCAGCTTCTGTACAGCGCCGCACAAAGTCAATAGGGCCCTACATAAACTGTGCCAAGTGGAACAGCTTGATGAGGTGCTTCACCAAACGAGGTCTTATATCTGTACCACCAACCAAGCCTCCGCGTGGGCCTTGCGTAGTATAGCGTCTTTGCAAATTACAATATACTTGTCTTGATTTCTTGTTACCCAAGGTGTGCTTTGAGTCACACCAATTGGACAGAATTCCTCCCCATTCAATTCAAGGTTCATCGCTGGCCGTCTCGATTTTGGGGACCGATGGCATACCGCGCTTTTCAAAGGCACCCAAGCCGGAACCAACGCCTACGTTTGACCAGCTCAAGCTTAATACAGTCTGAACTGTCCACTCACTCCTTCAAAACTCGTGATCTTGCCACCCAGCGACTTGGAGTCTCCATAGTAGCGGAACCGGTACGTCCCTGGCTCACCGTCGTTCTCCGTCTCCCATACAATCTCGACTTCGCTCGTGGCGAGTATGTCACTCGTCCGTCTCCAGTTGAAAATTAGACTCCAGTCGTTGTCGTCCCGCACTGGTTTCCATTGTTTGATGACGCCCTTGTCAATCACCAGTTTCTCGACAACAGCGTAATTCTGCTCCAGGCGCAGATTGTTGCGAGGGTTAGCCCCGACGAAGGTGGCTCGCACAACATCTCCAACAGTGTACTTCTTGTCCACATCTGTCTTGACGTCGCCAAAGCTGCGGAAGACGGGCGTTCCATCTCGCACTACGCCAGTGATAAAACTCAAAGATCGATTGCTGTTGTCGGGGGGGTATGGGCCTCCGGCATGAGGAGGTGGCCCCTTCGTGAAAGAAGCACTCAGAGTGGGTAGGTATTGAAGAGTTCGGTTGATGTATGCATCTAGCGTATAGGGTCCATATAGAGTTGAGGCGCCCTCATATCGTTGTATTCTGCCACTTTGGTCAGTCGCGTACGGCAAACTGCACAACGAATGCTTACCCGTATTCCTGTTGCGTTGTAATGTAGTGCGTATAACTGTTTGCTGGCCCTCCAATTACAACCACAGGTTTGACACCAGCCTCATCGGCAAACAGGGACTCGGCCTCGTGTCTGACGGCATCTTTCCATCGCCGTCCTGCCATAGTGGATGCCTCTCCAGGGCTAACGATGATGACCAATTGCCCAACTCGGAATGCCTGGATATCCACAATGTTGGGTGTCCACTGGTACGGGTTGAAGACCTCGCCGACATCCAGCAGAACCGGTTTAGGAGCATGACAGGCGATTTGATCCTGGGTGGGTGCCTTCAGCAACCCGCCAACGACCTTCCAAAGGGGCGACGTGTTCGACGAGTTTGAGTCGTGTTGAGTAAAGTCAAACGCACCAGGGCCGTCAGACGTCCCCGCTGCGAAAGAGTACCCCAATGCCGCAGGACAGGTCCGTACTTCTGTCCCGTTAGGCAGCTCGAACTGAAACTCCGACATGTTATGGAAGGTGTGGAATGACCTGACCCATGAGCCGCGGACTCGCTGGGCGCTGGGTCCCATGTCGTCAAATAGTTTTTTGGCAGCGGTGTACTGTCTCTTGCCAATTTCAAAACACGAGGCGGCTCCATTGTCCTTCTTCCGGAAGAATGGACCTCTGGCATGGCACTTCTGGCTCTTTCCGTCGCTGCAAGTACTTGTCTTGAAGTCGCACAGATCGCCAGAGCCGTCCTCGCAGAAAGCGCCCAGCACATTAGGACTGACATCCCCCATGTTCGCCTGAGAGAAGCCAGCAACGAAGTCTTTAGTCGCATGGGAGTTCCCTCGCACACTCTTCTCAAAAAGCCAGGCCGCTACGCCCTTGTTGTCTCCCGAGATGAGCGTGTTGTTGCCAAGCATGGAGGTGCCGTGGGTTGGAAACCATGTTAGCACACCAATGCTTTTGCCGTCAGAAGCTCGTTGGAACTTCAGCAGGGTCATGTCTTTCTCAACAGACCCATCCTCCTGAGCACTGATGTTGTACTTGGCGCGCTCCTCTTCCGGATTAGCCATGTACGCATACAAGCTGCGGTTGATGTTGGCGCCGGTGACCTTGGTTGAGCCAATACTGATGTGCCCTGGCTCCAAGCTCTCGTGAGCGCGCCGTATTGCCAGTAGCGTGCCGTCGACAATGGCTTGATAGCTTTGCTTGTCGAAGCCTTTACTGGTAATCTGGGGTAGTAGATAGTTCAGCCAAGCACCCGGACCGGAGTGAGAATGTGTTCCGGTCAGTGCCAGGTTGTGATGTCCGTACATGGAGTAATCGAACCCCAGCTCGGCGAGCCCGTGGAGGACGCCATACCGAACAGCTGTGTCTCCCGACTGTGTGTCCAATACAACATAGATGAATCTGTCGTTGCGCCTTTCCACACTTCCGACGATGAAAGCGCGGGCGTACAACCTCTGTCGGAGGCCGGTGCCAAGCTGTTTGGGGTCTGCGTAGCCCATCATGTTGATTTCTACGACCGGGCCCGTGATGTCGGCGCGGCCAGCGCCGATGAGATACAAGTCATTATCTGCGTCGATGTCGGCGATATTAGTGGAGGCTCCGGGGAACCATTTTCCGGTGTCATAGAAACTCCGGCTAGGCGTGTAAAGTCCGTAAACAACCAAAAGGGTCAAGACGAAGCCGACTAAGCAAACAAAAGCTCTCCGGGAGCTTGGTGGGGAAGCTGTTTGAGCCGCGGCCGCTAATGCGGGGCTCTTCTCGGCGCTCCGTCCAGGTGGCATGTTGTCCTCGCCTGTGAGAAATAGTGATTCTTTTTAAGAAGACATGTAGGAGAATTGAAGCGCAAATGGTGAGGATGAGCCACTGGACATGGAAGTGTGTTTGTTAGCGCTACGCCATCGCGAGGAGTGTGGCCAGGCAGGTGCGACACGGAAAGAACGGCCGGACCTCTGCAAGGGAGGGGCGGATGACGCATGCTCAAGGTGATTAATTGTTAGTGCACGGCCGCAGCCACCTTGTGGAACACCAATCCCCAATGACTTTCTTGTCTTTGGTATCGTATTCTCGCCTTAGATTCAGCCAGTGCAAGATTCCTTTACAGCTTCCTGTTTTCTAGTGTCCCAACTGTCACTTTTCAGTGGCTGGTCATGACCCGTTTTCACATTGTGGCACATAGGAGGAGCCTTCCACTTCAGTAGTCGATTCACTGAGCGATTGTAGACCTTTCTACTCCATGTGTAAGACGCCAGGGTTCTTAATATAAGACTCGTGTATTATATGAAAATAGCAGTACCAGAAATGACCATGATCAAGAAGTTGAGGAACGCCACATCGACTAAACCCGCCTTCCGAAGCGCACACTAGCCTCCCTCCACCTTCATTCATCGAGCGTCAACCGGTGTGACCTGTAAGCCGTGGCTCCAAAGACGTGACTTCAATAGTACTTGGGGTTCTTGGGGTCAGTCAAGTCGAATATGACGGATGAGTGAGGTCGCGCGCCTCCACGGTCGCGGCTGAAGATACTCTCAAAATCGATGGATCTGTTAAAGCTCAGACTTCCATCAGGGAGGATGTCAAGCCAGTGGCCCTTGTAGTCACCCGGCGTGTTTACGATCGAGATCTATATTTGAAATTGTACCGATTAGTAACTTTTCCCTACGACGCTCCATGAATGGATTTCATGGGAGGGAATGAAGGGAGCTCACATCACCGGCCTGCACGAAGTACCCAGTAACGAGCAGGTTCTTCTTATCAGGGCTAATCTTGACGTAGTGAGGACCGATAATAGGCTGCGTTTCGTTGGGGTCATCGAGCCTCTTGACATTGCTCAGGTCCGAGATGTCGAGCGCCGCGACGTGGTTGCCCAGCGTGATGGTAAAGTAGGCAAATTTGCCGTCGTCGGTGATGTCCGAGTAAATGGCCAACGAGTCCTTTGCCTTGGGGCCCAGGTCGTACAGCAGCTCGGCAACGCCCTGTTTGCCAGACGAGTCGCGGCGGAATGGATAGATGATCCAGACCTGGCCTAATCCGACAGCTCTGTGACATACAGATGATTAATACATGTTCGATCAAAGAAGGTAAGAGGAGACTTACGTGGCGATGGCAGCGCTCTCGGGGTTACCAGGAATGAATTTGACATCCTGAATACCCAACCCCTGAAGGATCATGTAAGCCATCCGAACATCTCGAGTGAATCCACCGAGTGTAGTAACTCACATTAGGAATAGTTATAGTCGAAATGATGGTCTTGTCGGACAAGTTCCACAGACGCAGAGTGCTCGCCTTCTGAATTCCCAGCGTCGGCTTCAGAATGGTTAGGGGCACCACAAAGTCCGAAGTCAGAATAATACCCTTGTTGAAGTCGACCGCAAGGCCGTGCGGACTAAACTGCTCGCCCAAGATGTTGAGCGTCCCAGCGACGTCCTCGGGCCACTCGTGGGTGATGTCGCCATCAGCGTTGGTCTCGACGAGGCGGCCAGGTGAGGTGCCTGCAGCACTGCCCATGTAGGTGATGAAAAATCCACTGGTCGAACCAGAGTGTCAGTAGGGCTTGTCTTTGGCAGAGGGCTTTGAGAAGGAGGTGCTAAGAGTAGGTACAATGAATGGGAAGAAAACGAACGAACCCCTCTGGCTTGGCTCGGATCTCGTCAACGACGGAACTCAATAGAGCACGGTTAGACTTCTTGAACTTAGGCGCATAGGGGTTGGAGACGTCGAAGTAAAAGGCGGTGTCCTGGGTCTTGAGGAGAGACAGGAGACCGCCACCGATGAGGGTCTTGCCATCGTGTGAGGTCCCCAGATGGTGAGGGGAGTTTCCACTCGTCGGCACATCAGTGAGGGCAACGATTTGACCGAAAGTGTCCTGGTATCCCAAGTTCCATTAGCACATATCTCCAAGAGTACAACTTGGGGCTCAGAACTAAGTAAAAGGGGCAAACAAGCGAGGAAAGCAAAGGGATCTATCATACATCGTCCAGACTTGCAGTAAGCAGAAAGTCCTTGTGGATGTTATCTCCAGCTCCAGTCCAGAAGTATCCAATCTTCTTAGGCTTGATGTTGGCACCGGTGAAAGGAGGGCTATCTAAGGGAGGCGTGGGGAGTTGAAGGATGGGAAGAGGAGGAGCAATAGAGCCCAAGGGCTCTGTCACGCCCGGGATAGAAGGAATGAGGGGAGGCAAACTGATGCCAAGTGGGCTTCGTTTATTCACAGGAGTGTGATCGTTGGTATTGATCGGTCCTGCTGCGACTGGAGAGAGCAGAGTGCTCACGAGAGCCGCGAGGGAGATCTTGGAGAGCATGGTGGAGTTGGAAATGTGATCACAAAGACTGAACGATGATGGGCAAAACTGTGTACTTCAAGAGAATCCGCGAACCAATTGTTATGGAAAAGGCTCCATTTTATACCTTAGCACCAGAGCGTTGGGCTTCTTCTCCCCCAAGGTCTTCCTGACTTCTCCGTCACTTCAAAAAGGTCTCTCTCTTGAAGATGTGTTGAAGTGGAAGAAAAATTGCTCATGGGATTCCGCACTTTAGCTACCAAAAGTAAAGTTAACTTCCAAACGGGGAGCGATCGACAATCGAAATAGTTGGACTGTATACAGATTTCTTAATAGACTAGCTTACTAGAAAAATGGTACTAAGAGAGTCCTCGTGAGATGAAGAGTGCAGATCATTCCATTCGGCACTCACACAACATGTTGTGTCTTCCCTAATACACACGGGCAGACGAGCTAACTTTGACTTTATTTCAATAGCTTGCATGGCATCATGGCCGACGAATTAAAGATCTGAAACTGTTGAGACCTGATATGGTATCCTAGAAACCCAATGATGATCAGCTGAGGCTGAAAGGCAGGGAATGTGTTGTAGCATGCGATGAAGCTGCTCATGACTTTGACCAGGACCTTGTGCGCAAAACTGGTTAATACCATGGCAATATTCGGCCATTGAGCAGAGATCTGTGAGTCAATAGGACAGACAAGATAGATATCAGACATGTCTAGGAGTCTCCTGGAGATATAGCGTATTCGTGGTCGACGAGGACACATGCTTTTATGAGACCCCCACTTCCAACGATATGGCCGATGGGTCATGTAAGAGAGACATGTCTAACAGACTTAAGCTACACATGATGAGCGGAAGCCATCTGGAGACATTTGACGAGCAGATTCTGAGGCCTCAAGCAGAGAAGCATTCAAGCCCGTATTCCATAGAATGCCATCATAGCGATGTCTCATCACGTAACACGGCACCAGCCCCTGCTTCACAAGGAAAATACCCAGCCATGTGTATCAACCCGTCAAGTGTGCGTTCAATAGATATCATAAACAATTCCAATATTCGCCAAAAGACAAGGGTAGAGAAGAAATTACGGCAGTCCATCTTGTCAAAGTAAGCTTCAATGGGAATAGGCTAGTGAGGTGGGATCGGCAGTCCACCCAGCCTCTGGCCCTCCCACCCCACGCTTTCTCCCGCGATGTCGTTATTTTCGGACATATGTCGTATGGCCGGGGTTGAGGCTACCGGTGAACCCGTTTCAAAGCCAACGACGGTCGATCAATTCAGCCGTAAGCTGCGGGCTCTGAGATGGCAGGTCTCGGCGACGTATTTCGATTGGTCCCGGGTCGATAGAACGGCCGGATGGTGAGAGTACCGTGCCATGGTCCATGTCGTCATCGCGAACCGTTGCTTGTGCAGATGCAATGTCGAAATTGCTGCTCATCATTTGAAGGAGACTTTGTGAGAGATTCCGCCATCGCCAGAGAGGATGAGAGGCTTCTGGCGAATGTGCGTGCGGAGTCTTTAAATCTTAACCTATCTAGAGAAGTATAAAGCCATTTCGAAGACATTGGCAATGCTCCCATCTCTGCTGTGTCTCTTGGGTCCTTCCGTACCACACATCATTACTGGCTCTCTCTGCAATCATGAGACTCCCTCAAGCCCCGGTCCTTAGCCTTCTTGTTTTTGTCGCCAGCACAACTGCTGTGCCCCAGAACGTGAAGAGAGACGCTCAATTCAACGTCGGCCAGCCCATTGACGCCAACGGCAAGGGAGGCCCGATTCTTGGTGAGCAAATCCTAGCCCATACACATGCTCCCAACTCAGCTAAGACGGTCCTCAGGCGGAACCAATAACCAGATCGATAGAGACAACCCCGACAACCTCGGCCAGCAGCCGACCGACAACGGTGTCGTGCCAAACCTGAAGTGGAGGTTCTCGGATTCCAAGACTCGCATCCTGAAGGGAGGCTGGGTGCGCGAGCAGGTTATCCAGGACCTGCCCCAGAGCCACGATATCGCGGCCGCTCAGCAGCACCTCAAGAAGGGCGCCATTCGCGAGTTGCACTGGCACAAAGTGGCCGAATGGGGCATCGTCTACTCTGGGAGCGTAATCATCGGCGCAGTCGGTGAGGACGGCAAGAGCCAGGTCGAGAAGCTCAACTATGGAGACATTTGGTGAGTCTCGAGCTGATCCCTTTTCCCTTCATCTCTAACCATGGCTTCAGGTATTTCCCCAAGGGGGCCGCTCACTACATCCAGGGGGTTGATGAAGAAAACGAGTATCTTCTAGCCTTTGACGAGGCTGACTTTGACAAGATTGGGTGCGTAGTCTAAACCCACCAGGAGGTGAAGCGGAACATTCAACTAACAATGTTACAGAACCACCTTCAACATCGTCGACTGGCTGGCTCACACCCCAAGAGACATCCTGGCCAGGAACTTTGGAGTTGACCGCTCCGTCTTTGACAACCTACCAGCCACGAACCCGTACATACTCAACGGGACGACGGCCACTACCGAAGTGACCGTCAGTCCAGACCAGTATCTGTCGGGCAACAGCTCGTTCGTGTACCGCACGTTTGAGCACCCGCCCGAAGTGGTCCCCGGCAACGGCGGCGAGTTCAGGAAGATCGATTCGACCAATTTCCCGATCAGCAAGACGATTGCAGCCACGTTTGTCACTCTGAAGCCCGGGGGGTTGCGAGAGCTTCACTGGCATCCCAATGCCGAGGAGTGGCTCTACTTCCACAAGGGTAAAGGGAAGGCAACGGCATTCATCGGAAATACTGCCGCGCGAACCTTTGATTTCGAGGCTGGGGATACGGGCGTATTCCCGGACAACTCTGCGTAAGAATGCCCGCTCAAGCAGCGCAGAAACTCGGTATATTGACCTGTTTTGCAGACATTACATCGAGAACACTTCCGACACGGAGGACCTGGTTTGGATTGAACTGTACAAGTCGGACAGGGTAGTAGACATATCTCTTGCTCAATGGCTGGCACTCACGCCACCCGAGATTGTTGCACAGACTTTGAAGGTTCCCGTCGAATTCGTTGGACAGTTGAAGAAGGAGAAGCAGATACTGATCTAGTCCATGGCGTGGTAACAGCGACCGCTACAGAGGACATTGCGCTTCTTACACTTGAAGTTCTCTTTCTCCCCGGCACAGGCCGAGTACTGTTTAGTAACCCAGATACTTGATAACTATTGAAAGTCTATTGGTGTAACTAAACCAAGTTGTTCTTGTTGGGACCAACCACCACGAGGTCACGATGGCTACGACCGACTCGTGTTTGATACTTAGAGGTGCACGGCAGCAAAGGCAGATAAGCGGGGTATGTATCGAGGAGAACTGGAGCCGCGGCTGGGAGTCAGCAAGTGCTACGACGCCACAGAAGAAAAGAAAAGAAAGATCCGAAAGCATCCTCAACTCTCTATCCTTTCCCGTTTGAGGCCAGACGAGACGGGAGCGGCACATTCAGTAGGATGGCAGCATGCGTATGCAGGCAACCCTGGGGGACCAGAGCGGGAAACTCTATCAGCGGCTAGCGGACTTTGGCCAAGCGTATTGCCCGGTGCGGCCAACAGGAGGAGGGTTGACGGCTGCCATCAACCATGCTACCCCCGATCACGCGGGATCGTATGATGGATTAAAGTTGTGCTGCCGTGGATGGAGCCATCAATGACAGGGCAGGTTGCAGAAGCAGCCCATTGACCTTCCACGAGCTGCGGCGACCATCGCGAGTGTGTCCAAGAGACCCACTCTTTCGTCTTATCGACTGCAAAGGGGAGATGACGGTTATCTGGCTCGTGGGATCGTGTGGTGTGAAGGGGGAGGGGACAGAAGAAAGCGCAGAATGGCCAACTAGGCCAGTTGACCGACCCTTGTTCTTTCACGTCGCTAGTCAAACGGCACTTGCTCTGAGCAAATCATGACATGCCCGCAGTCGACACCACGTTGGAGGCGGAATGCGGGGAGACGTGGCCAGAGACAGTCTTGGTCCAGACAGCTTCAAACTCTCGAGACAAGAGTTGGTGTCGACACTGGCTCGCAGTTGACCAGCACCCAGGCCGTTCCTCCACTCCTGCACCGCGGCATGGCAGGGATAGGAGCTTTACGTCACCTCAGTCTCTCCGGGTGTTACATAGTATGTATATCAGAGGTTGGGGATCATCCCCTTCTTCGACTGGGTGTCGCACCTAGGATTGCCATTCGCCAGTCAGGAAGGTTGATAAGGCATCGGGAATCGGGGATGGGTAAAGTTGGATCTCGCCATGATCTCCAAGGTCTGGGAGCTTGGATCCAGTCGCTCATACATAGTGCCTCCAGGATATGCGAGCCGCGGGACGGCGGCAGGTACCACGGACGGCACCAGAGGCGACAACGGCGATTGAGCATTGGTAAGGTTCGATCTGAAGGCCATGCGGCCAATCGAGACCCTGAGGATCGCCAGGGAAGTCCAGGGCAATCAGCCGGTTGTTCTTGGAATCTCGTGTCTTGGTGGGGGCCAGCGACGAGCCAGTCCAAGAATTGCGTCGCATCGTCCGAGTGGCAGTGCTGGGAAATACATAGGTAGTATGTCGTCCATTGGCGAGACAGAAGGAATGCCGCAGTGAATCGCTTTGGTCCTCGAGGAACATTGGCGTGGTAGCTCATCCCTTCCGCATGGGGACGGGGGCCGAGAGGTCAAGTGAGCAGCTGGAGGCTTTCCGGTAGGACGGCACGCAGTGTCATCGGCAACGGTTACGCAGTTCGTGGTGGAGACGCGTTGCTGGTGCCGGGATGCTGCATTGGTCGAAAGCGGAAGAAGAATAGACGGGTAATTGGGTTGGGCTGCCATCCATATTGTGCATGTCACAGACCACAGGCCACAGGCAACAAGCGCTCTAGAGGGAGTCTGGAGCGGATTGGGAAAGACGATCGTGACAAACACAGTCGAGAGTTTACGAGACTCCAAAGTCGCCACGGAGTCGGCGACTAGAAGAAGGGACAAACAACCAGAGGCGATGGGACTCGCAAGGTGAACCATGTCATGTCGCAGAGGGAGCCCCTACCGTGGACTCTGTACACACTATTTCTTCACGAATGGGGTCCTCTCCGTCTCGCCGCTGTTCCATGGATGAAAGTAGCCGCCCCGTTGTTTGTGTGTCATCGGGGCCCGGCCAGTCTGCCACAGCTGGAGCCAACGGAGTCGGATGGACTGGTACATTCAACAAGGCAATGCGCTGCAGAGCGAAGCGGATTGCATAGCGAATCGTCGCCCAGCTGGGCGATTGGGAATGGGGAGCCTAGCAATAACATGGATTGTAAACATTCATGCAGCCTCATGGTCACTTTCTCCTAGGGCATCTAGGCCTGGTCCCCGACTTCAGACCTGGATCCTTCCCTTTCCCCCTTTCCCCCTGCTCTGCTCATGCTTTGCGCTTCGTCATGGCCACAAGAACCAGATGAAACCGAGTTTTGCCAACTCCCCGTCTTGCTAGGTGATTATTGCATGGAAAGTTCACTGCACCGGTAGTGTAGTCATAAGTCAGTTGTCGTTCAATCACATCCCCCTCCGAACCGAACCCAATTGCATTACCCTATCCTGCTTTCCAATTTACACACACGCATTCGCTCAGCTTTGGAGTGTCTCTGTGCATTGTGTCCTTGCTGTGGTTTGTCAGACCTGTCTCTGAGCTCAACTGAGCATACCTACCCAGCGACCTTGGAGATAGCTGAGAAGCTCCTCCGACGACACACCTCTGTGTACCGCCTGGTATCTACTCCAAACTCGGTCCCCCGATACATCGGTACCTCGTTGCAGTACGTACCCCCGTCCACTTGCTCTGTCTGTCCCGCCCGCCCTTCATCACCTCTGCCGGGTAACTGCCCCCCTCTGGCTCTGGACCCGGCCTGACTTCACTGTTCCGTTCCCCTCTCCCCAAAAAGAAAGGGGCCCCGCTAAAAACCACTAAGACGCACCCGCCGCCTTACAACCCACCAGCACCTCCAACTCCCGTCACATTCGTACTGCATCCCACTCCTTCTACCTCACCTTCGACATCCCTCCTCTCCCTTCTTCTTCTTCTTTTTTATTTTATTCTACCGCTTCCCGCTTCGGTCCTGCAGCGAACGGCCAGCACCAAGTTCAAGTTCGACCCCCGCCGACAAGATGAACCCTCTCCAGAAGAACAAGATTGACGTCTCGGTACGTGAACACCAACCTCTCGCTACCCAATGCCCCACCTTGGCGATGAAGCCCGCGGTGGCATCACGACTCGCAACGCGATCCGCCCTTCTCTGCTAGAACCAACGTGCCTTTCGCTGACTCCATCCCGTCGCAGTCCCTCTCGCCCGAGGAACAGCGTCTCTTTCGCCTCTACGGCAAGCTCCCCTCTCGGTCCGATCACTTCGCCAAGCACCTGAAGGACCGCAAGTACTTCGACTCGGGCGACTATGCCATGTCCAAGGCCGGCAAGGGCGACAGCGTCGACACGGGCGCCGTCGGCTCTCAACATCCCGTTCCTGAGAACATTCCCCACCTCTCGAGTCCCGTCAACAATTCCTCGTCCTCCCTCAACGGCAACAAGCACCATGGCAGTATCCCCAGCGGCGCCCACGCCGGCAGCCCCGTGAAGGAGGCGAGCTTCCTCAACCGGGAGACCAGCGCCGAGGAGGTCGAGCATAAGGACAAGGAGAATAACTCGCCAGTGGACGGAATTGCCAAGACGGAGAGCATTCCTATCCGAAGATGAGGACGGGCTCGAACGACCTTTCGTCTACCTAGTCTACTCTCTTCTTCCTCTCCCAGGTTTCGCATGGGTGTTGTTGAAACTCCCCGGAGGCAAATTGGGTGTTTGTCGGGGCCGGGTTTCTACTATGATGTTATGATGCTGTGTTGAATCTTTTTCACGGAACTCCTAAGGCGTTGGAATCGGGTGGGAACCAAGCACAAACGGTTGTTGATGGAAACGAGACTTGTTGTCTCCCGGCTTCCCTGTTGTGGATGAATTTGCGGACTGCGGCGCCCTATCGACGACGCACACCCCTGGACATCCTTTCCGCGATGCGCGGCACTATTCTGAAGACTGAGCTTTTTACCGTATATGTATTTTGGACTGAAGGAGGAGGCAAGAGAACGACACATGAAAAACAAACAAATCGAGACTCTCTTCGTCTAAATCGCATGTGCATGTGCGTCTTGCCCGACCGGTGTATCTTGATCTATTTCGCCAACCAGCTGTCGAGGCCTGAGCGCGCTGCTGATCGGCTTTGGCATGTGACTCCTAGAGGCAGCATTGGCTTTCCCAGACGCATGCGGACTTCAATTAAACCGCTCGAGTTGCATGGACTTGCTGCGATAACATCAACAACAATTGTAAGTCATTTCCCGATAATTCTGTATGGGGAGAGAATCGGCGCCTTCACAGTTAGAACATCACAAGGCGACTTGCATGGGGCGACAGGCATGATGGGAAACCAATATATTGATGAGCAATAAGACACTTTTTCTTTTGATGCCATACGCCGTCTCATGTTCCGATAACCTTCCTTCCAGTGACCATTCCCACGGGATGCCCTTTTTACAGACCCAATGCCTTGATCGCCATGTCCTTGGCGCCATCAAAGGTCTTGTTTCCACCAATGAAGCCTGCCGCATGGACGAAGACGCAGCCGGGAATGCCAGAGATGCCGTCCAGCTCCTCGTCTCTGAATCCGCGCCACGCCTCGGGGAGCGGCTTGCGGCTCTCGAACGAGTCCTTGGTGACGGGCACTGCCTGCACACGCCACTTGGCATCAGGGGCGGGCTTCTCGGGGTACAGGACGTACACGACCGAGGGCTTGCCTCCTTCGAGCGAGTAGAGATGGTCCTTCCAGGGGGCGCTCTGGCCCTCGAGCACCAACACGCGGCCCTCGGGGTCGTACTGTGTGCGTTTCTCGAAGGCGGCCTGCACGACAGCGCGGGCGGGCAGCCACGCCTTGGCGTAGTAGTCGAGGTCGGCGTCAAACTCCTCGCCGATGCGGCGGCTCGCCTTGACGAAACGCTCGTCCTCGAGCTTCTGGGCCTCGACGGGGTCCGAAGGAATCGGGTCGTTCCAGTTGGGGTTCAGGCGACCGACGACGGAGCCGAGAGTGAAGGCACCCTCACTGAAGCGCTTCTCGAGACCCGCGGCGGCGACGGCCTTGGGGTCATAGACGGAAATGCCGTTGTCGTGAGCATCCAGGGCCTCGACGAAGCTCTCGTACAGCTTATTGTACAACAGCTCAACTTCCGCGCTGTCCTCGGCGACGGGCTTCTCAGCGCCCTCGCTGAGCTTCTGGGCGATTATGGCCTTGCCAAAGTGCATGAAGACGAGGCCGGCACTCGACAGCTTGGTGTTCTTGCCGGGGAAGGTGGTGGCGAAGCCGCGCTGGTGGTGGTCGTAGCGCTTCTTGCCGTCGTCGTACTCACCGCCGACATCGACAACGGTGTGGCAGGTCTCGAGAAGCTTGGGGTCGCGAGTGCGGATCAGCTGGGAGTCGTGGTAGGTGGGCAGCTTGCGCAGCATGTGCACAGCCAGGGCCTCATCGGCGTGGAAGTGGCCATTGTGGGTGCCGATGGTAACGGGCGACATCTTGAGTCTCTTTGCTGCGTTTTCGGCCATTCGTAAGGGTCTGAAGAAGCGGAACATGCAGTTGTGGATAGGAGACGGGTTTAGTGAGTGAAATAAAACCTTTTGTGGGAGCTGCAGTTCAGTCGATTTCCAACTTCTCACTCGATGTGAAGACGAAGAATTGGAGAGTTTGAGATGTGATAGCCACACCCCACTCTTGTCTTCTCGACCCACACCTTTACAACTGATGTGAGCTTGCTTGACTTAACCCCCGTGTGGCTGTATTCTCGACGTTTTCCCAAGCTCTCACTGGAGAGAGGTGGCCAGGAACGTGCATCGCAGCCTCGTCGTCGCCCTGCATCCGCGCGCCCGTGGAAACCCCGTACGCAACCTCTCGCTCTCCCAACTCCCAGTCAGCTCTTAATGTCATCAACAGCAACAGCAAATCTCCTCGACTACCAATGGTAGGAGATACCTGCCATCTGCCCTAGGTCGTTCAAATACCCCCTTTCGATTAATCAATCAATCGATATCATCTCCGATTCGCGATTGATCGCCCCATTTCAACGATTACCGCAAACCCTCCCCGTTCGTTGTCTGCGCTCCATGCCATCCGCGATGAGTGACGCTAACGGCACCATCACGAGCCGTGAAGTCAAGGCCGAGGGCCACGACTCCGACGACGGCAGAACCGGAGAGGGCAAGGCGACGTATAAGTCATGGAAGAAGAAGTATCGCAAGATGCGCATCACATTCGATCAGAAGATGCACGACTGCGAAGAGTTGCATCGTCAAGAGTCTCACGCGCTTGCCACTGCCAAGCGCATCGCCATCGAGAACGAGTGAGTTTGCTAAATCTCATCAAGAAACAGCTCCCCCGTGGAACGTTGCGCAGCGCGTTAACACCTTTTTTACCAGTCGCATACTCGACCTGCTACTGGACATGAACTCCTCAGCTCAGATCCCCTTCGACAAACGCTTCCACCTCGCACAGGATCCCCCTGAGGACTCTTCCTTCCCCCTCTTGACGTCGATCAAGAGGCAAATCCCGATGAACCTACAAAGTCGCTCAAGACGCTCCTCAAGGAGGTCCCGCACTACACGTACACCCAGGCAAAGGAGCAATACCCCACCGTCGTTGCCGACATGGAGCCTTTCTCCGGCGAGCCTCATCCCCCGTCCTTCTTGACGCCCGATGACATCGATGACTACGTCCACGATGTTGACAGACGCATCGACCCCGACAGCCTCCTCCCAACGCTGGCGCCCGCCGCTCGCACGAACGCCCCCCTTCCGGAGACCAACCCCCACGCCCTCTCCCAAAGCATCGCCATGAAGAACCCTACAAGCGTTTACAACTGGCTGCGCAAGCACGCGCCCAAGACTTTCCTGCAAGATGCTGAAAACGCTGCTCCAGCCGCCGACGACGAGGCCGTGGAGACCCCCCAGACCGATGGCCGTAAGCGACGCGGCGGCGGACACAGGGGCGAATCAACCCGCGGCGGCCGATCTCGAGGCGGAAAGCGCGCTTCTTTGGCAGCTGTACGGGCCGAAAAGGCCGCGCAGAGAGCCGCGGAGAAGGCCGCCGCTGCCGCCGAACGGGCTGCAGCTCTGCGACGGGACGCCGATAGCTACGACCACAGCATGGAGGACGAGGCGGACTCAGACGGCCCTAGCTTCGCAACGCCGGCCACGGGTCGTGGCAAGAGAAAGCGCGCCGGCAGGGATGAAGACGAGGGATACCGGCCTAGGGGCTCGAGCAGCCGACCGACCAAGAAGAAGCGTAAGAGCGAGGGCGCTGACATCGGGACCCCTACGGTTACTAAGAGGGGCCGCAAGAGTGAGGCTGCGCGCGAGAGAGACGATTAATGGCTCTCTGTAGATGGCTGGCGTATTCAAACCTGGCTGGGAGCGAGCCAGCTGCCCACAGCAACCAGCAGGTCTGCATCCGGGGTACGCTGGATAATTAGATTCTTTTACGCGTAGCCGCCTGTCGACAGCATCTGCAGTCCAGTAGGGCAAGGCAGCTCGAAAACCCCGGGATGCACGGCTGAGAAAGAATTCAGCGCGAAACACTTTCTTCCTTTCTTTCTAGACTTGTACAGTACATCATACAATGATGGTTGTTTTCCTTTTTCTTTCGACTGCCAGGGAGGCCGAGGCTTACGAGCATGTACGTGGGTGAGAGAGTAGGGACAGAGCTCAAGGAACGGCGCAACGGAGATTCTTTATCAGATCCAGATTGGGAGGAGGGCAAAACTAGGGACAGGCAATGGCACGATTCTTTTCTTTCTTCACCTTTCACTCTTCTTCTCGATCACTCTGTCATCGAGCTCGTATACCATCGTCTTTTCATGTGAAATTGGCTTTCGAGATTTTACCACTGAGCTGGCCTCTCCTATTCGCATGTGGCCTCTCAGTCCCTTTGTCTCTCTCTCGTAGTGTCTGCCTTCTGCAGGGTTGATGCCTAGACAGGTATGATATCAAGTAACTAAAAGAAATTCCGAAGAGAGGAAATGGAAAATACAGAGATATGTGGCCATGCTGCCGCCGCCGCTGCTGCTGTTGCGTTTAAATGCCAAAAAAACAAAAAAAAAAGAGATCGCAAGCCCATAGATACAGACGTGTTCTTAAACAAGAGATAACCTCCCGGACTCTGCCACCTAATTTTTTTTTTCTCCGACATTCCTGGAGTCTATCCCGAGGGAAGCTCGACTTTCCCCCCCTGAATGTGGTATGGTACGCTCTCGATGCCTATGACAACGGACCACTCTACAACTTCTCCTTGAGGATGTTCTTCATGCGGCGCTCAACGGCGTTGAGGTACTCGTTGGTGGTAACGTAGTCCTCGCGGGCGGACTTGCCGCAGGCCAGGGCGAGGTCCTTTGTCATGATGCCGTCGACGTCGACGGTGTCGATGCAGGCCTTCTCGAGGGACTCGGCGAAGGCGACAACCTCGGGGGTGTCGTCGAGCTTGCCGCGCTGGATGAGGCCGCGGGTCCAGGCGAAGATGGAGGCGATGGGGTTGGTCGACGTCTCCTTGCCCTTCTGATGCTCACGGAAGTGGCGCGTTACGGTGCCGTGGGCCGCCTCGGACTCGAAGGTCTTGCCGTCGGGGGTGATGAGGACCGAGGTCATGAGGCCGAGGGAGCCGAAGCCCTGGGCGACGATGTCGGACTGGACATCACCGTCGTAGTCTGGACGTTGTGTTAGTCATTGTTCCCCGAGCATCAAAACGTGGTAAAGGCGGCAGGGGCACTCACTCTTGAGAGCCATGATGTAGCCACCGGAGCTCTTGATCATTTGGGCAACCATGTCGTCAATGAGGCGGTGCTCGTACCAGATACCGGCAGCCTCGAACTCGGCCTTGTACTGGGCGTCGTAGAGCTCCTGGAAGATGTCCTTGAAGCGGCCGTCGTACTTCTTGAGAATGGTGTTCTTGGTGCTCATGTACAGGGGCAGCTTCTTGGTAAGGGCGAGCTTGAAAGAGGCGTGGGCGAAGCCGGTGATGGACTCGTCCGTGTTGTACTGGGTCTGGGCGACGCCGCCGCCCTCCTTGAACTTGTAGACCTCAATCTCCTGGGGCTCGCCGCCTTCGGGGGTGTAGACCATCTTGAGGGTGCCCGGGCCGGGGAGAACGGCGTCCTTGGCGCGGTACTGGTCGCCGAAGGCGTGGCGGCCGATGATGATGGGCTTCTTCCAGCCGGGCACCAGGCGCGGGATGCGGGGGATGACAATGGGCTCACGGAAGACAGTGCCGCCGAGGTGGTTGCGAATGGTACCGTTGGGGGAGAGCCACACTGTTAAGAGGGGAAAGTGAAGCCATTGAGTTAGCCTAGTTCTTCTTCTTGTCTTGGGGTTGCAACTCTGGAGGAGGAGGAGGGGTACAAGATGCAATGACGAGAGCTATGCATAACCCCAGGGGAAACTCTATGCAGGTTCCGGCGCCGCCTCCCGAAGTGTGGAGGACGGGCGGGACGAGACAAAGTGATCGGAGCCGTAAAAAGTGGAATTCCAGAAAACCCGCCATGGGACGGAAGTCCTAAGCGGATGAACAAAACAATGAACTCACTCTGCTTCAGCTTGAACTCCTTAACGCGGGCCTCATCGGGAGTGATGGTGGCGCACTTGACACCGACCGAGTACTTCTTGATGGCCTCGGCAGCGTCGAGTGTGACCTTGTCGTTGGTCTCGTCGCGGTAGGGCAGGCCGAGGTCGTAGTACTTGAGGTCGATGTCGAGGTAGGGGTGGATGAACTTGTCCTTGATGGTTTGCCAGATGATGCGGGTCATCTCGTCGCCGTCGAGCTCGACGACGGGGTTCTTGACCTTGATCTTCTGGGCGGCGGAAGCCATTGTGCGGGCGGCGATGAATGACGCGGGGGCGGCGGAGAAGCTGGACGGGGGAACGACGAAGGATGGCCGGAGGGCGAAAGTCGCGGGACGGCGAAGGAAACGGGCTGCGTTCATGGTGACGGTCGTTTTTGGTAGCGGCGGCGGTTGCGCGCAAATATGAAGGGTCTTTTCGGCTTCTCGGTCGGTCGACGGCGGGCGGGGGAGGTAGAGTATGGGCCGCGGTTACTAGGACCGGGTAGTGTGATCCGGCAGCTGAGCGTCGGGTGGTGGCGGCAGCAGGATGCAACAAAGGCGACTGGCTTCGGGAGCTTGTGTTGGCTCGCTGCAGGTTTCAAGAGTGCAGGAGAATAACGTACATGGAGGCGCTTCAGAAGCCAAGCTACGACAAGGTGCTGACGATGACGAAGCTACGAACTAGAGTATGTTCGGTCGGAGGAGGGAGAGGAGGATGAGGGGAAGTTCGCAAAGGTTAATGGTAAACCACGTTGGAGAGGAAGAGGTGGTGAGGAAAACGGCCGGTTGCAATTGAAACCCCTCCAGGGCAAGAGGAAACAGAGTCAAACAAGAGTCAAGCAGCAGAATAGCAACAGCAAGCGGAACGACAGCCGAGCCGAGATCGTCACAGGTGTGCTTTACTTCCGGGGACCGGTGTGGGCGGGTTAGACGAAGCTACCAGAGATATTGAAGTAGAGGTACCACAACAGCTCTGTTTTTGCGGGTATTCTCCATGGTGTTTGTCACCATCCGGTGGTCGCAGAGGTTGCGAGGCCTAAGTAGAACGACTAATTTGACCGATGGATAGCATCGGCCCCAGTCAGGGAAGGGGCCCCTCTTCCCGCCTCGGACCTCTTTTCGGCCTTTGCTCTTTTGGGTTCTTCACTTCTGAGGTCTGATGAGTCCTTTTTTTGATCCTATATCGGCATATAGTCTTGGACCGAACCTTGAGCTTAGGGCTTTTTTTTTGTTGCGACATTTGCCCCTTTAGCTGTGGTTGTAAAAGCATGTTTTGGACAAGCCGCCCTACCTGCGCTGCTCGAAGCATCAACGCAATCAACACGTAAATCTTCTGCAGCAGAAGTCTTGTTCTGCAGATAGCACTTCTTCATGTCTCAGAACAGGCGCCTGTGACCAACCCTTGGCCCTTCTACTATTTGCGGACCAATGCCAATCCGTCGTAGGAATGGGTAAAACGTGATGGGAACAATGCAAAGAAGGAGTCTGATTGGAAGGGTTAAAGAAGGCCCTGCCCCCCATGCGGACTCGTTCAGTCTTTTTTGCCCTCTCTTCCCCACATGTTGCCAGAGCTTCATGCGGGGAAAGCAAACAGGCGAAACAGCATCCGAAGTTGTCGCCTTCCAGGCTTTCAACGGACGAGAGTGTTGTGCACACACAGTGATTATTGTTTCGTCTGTTGTTGCTCGAAGCTGCTAATTCGATTTGATTCATAGAATAACTGACGTCAGGTCTAATTGATCCTGAGCTAATTGAGAGGTCCAAGTCGGAATACCTGCGCGTGCTTCGCGATTGCGCACGAGTTGGCCAAGCAGTACTGTTTCTGCCATTTTACGGAAGTTACGCGCTCCCCTACATTCAAGATGAAGCACTACATACGGTTGAAAAGACTCATACCTATTTCACCTTCGCATCGACCCAGAACATGCCAGCAACGAATGCACTTGTCGATACAGGCCTTGGAGCTTTCCCAAAGGACCCCTGTGATAGCTTCAAAAATTTGACATGCCTCAATAAAGGAAACTCCACTATGACTCCTTTTTCCGCCAAAAAGCGGAGCAAGGTCGCTCCGATCTCGGCGGTACTCGATCCCGTGCAGCCGACCTCCCGCGATAAGATCGCAACGACCACCGAAGCACCGAGCTCAGCCCACCGAGGTCCGTACCCTAGGCCTGCCTTATGTAACCCTTTCCAAGACACAATGCTTACCTAATGTGTCGATCTTCAGCTCAACATCACGTGCATCTTCCAACCCTCCCTCCGCCCGACTGTGAGAGCTGCACCGGCAATCTTCGCGGTCCGCGGGGCCTTGTGCATACGTGACCGACCGACTTATAAGGCTACCTACGCAATCCGTGCCGACAACAATATTCAATAAAACGTCAGGCCAGGCACGTAGCATCCAAAAGATCCCACCAAAACGCAACCTCAGCCCAACAAGACCTGCAATGCAACTCCTACCCTCTTGCATGCTGCAGCCAAATCTGCCTGTCAGATATCGGTATCCTTCTTGTGTCGTGTCTCGTGTGCCCCCCGGGCGCCTACGTACACTGCCTCTTAGCATGTGTCCTTCGCATCCGGAGAATGAGTCCTTGTCAGACAGGAGGAATACACATGCAGGCTGTGTAACCGCCAAGAGGCCCGAGGGTGTTGTGCACCTTGACGTCGCCGAAATTCCAGGGTATTTGATGAAGCTCGACATACGGCCGAGGGGTTTAGGATGCCGCCTCGAAGCCCGGAAGCCAATCTGCCAACCCGTAAGACCGCCAACCCGGACGGACATGTCAATGTCTCACTTCTTACCTCGACTGCCCAGAACGGCTCAGCCCTATCCCGTTCCCTTACCCCTCCATCAACCCCTCATATCCCTTCTTGTTTCGGCTCTACAAGTTACGAGAATCGGATGCGGTCGATCGGATAGTCGGTCAGATCAAGGCAAAAATTCCGCCTGCCGTCATCCCACATCCGAGGGGATCTTCGCTGGTGGTGTCTCACTGGAACAAACCACGTCCACTGACGCAAGCTGCAGAGGATCCTTTGCTAGCCTCCCAATATCTCACTTGTTCTTTGCGTTGGGCCACGACAGCGACGATGACGACGATAACGTTGTTGTCTTCGTCGTCGTCGTCGTCGTCGTCCCGTGATGAGTTGCCGAGGACAATTCCAGCATAAACAGCACTTTTCTCGTCGGGTACTTACTTACCATCAACCTAACCTGGCCGCCTGCATAGCACAGCTTTCGCCGAACCTTCCAATCACTGATCCGCACCCGTATCCGACAATGCCATGCCGTGCTGTACCCATGCTTCATGCCCCATGCCACGACCACGCTGCGCCGCGATGGCGCTAAACCCAACTCCAATCCCAACCCGTTTCGATGACTCAAAACAGGGTTCCGTTCACCTCCTGGCGCTACTGCTGTACCCTTCAGGCAAAGGGAGACAGGCAGGCAGGGCACGCTGGATGGCCTCACTACCATGCAAGTGTGCGTGTGTGCTGTATATGCGAATGGTTCCGCATACTGGCAAATAAGAGCACCCTTCGCCGCCTGCTTTCTCCCACGCCTCCAATAAGCATAAACGCTGCACCCATGCGCCCATGTTGGCGCCAAGATTCCTTATTTCTACGCCGTACACGTATGTACACCGCTGCGCAGCCGCCGTTTCTCTCTCAAGTAATCAATATCTCCTGCGTCTCAGTCCGCCATTCCACTCAGTCTCGCCGACCTTGACATTTCCTGCGGCATTAGCAACGGCGGCACCTGCGCCAGCAAATCATGCCTGCTCGGAGTCATGACCGAGCGCGTCTCTCTATCCCCACATTGAACATCCGTAAACGTATGCATACTGACACCATGTTGCGCTAGATGTAGATGCCCCGTGGAGAAACAGACCTTGCTATCTCATGGCGTATCTGGAAAGGCAAAGACAAGAAACTAGCTCTCATGGATCACCACCCCGAGTGGGAAAGCCCCAAGGTAGAAGATTAGAAAGCTATGACATGCATGTAGGTACTGTAATTTGTATTACTATCCACCACCACCACCACCACCACCACCTAACATCACCCGAGCACCGAAGTCCCAGTTCTCTCCATGTACCTCCATCAGTGTATGTACGGTAATCTGTCGATTCTAAGCCACCACCACCCGTCTCCCCGCACCCTGCAGGGCATGCTACGCTAGCCTCCTCCCAGCTTCCACCCCCCCTCAATACCTCACACCCGCTCCCATCCCCAATCATCGTTCTCGGAGAACGACTGTACAAATCGAGAAAAATATGCCCTGCCCATTCCGTGCCATCATCAGACGCTCCCGCAAGGCTGTTTCGGTGGACTTCTGTGTCACCATGTAACCGAGGAGGCTAGTTTCACTTCACTCCTCCACCATTGAACAGTTCCACCACCACCCTTTCCCGCCTGCCACACTTCTGCTCATCTTACCTGACCCAAGGCCTGCCACACCACTGCTCGGTATGGCGATAGTAAGTGCAATGTAGCTCGTTTCTGTGCAACACGGGTTTGCTTGCTTCCTTCCGTGACTCCCTTGCGGCAGACATTGGCGGGGTTGGCTCATCTCGTGTGCTTAGCCTCCCGCTCCCGTCAGCCGTGTGCGATGCGATGCAATGCGAAGTGAATTTGAAGCGGATGTATTTCCGAACAGGGTATCATTGTCTTCCTCTCCCTCTATCCCTTCCCAGCTCCCTGCCTTCCATTCTTGCCTTCTCCGTTACATTATTCCCACGTTCCTACTGCCTGGTTCGTTTGTCGTCGTTTGATGTCGTAGCAGTTTTCGTCATAAAAAAAAGGAATAGAAAAGAAGAGATATCTCCCCTCCGGAGAAAGGTAAGCCGTCGCCGTACCGTATGCATGTCCACCCGCCGTCCGACCAGCCCAGTCAGAGACCCTTGAATGCCATGCCTCGAGTGCGAGGAGACCGAGAAACCGACCCACATCAACCATTAAAACCACCTCTGATCATGCCGAATATGCCTTGCGCCACACCTGCAAGGTGCCCCAATCGTCATCCGTCGTATCAATCAATCCGTCTCTAGCTCTTCTCCCCCTCACACCCTTCTCATCACCCCCCAGTCCCATGAAAATCGAACCAAAACCAGACAGGGAAAGAAGAAAGAAGACACAGCCCCCGCCGCCATGCAGAAAAACAAAAACACCACAAGAAAACCTCTGACTAGGAGCATCTTGGGGTCAAACACCATACACCTGGCAACACTAAGGCTACTAGACCCAACCATCTTGTTGTCATCCTAGCCCTGTGTGCTCGAGCGGCCCCCCTCGCACCGTTCAAACAGAGCAAGCCGAAATGTTTCCAAGGGAGGGTTACCAAGACCATCGTCAGATGCGGAGTGGCCAATGCCACACAGCCCGCATGGAACTCTTCTGGAAGCCTTCCCACTTGAGCAAAGCTCGGCGTCGAACGACACCTCCGCTTGCAACCCTCCCGCTCCACATGACTGCTTGGGACCATGCTGCACATGCCCAATCGCAACCGGGTAACCTTATGGCCTTTTGAGTCCGTTACGGAGAGTCCATGACTTTGCTGCAACTGCGCCGACCACCCAGTTCCGAAAGAGAAAGGGAGCTGCAGCATGGCCGAGTGGTTCCGACATGATTGGCCCTGCTAACCGGCCCTAAGCCTGCCAACGTCATGAGCTTGTGCTGCCTCAGCCGCACTTTTGCAAGTGGACCGGACCAAACAAGAAGACGAGGTTCGTTGTCAGGTTGTCATGTCGTGTGGGTGTCGGGCAACGGCCCCGGCTCCTGGTCTCCGAGCTTGGCTTGTGTTTCGTTTGCGAATATCGACCGCTACCCATCCATATGGGGAAACAGTCGTCCATGCTCCTGCAGGTGTGTGCGCGCGCGCCTGTGTTCTTCATCTCTAGGCATCAGCCTTTAACACTCCCGCCCAGTGGGAATCCACCTCAAGCATGGGGCAGTGCCCTTGACGTCCCTCAGTGCCAGCCTCTCGCACGCTTGCGCTTGTCTTCGCACGGGTTTTTGCACTTGGGGCAGACGTGGTCGGGGTACGAGTTGACGTCGACTCTGATCAAGCATTTCGAGCACCGCCACCACCGTGACGAGAGGTTGCGTCCTTGGAGCCAGCTGTCGTCCACGTGCGTGCCCCGCTTGAAGATGTCTTCGTTGTGGTAGTCTCGCAGGTGGTCCCGGAAATGGTCCCGTCGTCCGAACGGCTCGTTCCTCCGCGAACACTTTGGGTAGTCGCACTTGTGAGCTTCTTTCTTGGACGGGTCTTGGTGAACTTGTCTGTAATGCCTTTCGAGGTCTGCCTTGCGCTTGAATGGGTTTGCTGTGCAGCCCGCCTCTAGGCAGGGGAACTTGTAGTCCACCACCTCCTGTTGCTCTTGGCCCCTATACACAGTATTGTTAGCATTGCTCGTCCATGATGCCTTCACTGCCACTTACCCTTGGTGGGGTATCACTGTTGGATACTGTCCCGCAGGAACATATCGCGGTTTCATCTGCCAGTAACCTCCGTCCTCGGTGGGGACGTAGTCATACTGGGACCAGTCAATGTTTCCGTAATAAGGCTCCGACGTTTGTTGTGCCGACGAAGATGCGGTGCTCGTATAATCATCGCCATAGAATCCCGCATAGCTGTCTCCATAGCTCTCGTCGTAGCTGTCCCCATAATTGCCCGCTGGAGAGTGACTCATGCTGTGCGAATACGAGTATGACATCCCAGGGGAAGAGCCGTAAGAAGAGGGTGTAAGAGGTCCTCTGGAGCTGACGTCGGATAGCTGACGGGCGAGTTCCGGAGCCTCTAAGAACGTGGGAGATTCAAGGTAGTCTCCTGACGACACTGGAGACGTTGCGTTAACATAATAGCTTGCGCTGCGGTAGTATTGGCTGTCCATTTTTTCTGACGAAACGAGTCAAACTGTCGTGCTGTCTAAACCGTTTTGTATCCCGGCTTCTGGATAGCAGTTCAGTAAAGGGAAGGGTGGCCTCGCGAGGACGGGGGCGGGAACGACGGATTGACTGAGGGTAAGCAGTGGTAGAGACTGCCGTCGGGAGCCAAGAAAATGCAACAACTTACACAAATCAAATGTCGCTATTTGTGCCGTGGGGGCCTGAGTTCAGACACACGAGATCGTAGCTCACAAGCAGTTTCCCATGAAGCAAGCTTAATTGCGGTTGAGTGATAGGCAGAACGATGTATTGTGTGTATCAAGGTCCGGAAAGGAGTGGAAGCCCCTTCGTGAGAAGTCGAGCAGGTAGTCTTTAAAGGGTAGGATAGGACACTAGAATATGGAACAGGTAGAGTGATGGAAATGATTACCAAACTCAGAGTTCACGGAATGGAGTGGGAAGTGGATGGTTCAAGTATGAGCGGGACGAGGCAAAGCCAAGTTCACCGCCTTGGAGGAATAAGGGCGGCACAGATACGTCAAGCGGCACAGATACACAAGTTGCTGGTGGAATCGGGTCATGGTTGCCCACCAGCACATGGCTTCGTCTCCGTAAGACGGTCTTGGCCATGGGGAGCCTCAAAAGGGCGGGCATACCAAGCGTCTCAAGGCGACTTCAGCCCCCCGGCCCATTGCCGCGGAGGGTGAAGATAGGATAGAGTTGCCTGTGCCCAGGCGGCGCGAAGCGAGAAAACAACTGCAAGTGCTGGGGGTTCTCCACCAAATTGTACGTACAAAAGGCAGTCCTCGGTGAGTGACATGCTTCTAGAAGGGGGCTTAGAAGTCGCCAGCCACCCAGTCAATGGATTCGAGCCGAAGGGCATGCATAACTTGTGACTGAGAAGTCGACAGACTGGCAAGATCCAAATCAGGCCAGCCCAAGACCCGCCAGATACTCCCATGACGATATGCCAACCTATCACTCAGCAGGGCTGGCCGGGATCGATTGCGCGGTGCATACTGTATGAGGGGGTTTGCTCAACGGCCGTGGGCTTTGAGTCTCAAGGGGGGGATCAGTTCCGGCTGGGCAGTCAGCGCTGAGTGACCTTGGTTGGACCCTATTGGCAAAGGTACCTGAACGACCAAAGACACGTCTAGCAGACCCAAAAGATAAACTGGGGCAGGGAAAGGGCCACTACAGAAAGGTTTCTGGCGGTCGGTTGGTTGTAAGTACGGCATCGTCAGGAACCCGGAATTAGGGACACGAGGTAGTAGGTTACCGTATCCAACGCAAGACCTAGGCAAGGGGTTCGAAAGATGGCCAGTGAGCAGTGAAGGGGACAGGGACAAGGCATGTCACGGCACGGCGCCAGATTATCGCTCACCGGCATGCCAGTGGCGGCAGCAGTAGCGCTCGGGGCGGACTGGGCAGGAATGCGATGCGGCTGTCGAGACAGACTGAAGATCGGAATCGCGGAGGTCAGAGGCTTGAATGGAAGGATATCTCGTTGCCTGGCCCCGCACTGCCACACTAGTGGGCGCGTGAACGGTTGCAGTCTTAGTCCTTGTTCTTGTGCAGGGACCAAATGCTAGAGTGGAATCAGCCAAGGAATAATGGTACCGCAAATCATGAAGCCCTTACTGGACCATTCGTAATAAGGCAGGTGAAGCCATACCACATGGATACTGTAGCAAGCAAGGTACACCATCACCAGGGGAGGGGGCAATTGTGGAATGGGGACTTGTTGCACGGCCCTCCTCTTGGCATTTTCCCTTCTGGGGGGTTTGGGTACTATTGTACCTCGGTTGACGCTTCCATGAGAGGCGGCAGACGAGACGCTGAAATGCTATGCTGTGCTTGGGTGCTGGGATGCGCAGCACAGTTACGAGTCCAGTGTAACCATTGACTGTCAGCTTGGGAATTCCATCGGGGGCCAATCCGCCGGGTCCGCCGCAGAGGTGCATGTTGCCCACCTGAACAGCTTGAGACCCAGGTCGACAGATTGAAAGCCAACGGCGAATTGAGGTTCCGCTGTCTTTTTTCCTCGCACACACCGGCAGGCCGTGCCGATGTGGATAGGAGTGGCACTGGCGGTGACGGCAACGGAAACGGTGACTGTCGATTGCAAGAGAGAGTGAGATGTGCAGAGGGTTGTCTGGTTTCTCGCGCAAATGGCACCTCGGGTCAGATGCCCTTAGGCATACCGCATAGACGCTTAGTTCTATGCGCGCAAAAATAACCACCACCAAAAGAACAATGTAGGACCCGGATAGGTCCGATTCCTGCCGTATTCTGGAGAGAACGCGGGGCGGCGGCAGCGTGTTTGATCTCCGGGCTGACAGGCGGTGCAGGTTAACTCGGTCAAGCAAATCGGAGAGGTTGCTCGTCTGCCTGTTGGATCATCCAAAAAAAAAAAAAAAAAAAAAAAAAGGCGCAAACCATGTGCACATAGAGACGGACCCATCCTGATGGGGACATTGTTCGGACGAGCCATTTTCTGGGAAAAAAAGAATACGGAATTGGTGCAGTTTCTTGTAGTTTGACAATGTCGAGGTGGGTTCTAACGAGGTCGTGGTTCGCAATGATGCCTTGTGGGTGGCCAAAACGAAGTTCAGACAAGGTCATCATCCGGACAATCCCCTCGTCCAATGTGCCTGACTGCTGGGTACCCTGGGAACTGGCCAGCTTGGGAAGGCACGAAGTGAATGTTGGCAGTTTAGCAGGTGTACTTGGTGGGTCAAGGTGGATCCTACTGACCTTCTAGAAAAGTTCCATCGCTTAACTCAAAAAGGCAAGCGTGCTGCGTGATGACCTGGGCCTGCTGCGCTGCGTTTCGTTTCAAGCCCCACGACCTTCTTCTTGCCTACCGCGTACCTCATGCTCATCCACTTCCTCGAATTAACCCGCCTTATGACAACGACAAGGTGGGCAAGAATTTTTGCAACCTTACTGGGCTGACGACTGCCTTACGTCTGCTCTTCCCTGCATCTTACATCTGTCGGTCCCTCAACACCACTGACTCCCCTTGGCCCGCCCGGGTTCGTACAGTGAGTTCGCCTCATGTGAACTCGCAGTCAAGTCCCTCTACGCCCGAGTTGTGATATGAACAGTGGCGGAGTTGATCGAATGCAGGATGACAACGCCTATGTGTTCCGTCGAACAGCTTCACTGTAACCCAACCCAAGATAGCCTCGCCATTAATGCCTCAGCCTCGATTATTCATTCGAGCCACTCGGAACGTCCACCGGTGCGTCCACAACCCAGTCCGTCGTTCCGGATGAACGAGCCATTCGGTGTAGATCGCCGGGGAGTAGCTCGCCAACCCACCCGCAGGCGGCTGTGGTCCTTGTCACGCAGATAATGGATCCATAACGGGGCAATAGACGGGGAGCCCGGAGTTCGTCTCAGCTAAATTTCGGCCGAGTCTCAACCCTGGTCCCCGGGGGAAGAGGCCGTCATTGATATGCACTGTAATCACCCCGCCTGGCAATTGAACATGACCACCTGAAAGGAGCCAGAGCCAAGTTTGCTTCCAGTAGCCATGACCGAAGATGTCACGACGGGGTGTATGGCCTTGGCTGCGCCAAATATGCTCATCTGTGGTCACATGGGCTGTGAATGGGCTGTCATCATGTGCAAAATGTCGAATCGAGGCGGCCTTCCGCCTCCCCTTTCATAGCCAGTCAATAGTCAGTGTACTTCAACAAAGATAAGCCAGATGGACCCTGGCGGTATGTTTCCGCAAAAACGAGGCAACGCCGTTCCTCTCGATACCGATGGTTCGAGGCCCCCCATCCCAATCCGAGGCTACGCCTGGCATGAAACCCTGTGACCCTTGCCGCCTATTCATACATCGTCCTCCAGGAATTTGTATGCAAACTTGAAGTCCGCCTTTCTGCGGTTCATCCTGCATATTCCGTTAGTCGTTGAATTCAATTCTCATCAGGCGGTAACTTACCAAGTGCTCTCGTAGTCGAAGAAGCGGTATGTGCCCTGCTCAAATTCCTCGGTGATGTTCTTCGGCTCTTCATGGCGCTGAAACCAGGTTTGGTATTGCTTGTGAAATCTCCAGCTCTGGTCCTTGAGTGCCTTAGCAGCCAAATATTGCTGGGGCGTACCCTGCTTGTAGTAAAAGACGTAGAAGAGTGTGTCGGGGTCGATCCTGGAGTATAGTCGTGGGTCGTCGAATAGGACGAGCGGCTCCTGAGGAAAGCCCACACCGGTTGAGTTCAAACGCAGCTCGGGACGGTAAGTCCTGGGCACGTCCGTGTCCATGATGTCAGGGCACATGGCCTGGCTAGCCTGAAGCATGCGTTGCGTTGAAGGCGACGAGAATGGCGCTGGCCGCTTACGAGATGCCTCGAAAGACTCGACAAGGTCTTGTAGGGACGAAGGGAGATGGTATATCGATTCCTCATCCTCTTCGTCTACAGCGGCCCTGACCCCGTTTGCACTACCGTTTGTTTGAGATGCTGAAACCGTTAGTACGTCAAGCAATTGGTCATCTGCTTCTGGAGGCTCACCCTTGGCTGCCGCTGATGCCTCCGCCGCGGCCTGGTTCTTGAGCGCACGTTTCTCCGCCTTGGTTTGAGCCGGTGTCGGCTTCGCACTCGTCGCCGGGGTTTCGCTTGCGCTGCTCGAGGGTGCTGCAGCCTGTTTAGGTTCGGGGTCTTTGGCCGCAACAGGGTGTGCCGGCGTCGCTGCCGGAGAGCCTGCTGTGCTGCTTTTCGATTGCGTGGCCGGAGTTCCTGACGTGATGGGAGCAGCGCCTGGTGGAGGCGGCAAGGGAGAAATGCCGATCTTATCTGATGCCGCCGCCGCAGCTGCCGCAGATGCGTATTTGAGGCCCTCGGCAGGTCTTGCGGGGACGGACGCTGGCTTCATAGTCGGTCCATTTGCCGCGCCATTGCTACTGATGGTCTGTAATGGCGTATGTAAAGTTGCCAACGCGGGTAGAGGGGACTTGGACTGCGCGCTAGACTTCCGCCCTGATGCAGATGCTTCCGCGACCGCCTTTGGCTTCGGGGGGGTTTGACGATTTCGGGCTCCGGCGTGGGTTCTTCCGCCAAAGATTGGGTGTCTTGCGACGAACCCTTGTCGCCATCCTGGGGAACACCGTACACGCCCTCCTCCTCGTCCAGGTTCAGCTCTTCGTACATCTCTTCGTCCTCGATGAAATCGTCGTTCATGCCATCCGAGACATAGTATCGAATTGTCTCCTCGAGATCGGTGACCTGATCCGTGTCGACTCCGCCATTCTCTAAAGACCTCCGAATAAGCTCGAGCTTGCCCTGGTGCCATTTATGCCGCTCGATGATGCGCTCAATCTCGGCCATTCGTTCTGCCTTGGCAGTCTGGCTCTTGCCCTTCTTCATGGTTGCTTGTATCGCCTCGGCTTCGGCCTCCAAAGTCTCGATTTGTTGCTCCAGCTCGTCGACCATGTTGTTGAGAAAATCGCTTGCTTCCGCCTTTGCTTGTTCTTGGGGGTCGAGCTTCGCTGAAGAGGCCAACCCTTCCTTGGAGTATGCCTTGGTCTTCATAGCCTTCTCGACTGCCTTGAATTTCTCCATTTGCTGCCAGGTGGGTTAGCAGAACCGCGGGGGAGGAGCTTGCAAGCAGGGTAAGTGAACCAACCGTTTCGATCAGTCGGCGGTGCTCCAGTAAAGGAGCCTTGTCCTTGATGTCGTTGCTTGCCGCCCATGTCTTGATCTGATCGCGTAGCCTCTGGAGCTTCTTGATTTCGCGCTTGAGATTGTCCTCCAGCTTTTCCTTTTGAGAGATGTTGTTGGACTGCTCAATCTTTTCGTAGATGGCTTCAAACTCGGCAACGCCTTCCGCCACCTTCTTGAAGCACTTGTCAACTTCTTGTTGCAGTTTTCGTGCCGCCATTTTGTCTGCTTGTGTATCGGACTGATGGAAAGACTAGGCCCGGTTACGTGTCTCGATACCGACGGGGTGGGTGTGTCGGGTGTGTCAGGTGTGGTGATTGATGATGGTTTTCGACTCAGAGCTGTGTTCGTGTAGCAGACGGCCGTCGAAAGGGTCGATGGGCGCGCGATGGAGGGGGATGGTGGGGATTATTTGTCCCTCAGGTGTGACGACTGCTGCGCCGTGTTTACCGGCGTTCGTTGGTTGCGCGATTCAAGTTTGCTTGCCGACAGTGAGGCGTTTGAATGGGTTGAGGTTCTACACATGGAGAAGAAAGAGCTGGAGGATCGCTGCTGTGCCCAAAGTGAAGGTTTAGGCTACCCACATTTTGCTAGTAAGAGAGCATGAAGGAAGTTTATAAATAACAGAAATAACTCTTATATGGGGGTTTGGAAGCGCCGAAACAGCCCCAAAGTCACAAGAAGGTCTCTGGATAGCGTAGGAGTGTTTTTTGTCCCAATTGTTGCTTTTATTGACAGGATAAACAGGAGTAGAATATACATGTCATTATTTCTCTTAACTGAGGAAGGTCCCGGCTACATGGTGTCACGACAGATGATGACACGGACCACTGTTTAGCCCAGCCTTGCCAGCTGCCAGTCTCCGTCACGTTCAGGGATGCGAGACCGGCCACCAGCCTGAAATCAAGTCGCAGGCACCACCACCAGGGCAACACCTGCAGCGTATATCTCATTCTGTGCTATTAATGAACGAACGAACCAACCAACCAACCAACCAACCTGGGTAATTGACATCCCCTGTTTGATCACACCCATAGTACTACTGTTGCCAACCTGCCTCTGCTCCTGAGGCTACTTTGCTATCTGTTTGCTTGCTTGCTTCTGCACGCTCGGTTGGCGGCTTCCCAGAGTTTTCAGACGACATTGACACCTCGGCGCAATTAGCTGCTTCGTTGGTGTTTTGCCTCTTACTCCGTCCAGGTGTCTGCTTGAACAGACTCACGGTCCGGTCAACCACTCCACGTCTGAAGAGCCGGATCAGCTTGGCCCTGAAACCAGCCAGCCTCCTGATATCCAGTACCCAGAGGTTTTCCTGCAGGAACGCAGGTACGCTGTTCAGAGAATGAAAGGTGAGGCTCTCTCACGTTTGCGCTTGTCGTTGCTGTATTCACACACTTTTTTTCTCCTGTACCAGCCATTATCCAGCGTGTTCTGTCCGCCTCAGTGACGGTGGAAAATGAGGTCATTTCGTCAATAGGGAAGGGCGTTCTCGTCCTCGCTGCTGTAGCCCCTGGTGACACCGAGAAAGACGCCGAGGATCTCGCAGCCAAAGTGTTGAAGCTCAAGATGTGGGATGATGAGGCCGGCGGCAGGGTGCGTTTGCTTATACCCCATCCTTAACCTCCCCCGCCTCTAATTCTGTCTCAGTGGAAGAAGACCGTCCAGGATATCGACGGCGAAGTCCTTTGCGGTACCTCAAGTGCTGTCCCTCGAGCGTGAGGCTGGTGTTTCTAACATTCAATACAGTATCTCAGTTCACACTATTCGCCAAGATTGTCAAGAACAAGCCCGACTTCCGTCTCAGCGCGGGGGCTGAAGACGCCAAGAAGCTCTATCACTACTTCCTACAAAAAGTGCAAGACAACTATGCGGCGGACAAGGTCAAGGACGGGCGTTTCCAGGCCATGATGGCCGTTTCTTCGACCAACGACGGTCCGGTTT